AATTTCACTGAATATCTTCTCGATTTTCAAAAATTCAGTGTTTAAACAATATTTCCATTGATTAGCCATTTAAAAAAGATAAAAATGGAATTATTTTGAAAAAAAAAAAAATGAATGACGGCGGGATCGAACCCTGGCCGTCGGCGTAAAAGTCGAGCACGTTACCACTAGGACAACGCACTCATTCTGCAAATAAAAATTCATTAGTGGTATATATTCAATATATTGAATAATTTTTTCCATTGAAATTCAACAAGATGTGGTTTCCCCCTTCCACTCGTTCGACAGTCGGCTAAATTTCAGTTAAATAAATAAAAAACAAAGAGCATTCATGCCGCAGAAACTAAAATTCACCCCGACGTCTTGATGGACACCCTCCCTCCCTCTCTTGGGGTGCATTACTACGATGCCGCTGGGGTCACTCCAACCCCCAGAGCTGAGCCTCCACTTTAGTCAATCCTCTTTGAGAATATGACTGGTACCCGGATGGTTTCCGGTTCGATCTGGGAATCAAATACCCGGGGATGACGGAAATACAGAATAATGTGGACTTCCGGTTTGTAGAGGGCGGTAAAATCATTCTGGATTGCCCATATCGAGTTTTGCTGGTCGGGCTGTGGTGAGGGCCTAGCCATTCACACCAAGCAATCCACGAATCAGCTGATCTCCAGTTAAATCATTACCAAAACTAATGCCGTGTAATTTTTAATGAAATGAACCGAGATAATTCGCGGAGTGAAAAACGCGTGCACCCGGGGGACATCGAGGATGAAGATAATTTGAACGGTAAATCCACTATTCATTTTTACACATATTTTTCTGTTTTATTTATTTACTCTTGTGTATTTACAGTTAAAATTAAAAAGGAGAACGACGATGAGGTCGAGGATCCCTGCATTTCCGGAATTTTCGACAGCATTGAGTTTAAGGATCACCTCGTGGATGAATTGCCCTTCGAGCAGTTGGCGGCGACTGGATCCTCTGGTATTTTTTACTGCAATTACTTTTTCTGTCATTCAATAGCTCTTGGGGATTTTCTCTTTCAATTTCTCCAGATATAAAAATGCTTGTGAGACTTGTCAGTACCATCGCCACAGAGATGAAGAGATTATCTGAAGAAGTTCGAGAGGTAAAGAATATTTTGGAGGACAGGCTTACCTGTCGCACACCAGTCACACCAGGTTTAAGTTTTTGGAATAAATACAGACTTGAACTACCTCTGAAGACTCTTGAAGATTTCGATGCTTTCGATGAGAGACTCCGGACTGATGCTGAATTTCTGAGTGATTTCGTAAGAATCCACAATTGTTCAGACAGATTTCTAACAATTTTTTTGCCAATTTTATTATTGTTTTATTAATTCCAGGGACACTCTCTGGTGGTCTGCTTCGATCGTGATGACAGATTATCGAGAACTATAACGAATGTTCTACGTCGACACCTCAGTCGAGAGCTGGCCATGAAATTCACAGCAACTAAATTATCCCCTGCAAAATTAGTATTCAAAGAGACAAAATTCTGTGCTTGTATGTTCGGTACGTACTCGCCAGATTGATAATATAAAAAATAAATCGAGGAATTGACAAAAGATCATTCCTTTCAGACATTCTTGTGCAGTTGTATAATAAAGACGTTAGAAGAATTCCCATCACCGAGAAGAGATTCTACACGACTTTGAGTGGAATATTTCCAAATGCCAAGGACTGGGACGGGTACAGGTCTGTCAGGAAAAAACCTCGGACTGCAGGTCTCAGAGATGACAGGGACGAGTCCGAGAACGAGGGCGATTGAACATTTTTTCTACTCCAATTATTTAAATAATTTTATCATTTTCACACGTCGAGTAAGTCTTGAGTGATGGGAGATTTGAAATGTGGGGCCATCCCCACTCCTGTGATTATTCGTATTTGCGAGATCTCTGGAGGTTATGTACATGTCATGTTTTATATCAACCCACCTAGGGGGAAAATACCTTTGTATATTACGGAAGAGTGTGTTTTTAATCGATTGCAGTATCTCAATTTATTATACAATAAAGAAGAGGATAAGTTCAGAGGAAAGTTTGAATATTTATTAGAAGATTCTCCCCAGGACAACGTCGGACACTTCACCCTCAGGTTAGTCAATCCCTAGATCCACAAAATATTTCAATTCAATAAATAAATTCACAATTATCCAATTAATTGCCAAGAAAAAATTGTATTCATCACGTGATGTGTCAAATTGACAATAAATTTTAAGCAGACGTTCTCCTCTTCTCGACGATTAATTTTCAATTTCTTATTTATCATCCAGACTATTAGTATCAACAACTCCGGAATCATGGAACCACTGGTTGACACGGGAGCGTCTTCTCCTGAGACACCGTCTGAATCATTTATTACCGAGACAACTCCACAGATTATTCCGAAATATCCTGCGACGTTCAAAGAATTATGATCGCCCTGGAGCGACATGCATCAAGCGATCATTAATAATACTGTCGGCACATTTTCTGCAGCCTGATGTATTCAGACATATAATCTCGAATGAGCATACAACAGACTGTGATTTATTCCCCTTCAAAGGTATTTTATGAAAAAAAAACAATACACCGATTTATGCTTAACAATTTGATTCAATTTATTGTTTAAAAAATTGTTCTCTAGTTCTGTTCAACGCTGTACCTGATTTAGTAAAAACCCGAAAGTTACATCTCGATCGAGGATATGGTATCGTGACGTGCTCGATGTGGAAAATAATATTGGAGTCATTATTCCACCGGCTGATTCAACTGGAGTACAATATTTACAAGACTGATATGCAGAATACCGTGCAAATGGATCCCCGACTTGAGTTGATGAGCCAAAGAGTGATAAAATCAATATTGAGACCGACAATTCAATCAAATGCTGACGTAACAGCTCTGAATATCGATAACGAGGCGAGAAAATTTCCTCCCTGTATGAGGCACTTGCACTTGGTACTCAGGAAAAAACATCGGCTGAGTCACTACGCACGATTTTATTACAGTTTATTTTTGAAGGACTGCGGTATGAATTTGGATAATGCCATTGCTTACTGGAGGGATGAATACTCTAAACCGCATATTTGCGAGAGCGGATGCACACACAAGTGGCAGAACAATGAGAAAAAATTTATTTACAGTATTCGACATCTGTATGGATTAGAGGGGGCGAGAGTTAAATACGGTTCGCCTAATTGCCAGACGATATTCGTGAGATACAATTCACCATTCGTTTTATCCAATTAATCGGTAATTATTATTTTTTAATGATTTGTTTTTTCAGAATGCTGACCCTGGACCGAGGTACGAGGGTGGCTGTCCCTTTAAGATCCTGGACATTGAACAGTTGAGGGATGTTTTCAATTCTTGTCTAATTGACGACGACATCCAGGAGGAATTAATCAGACTGAAGGTCAGAGATGCAGGTGCAGCCTGTGGATTATTTTTAAAAGCAACTAATGACGACAAAAGTCAGGTAATTATTCAGAGTCCTCTGGAATATTATGTCCACGTTACCAAAACAGATTGTTAAATTTCCTGTAGATATTTGGAATAAATACTTGTATTATCTACTTCTTGGCGAATTTATCTAGACCCTCTCTTACCACCTCATCTGTCACACCATTTTTTACTAGAATCGATAGCACTCCAACCTCTGATAAATCGCGAATATTTCGATCCTCGTCATCAAAAAATATCATGTCCTCGAAATCTACCCCAGATGCTTCACGAATTCTACAATCGAGAGAAGATCAATCAGATATTTTTATTCAAATGACTATATTTATTCACTCACTTGTTGAAATGAGATACTTTGCATCCGGGATATATTTCCTTGTACTTGAAGTACTGATCCCACCCGAAGAGATTCAATAGTTGAAAGGCACCTCTTATCTCTGAGGTTCGAGATGCCACTCCAAGATCGAATCCCTCATCATGAAGTTTTTTAAGTATCTCAGGTACTTCCTTGTAGTACTGAATTTTTTTTCCTTGCTCATCGACAACTGCATTATTTTCTCTGCAGAAAAAATTCATTAATCATCTCTCATCTCTGCATAATTTATTATTCAGTGATAATTCATTAGACAATACGTACACTTTTTTAAATGGAGGAGTGACGTTAGTGTCCACCCAAAAGGGCCACAAAGTGTAATCTGTAAATTAAAAATTGATTAGTCATTATTATCATTTGAACGTGCAACTTGAAAATAATCATTGTTTACAGAATAAATGGGTACTCGTTTGTGAGGAATTTTTTTACCTAGATCGAATACTATTACTTTTGGTTTTCGTTCTGACATTTCCTTTTTTTATCGTCAACACGTTGAGAAACTACCGACGAATGTAAATAAAAATATTGATGTGCGGTTCATATACAATTGTCACGAGCGGTTTATGTTTTGGTCTGAGAATATATATGTCATGACACGACCTTGAGAATGCCGGAGCTTTCCGGGGATTACCGAAGGCGTTTGAGTATTTTGAAATGCAAAATAAATACAACTAATGAATTTTAATATGAATATTGTCTTTAAAAATTGGATTACCTCTTAAATCACTCTGTTATCCTATTCCTTACATATACATATACATTTTCAAATATTTAATTGCAGACTTAAAAATCATAAATTGTTTTCTATTATTATAATATTATAATTTTTTCTACTTGTCAGATTAAACCGGAAGTTAATGTTTTTCCAGGCAATTAAGAAATCGTTGAAATAATGCAAAACAAGAATAAATTGTGAAAATGTATTTTAACAATTATTATCACTCCGATAAGTCCGGATATTATTGCTCCAAGTTTTTCAGTCTCTCCGTTGAAAAAATGATGGTCTCCCACAATCTAAAGCGATAAATTAATAAATATTGATATCAAAATAAATAATTGACAAGTGGCCAATAGCAGGTAAAACAAAACTTTTATTAAAAACAATTGGATAATATGCGACAAATACATTGCACGACAGATTCAGAGTAAATGTATATGTGCTTATATATCACTCGTTGAAGAAGAATTTCTCGTCAATACACATCTATTCGTTGTCTCCAATAATAATGACTTCCTCATTCCCATATAATTTTTTCCATTCTACATTCATATTCACTTGTTGTCGGCGTAACTCTAATTTTTTTCGTACTTCACTCGTATTGATCCCGGCTATTACGCATAGAGTATATACAAATATTCCATAACAATGATACATATGTATTTGATGGTAATGTAACCATTACACAGCGTTCTATTGTACAATTAAAAATGATTAATCAGGTGAATTGTTGTACAGTAGAATTCCGTTATATATTCGCATTTTTCATTTCTCAATTCGTTTTTGTCATGAAAAAATGGAATTTACGGTAGCCCCACGGATGGAATTATAACGAGAGTCTACTGTAATGAGTAATCGACGTAGAACGGAGGACAGAGTTGTTTCTTGCTGAAATAAAATAGTACCCTAGTTATTGCAGACATTTAAAATGATATACACGTATCACGAGTCTGTGATTCCTCAATTATTTTTCTTTTGGCATTTATCGATGATTATTTTCACTAAACAATACAGCTACTAGAGATATGTAAAATCAATTTCCTTGATCATCCTAATTATGTCAAACTTAACTTGCTTCACGATATTAATTAGTTCTCTCTCGTTATTTTAGTCAGTTAATTACTAAACATCGGTGCAATAGTAATCATTCAACAGATTTTATTCCCAATGCATTTGTACATCGTTACCTGTAAATGCATCGAGTCTCTCAGTTATTTAATTTCAAATCGTCCAACTGATTGTTCAATTCGCCATTTTATCGAACGTCTATATATCGTTATTTCGTTATTCCTTCATTGATACATTTCAACATGTTGGTGCATACCCGAGATTTTTTCTCTGGAGAAAAAGTGTTATTTCCCGAAATGTCGGTCTTGCATTCTCATCCCGACGCCAACACTCGAGCATAAGATCATAAATATCTTTGCTGGATGTCGTTGGTTTAGGTAAATACTCGAACAGCAATTTAATATCGTGATCGTTAGTGAGTGTACTGCATCGTGAATTGTCCTGATGATGCTGCTGAAGATTGTCGATAACTTCTTCGTCAGTCAAATGCTCGTAAGGCACGTGACGACCCAGATTGAGAATCTCCCAGAGAGTCACAGCGAATGCCCAGACATCACTCTTCGTCGTATATTTTCGCTGGCAATGGGGAAAACATTGTTCCATTATCATTGACTGTTCATTGGATTTAAAATAGAATTTTCAATCGAGTTATATATAATGAATAATTCACTCACGAGGAAGACACACTCCCAAGCCATCCATCGAATAGGAAGTAGAGCGCCGTCACTGACTTTATAATAATCACTGGCATACAATTCATTGTCAGTACCAAAGTCTGATATTTTAATGTGATAAGCCTTTCCCACCAGACAATTTCTGCAATTAAAGCGATTGAATTAACGACCAACGAATGGGTAAGTAAAAAATCACTCACCTAGTGGCCAAATCTCGATGTACAAAATTTAAATTCTCCAGATATCTCATACCCGAGGCAATTTGTGCAGCCATGTAAATGAGACAATTAAAACTGAGGGTCTTAACTCCAATGGGCATTGGATGAGCATCCTCAACAGTGATATGGGTTTTCAAGAATTGACAGAGATCTCCATGCTCAAGATACTCCATTACAACGCAATAAGGCTCCTCACGACAACAAACACCGAGCACCCTGGCTATATTAACATCCTCGAGTGCAGCAAGTATCCGAACATCACGCTGAAAATCCAATCTGCAGGAGAGATACCAATGAATAATTGATAATTCATAAGTGAATGAAAATATACTCGACTCACTTTTCTTTTTCACTCGCTTCTGGCAGTAAAAACTTAACAGCTACGAGTCTCTTCCCCAGGGTAGTAATGCTCGTACCGTAATCCGGAATTCCCTCAGCCTCAGCCACGTATATCTGGAATTTTACAATCCAATTAACATACACCATGTGCACTCGCTAGAGAGAAAAAAACAATATTGATTTTAATAATAGAATATCCAATTTCAAACTGCACCGTTCCAAATGCACCCTCCGCCAGTTTGGATAGCATACGGAGTCGATGCCGTGAAAACAGGGGCACAGTAGATTGCTCGAGTCGTCTCTTAAGAGCCGTGAGAACCTCCTGCTGGGTCGGTGACTGAAACACCAGATAGAATAAACAAAATACAACCCAGATAACAGTTGGAAAAAGTCAATGAATAAAAATTACCTTTTTATCGTCTATGCGGCTATTCCGGGAGGAGCCCTTGGAAAAAATACTCTCCTGGTCGCTGCCACTACTCGAAATTGAACTCGAGATTATTTCATGGGTGGTGTAGGCACCTGCCTCGCAGTTTAATAATGGAATTTTTGTACTGTTCATCTCTGGTACTGAAAAATATTTCGCTAATTATAATAATTATTCTCTCACTTCCAGTCGTCGAGAGCCTTCGAGACATCCCAAACAACAAATATTAATATCAATTACTACAATAAAATTCACCTGCGCTGTAATTAACAGCATTCGACGCCATATTGTTAAGCATCATATCCTTCATTTCCATGATAATAGTACTGTAACTATAATACGGTGCGTATTTTAGTGCCTGATACGGCTCCTGATAATCATCTAATTTAACAATATCCACATTTCGATTGTCAAGCTCATGAGCTAGTGTCGGAACGTTTCCAGTTGGATACCTAAACCGTAAAAAAAATTCCACATCAAGCAAAACCAAATATGGAAGGAGAAAAAATAATAAAAATTGCCCCCTTGAGGTGGCCCAAGCTGTGTAAACATTCCTCACCTCTCATCGTCTTCAAGTGTATACGGTATGAGTGCAGCACCCTTTTCTACTGTAGCGCAGGTTGATCCGAGATGGGATGGCACTTTAACAGCCATCGGACTGGCAAAACATTTGCGCTGACGATGACGAGATACTATGAAGAATATAGCAACAGCCAGTAAAAGAATAACTGCTGTTAAAACACCAATTACGACTGCCATGTACGTGGGATCGTCTTGCTTCGCTGTAAATACTGGTGCCTCGTTCTGAGCACCTCCTGTCTTACCGTTGGACATTACGTCGCTGGTGAGTGATATCTCCGTCGTCAGGAATTCCTCGGGGGTGAAATTTCCATGGGCAATGTCTTGAAGGAGAAATTAAATCAGAGGTAGAATTGAGGTAGACGAGTTTTTTTTTTCTTTTTTCAGGTCATTACGCTTGTAACGAGAATTCTCCTCGTATTTCCTTCGGGAATCAATGGATTTTTCGATGGGGGAAATTTTTTAGAGAACTGTTAAATTCGGGTTATATCGTTTTACCACTTCGCTACTAAAATCGTTTCAGGGGGGGAGTAAAAAATGGTCGAGTGATAGGGGAATGGAGATGAGTATCTCGGGAATGAACAGATTCTTCAGTAGGTCATTCAAATTGTGGGGAAATCATCGATCGATGGAGATATAAATACACCGTTCTTTATTTTTTCATTCCCGGTTACTTGGAAGAATGTTAATTCACTCTTTAAGAACTTTGTTTTCGCTGATTCTCTGGAGAATCAGCTGGAAATGTTAAAGACCCTTCTGGAATTGGAATTTTATGGACTTCCTGGTTTCTCCATAACATTTATCATTCACTCAATATTCCCTCGGGGATAATTCAATCTTTGTTGGGGTGTAAAAAATTGTGGGGCCGTTGTAATTTTCTCGTCATTATCGATAGTGTCACTGGGTAATTACGAGATTATAATCAGTTTTTACCGGAATCGAATATTATTTCACTCAGCATGATCCACTTGGACGAGAAGTACAGCTGTAATTTAACGAACTTGCCGACCCGATGGTGCAGCTTTATCGTTATATTACGTGATGTCTCGAATATTTTATCCTCCATGTAGTTGTAAATTATGGGCTCACCCATGAAGAATGTCCCACCGATACTGAACGATACTTCGACCTGCGAGAATACCTGGAATAGTGACACCATAAAAATCCAAAGAATTCCAATGATTCCTGGGTACGGGTGACTAACGAGGAGTCAAATCACCTGGACATCCCTGCTGAACTGATTATTGCAGTACAAGTGGACAGCCGCGAATTCCCTGATCCTATCAAATTCAAATTTAATCTCAATTGGTTGATTGCTCCTGGTGTCATTTCTCCAGGCAATCCAGCCTCTGCTCCTAGCCGAGTCATAGTATCCCATCTTAAAATTATCAGGGCCAATTTTTCCATCGACTAATTGGCCCAACCCGTGCCTGAGCTCACCATCCCAGTAGCCGTCGTACGTTGCGTCGAAGAATTCCCATTCGTTTCCCCTTTTGTCACCCTGGGGCATCGAGTAAGCAACAATTCCATCTGCATTAGGGTAAACAGTGAGACTATCAATCATGGGCTCGATGATTGTGAAAAAATATTATTGTGTCGGGGAATTTAAATTATGGGATATTAATGACAAAGGGGGAGGTCTTACCGTGCCAATAGCATCCATAAATCTCAACCCGCATGCATACTGTACGTCTGTGATTACTGTATGGCAGGAAACGTAGCTTGGTCGCCCACAGTGGTGGATCCAAGTCATGTTTTGTCTCCAAGTACGTATTTGTGTTCCCCTTCATGATCTGATAAATTCAATTTCGGTACCATTACTACTTTTTTAATCATCCAGGAAGAGTCAACACCAGATGTTTCACGATTATCCGAACAAAAATTTTCCTCGCCATTGAATTTATATTTTCATTAGTATAATCAGTTGGGGGAGTAAATGACCAATGATAAATTCAAGTTTACGACTTTTCTTCAGATTAATCGAGTTGTGCTTATATTTCATTATTATTGCAGTAAAAAATATTCATTATGAAAATCGGAGAGAAAATCAATCTGGAAGGTTGGGGGGTAGTAAAGGGGAGAGTGTATAAATTAAAAGTAATAAGTGAACAGAGTCGAATGAAGGGGAGGTATGAGTGATTGATGTGGTAGCTGGGGTTTGAAATTTTCGAGAAATTTCATAACGGATTTTACCTCATTCCCTTTGATGTCACGATAACGGACCCATTTACCAAGACGTGGCCTCCAATATTCCAGCAAGTACCCCTCAGCGTATTCAACCCCTACCCCATTACCAAAACGTCCTTGAGTATTTGTACCAGTGATCATGTGAACCGAATGCAAATCGATTTCCAGCCACTCGCGTGGCTCACTCGTTATTTCGACTTTTGGGCACCATGCGCCGCCATTATTTTCCGTTCTCAGTCTGTTGCAATTAAAAAATAGTATAAATTTTCACCGTGCAATTACCTAATTACCTCCCCCTCTCACCGGTAGAAATCAATTATCCTTTGGATTTACCTTGCCTGACGTGGCCCGACATTTCCACTGTCGAAACTCGAACTTGCGGTAATATCATCGTCTGGAATAACTCCTGACTCCATACCAAGTGGTGCGATACATTGCGCTGCAATAAATAACAATGAGATACCCCATAACAAATAGAACGAAAGAATAATATGAGTAATCACTTACAGAGATCAACAGCCCGGGTAATCGAGACGTAAGTGATTATAAAAAAAAATCCCACCGTTATCTTCATGATAGCACCAGAAAACGGGTGCGTACCCACTCGTTCGTCAATCCCCTAGACATCTACATAAACAAATATAATAGCACCATTATAATTCCCATCAATAATACCCGCGTCAATTCATCCCCACATCTGATATCAATCACAGATTGAATATAAATTAAAATCAATAAATCTCCACCATTAACCAATAACCACATAATGCCACCCCATTATCCCTCTAAAAATATACAGTCATCCCATTTTAAATCGATACGCCTGTTTTTTTGCGCAAATCCCCCGGTCCATCATTAAATACCAATTATTATAATAAAATTCTAGTGATTCCCGCGGTGATTATCGAATAAATCATGATTGATTTGGCCCACCCCACAGGGTGAGATAGGTCATGATGTGTAAAAGCATTATCTCAGTTTAATCTCACGTACAACAGTTTGTTACGTGGTGTATCATCGGGTAGCTCGCTGTTATCACCACCAGTGAAATTAATAAAATCGATAAAATAAATTTGATAGGAGTTGCATACTCCACGCGTTTCCACGATCAACTGAGGTATCGGTTCCAGTAGCGCCATTCCATCCTCAACCCCTGTCTGCACTCCCACCCTCTACCACCTACCCCAGGAGGGTACATACATAATCCTTTGAGGCAAAACTCCACAGACGCCACCATGACCTGTGTGGCGACACCAAGTACTTGGGATCCAGCCACCCACCACCCCCTTTTCAACCCCTTTTCACCCCCTTTTCACCCCCCTTTCCTCCCTTCGCCCCACCGCCAGCTCCAACATTTTTCTATATTTTTTTTTTTACTCATTGTTTACCTTTTAGGCCTTTTACTCCTTTAATCGCTATTCCCCTCGCCTTTATCTGTCTCATCTGGGGGCTTTTTGCCTCTCGTTACTTTATTTTTTTTTCCTTTTTCCCTTTTTTCTTTTCTGAAATCCATTTCTGTCCGGCTTTGTGGGCGGAGGAGGGGGTGGCGGTGGGTGGAGGATGTGGAGGATGTGGCGGAGGTGGAGGAGGTGGAGGGGTATTGAATTAAATCGTCCATAAATAAATAACTCTTTGTGATAGTCAATATATAATTTATTGTACATTTATATACAGGCGGTTTTCAGTTTTCGTCGGGGATACATACATTACATTCGCTTTTTTTTCCCTTCTTTGTTATTATTTTTATGTTGTTTTTATGTACATCAAATAAATAACGAGGGGTTTTTTTTTTAAATCGATTATCTGATACTCTGACGGCCCCGTCCATGGAGAATAACAGAAACATTAATACAGGGTACTGAGCCATTGACTTGTTTTTTATCTTTATAAAACTAAAACTTATGGTATATTTCTGCGGTAAGAAAATTGTGTAGAAAAGGGGATTTATTACTTACGGGAAATAAATTCATTCATTCGTCGATTAGATATTGCTACGGTATCTTATCGTTTACTGTTTGAGAATTTTTTTTTATCGTTCAGGGAGTAAATTAAAAGATATTCTCATTTCAATTGATGTTCCATCATTGGATATTATGGCTTGACGCGCATCGTAGAAAATTTTCAGCTCTTCCTGTGGTTTTACATTCGATATAATCAACGATTGGTTTTTTTTTTCTACTCTTAAACGTGAGAAAGCAAAAGCAGGCTCTAATTTCGTAAAATTTACATAGAACGACATTAAGATCGCATCGAACATATTTTCTCCGTCTCACCCGGCAAAAAGCGATTACGAACTGACGACTAAAAGCAACATTTTTTCCAATTTTGCATAATTTACATGTCCAATTATAAAAGAAAAAAATGAAAGTATTCTTTACAGTAAAAAGCTGTCACGATAAATAAGAAATTGCAGGAATTTCGTGCGTTGTTTCGCTCAAGATAAAATCAGCAAATGATTGTTTTTCTTCACTTCAGCGCTGTGCATTGTGTTCTATTACTCGTGATAAAAGAATTATGAAACAGGTACAATTTTACACTTAACCAGAGTTTCCATAATTTCAATAATCTACTATAAACTCGTTTTAATTCAATATCGAGAATATTAAAAAATTTTACGTATAAAATTTTCTATGATCGTCCCGTACGCATTATTCTCTTTTAACTCGATAAAAATTGACAGACATACCGACCATTTTTATCTCAATTCTCGATATTCAACTTGACAAACGGTAAATGACAAAATAATCATGCCATTATTGGAAATACACGTATCCTAATGATTATTCTCTCAAAAATTCCCCAAATGCAACCGAAAAAGCGTTTTTTTTTCCATATCATTCTCAAATATCCTCTCCACCAAAAAATGATATTCTCTCTACGACAGAGTGAAATATAAATTTAGTTATCGTTGCATCTATTTATCTCTCAAGTTGATCTCAAAGCTGGGACCAGTGCTCCGATTAAATCGATTACAATTATTAAATTCACATGCACCTAGAAAAATTCGTTTTGTCTTGTTGTCCATGATTTTTGAATTTCCACCGTTTATTTTCCATTTATTCTTGACAACTTTAACACTAGCATTATTACCTTTTGTTTCATCCATTTTTTTTCCATTTTCTATATCACATTTGTAATCGGGTTTAAATACATGATATTATTGTTGGTTTATCCCTGTATTGTCAAGTATCATAAAAATTATTTTTCCCTCTTATTTTTCCCCATTTCACTGATTTTATTTTCAAAATCCCATTCGTTCAGCTTTTTTAACTCGTTGCGTTGAAGGCGATGTCGGTCTAGAAATAGAATAATAGATAACAAAGAAAATTTTTCTATATTCTCCAATCATATTTTCATCATTCACACTCGACTAATATTCTCTACTATTGGTCATTAAACTACTCCAACTTGTTTATCCTCCTCTTGTTTATAAATATGCATTTTGTTCTTTTCACTTCTAATTGGAGAAAAAAAATTGATAGACATTATACAGTACGTGCTTATTTGGTTCCAGGAGCACAGAAGTTTATATAATATATATGTATATAGCCAAAACGCAAATGGTCACTTGCAAACATTATCTTTTCAGTCTTATAGCAGTGGCAGTAGAATCTGCGCCATCCTATATTCGTTATTTTGTTTGTCCCATTAATAATATATTCATTAAAAAATTTTCGTTGTCCGACGAAATACGTTATGCTTTAAAACTTGACAACTACAATTATCATTTTCCACGAGTGTATCCAGGGATGAAGTACAATTAAAAAATCGTGGATGTGGATAAATATCCAGACGATCTAACACAGAATAGAGGTATCAATGAGGAGATTAAAACGACATTCACCTTTCGCTCCAGCGACAAATAAACCATAAAGTAATAAGGGAAATTTTCAACAAAAAGAATGCCCTTATTATGCGTATCTGGTGTGTGTGTGCTCCCGACGTTTACTTCCTCTTCTCTCGCGCTCGGTGATAAGCTGAGGACTAGGAGGACTTGAATAAGTTGCATTGTTTGACCCACGAGTCGGTGGAATACTCATTGGCGGTGGTGGAGGTGGAAAAAAACTCTGCAAACACGCCTGTTCACACAGACCATTATTACAAAATTCACATCCCCTATTCATGTGATAATTCATCATTTAAATAAATGAATAATAATCGAAATTCACTTGCCTTAGCACTGCCCCTTGACGAAGACTTTGAAAATACACTCTCGTGTTCGCTGCTTGTACTCGGTACTGGCATCGGTACAGCGTAGTCATAAGTGGGATCTGCCGGGGAAAAAGTTAATAAAAACAAATATTCCGAGACGATAAGAGTGCCTGGTGGGTTGTAGGGGGGATGAAGGGGATGACAACAACGGATCGAGATAATGAGAGAATTTTTGAATGAGTTGAAAGGCCCATGCTACCATGAAACTTATTTAATTAACTCCGCGTGTTATGGAAAAAAATTCCCAGACATTACCCTTTTTACAACTACTCTATTGCCATATTTATATTTATTTCTTGTTCAATAATTTATAGAGAGAGAGAATTGAATTTGAATTTAATTACCTGAACACTCAATATTATCATGTAAATCCTTATTGTCAATGACAACTGTACTGTATCCGTAATAAGCAGCTTGTGGTGATTCACGGTATTTATTTTCGTGAAATGGTTCCTGGTATTCATCTAATCTGACGTCACCCAGTAGACGATCATTAAGATCGCGGGGTAATGTGGCGAACTTAGCGCCTGTGTAGCGATCATCGTACTCCTCGACTCTGTAAGTCATGAGAGTACCATCTTTCTCCATAGTAGTACCATAATTTGACTCTGGTGATAGATGCTGATGATTAGCTGGTATAGTCTCCTTGGGATCGAGTGCCGTTGCAAAATTATTCTTTCTCGCTCTGTGTCTCGATACAATGTAGAATATTGCAACGGCTAGCAGTAGAATAACAGCTGTTAGAACACCAATTATAACAGCCATGTACGTAGGATCGTCCTGTTTAGCCGTTGATACTGGTGTCTCAGGTTGATGGAGTATGTCCTTAGACAGGGTACTTTGATTCTTAATTCTTGGGGTCTCCGTGGTTGGTGGGCTCTCCTGGGTGAAATTACCGTGGGCAATGTCCGAGTCAAATGTAATTTCACTAATAAGCAGCCACTTGGAGGCAAAAGTGAATCGTAATTTAATGAATCTACCGATACGGTGGTGAAGTTTAACGGAAATATTACGAGGTGTCTCGAATATTCGATCCTCCATGTAGGCGTAGATTATTGGATCGCCGTTGTAGTATTTGCCACCGATACTGAAGAGTATGTCGACTTGGGAAAATACCTGGGGATTAATTGATCGGGGGTTCATTAGTTAGCAATTCTGGGGCCTCGTGTTTTTTTTTTTTTGTCAACGGTTTAGGGGTGATTGCACCGCTAATAATAGTGGAACTGAGGGTGAAATTTTGATGAGGATATTCCGACGGCCAGACGATTTTGAGTAATTGAAAGTCGATAATAGTGGGGGAGTGGGGAGTTGTGGCTCTAGATGACTTTAATGGAGCCAGTGTTGATGAAAAAATAATGATCTTTCATTTGCCTCACACTGTCAATTATTTTTCGCTGGATTTTCAGTGAGACGCTAATGAATTAATGATTGATAAATTATGGAAATTAATTTACCTGGACATCCTTGGTGAACTGATTATTGCAGAATATGTGAACAGCTGAAAATTCGCGAACTTTATCGAATTCGAATTTAATGTCGAGGGGGTGGCCGACTCTCGTGTCATTCTTCCATCCGATCCACTCTTGTCCACCGTCATACCCGTAGTAACCCATTTTAAAATCATCGGGTCCTGTTCTACCGTCTGTCAACTGGCCAAGACCACGCCTGAGTTCACCGTCCCAGTAGCCGTCGTACGATGCATCAAAGAATTCCCAGTTGCCGCGCTTATCACCTTGTGGCATCGAGTACGATACAACACCGTCGTTCCATAAACAACCGTATAATTCCACACGCATGCACACTGTTCGCCGGTGATAGCTGTATGGTAAAAATCGAATTTTACTGGCCCAAATTGGTGGCTGCAACTCGTGCTTCGACTCTAGATATGTGTTCGTATTGCCTCTTATCACCTGCGAAGTTAACGATTATTTTCAATGCGGGGGGAAGATACTTTTTGATTTTTAATTAGAGGCTTGACCCTATGTTTGACTTCGAGAATACCGGGAGAAATGTAGAGCTGACGGAATTGAGAGTTTTAACAATTAATGAGCTGTAGTAATTTTCTTTTTTCTGGAGGGGAATTTTCTTGGAAATTTTGTAATCAATATTTCCCATCACCGATCGTTGAATTTTTAATTTTGTCAGAAAATACTTGAGGATCTGATAATTAACGCGCGGGGAGATTCGAATCAGATTTATTTTCTGGAATAAATTTTGAATAATTACATTGAGATTTTCTCCTAATTTACATTTTTTCGAGTTTTCGAGAAGTGGAAAATTATGTTTATTGCAGCAGTCATGAGTCAATTATATTTTGTTATGATTGGGATGAGAAAATTACAGTGTGAAGTATTTCATAAGTGCTGGGTGCAAAAAATATGGGCGTACTCTCCACAATGGGAGGAGGAAACATAAATCTCATGGACATAGGTTCTGTATAGGTTCTGTGGAATAGAATTTCTAGTTCGAATCTTATAGCCCGTACTTTCCGAGTGGAACAGTGAGGGCTGTAATAAATAAAATATCGATTATAATTCGCGTGAAACGAGTGCAATGGTAATATTAATTTTTCAAGTGACAGGCCTTCAACTTCCCGAAGAGATATAAAAATTGACGATGTACTGTCTTTAGAATTGTGTCACTACCGAAAGACTTATCCCCGAGGTGATACCGATCCAGAAACAATTTTCATTGATCAACAGCCGACACAATGAATACTCCAACTCCTTATCACCGATTACGAAGCACTCCATCAAGTCCTCAAGTATTCAATGAATAGAGTCAGTCATCCCACTATTTCTTAATACAGTTCTTAGAACTTAATTAATAGACTTCCAAAATGAAAAGGGCCACTGTCCTCTCGACTTTTCTCCCAGCGAGACCCTCAAACTTTCACGTGTATCCACTCGTTAATTCGATCTCCTTCCAAAAAGAAATTACCTCTTGGCCTCTGGTGTTTGTGTATCGAACCCACTTGCCAAGTTTTGGCCTCCAGTACTCAAGTACATAAGCCTCAGCGAACTCGACCCCCTGGCCATTACCAAAACGTCCCTGTGTACTTGTACCAGTAATCACATGAACCGTGTGTAAATCAATCTCAAGCCACTCATGGGGTTCCGTCGTAATCTCTTGTTTAGGACACCAAGCCCCACCATTGCGCTCTTGCTTAAGTCTAAACAAATAAAAATGGATTATTTACTCACCAATCTGACAATATCCCCGAGTTCTCATCCGATAAGATTGTGGATTTACGATGATAAATATATCTCACACGCAATTCCATCATTTACCAATGACCTCGATCCAAAAATACGAAACAACAATTATTGTTTATTGATGCATACCTGCCATGCTGTGGCCCAACATTTCCGCTGTCGAAGCTGGAGCTCGCGGTAATATCTGCATCGGGTATTATTCCCGCTTCCATACCCAGTGGTGCGATGCATTGTGCTGCAGGAAACAGTAAAAGGGTTAAAAAAGAGGATTGAAATAAAAAATTCATGATCCACATGTAGTCGGAAATCCAGGTATTCATCCAGAGACATTTAAAAGTCATGGAAAATAAAAAGATGTGATAATTGCGAGATTCTTAACAACGTACATATGTCTATGGCACTTCCACCGGGCGGATAAAGTATCAGCTGGTACAGGAGAAACGAGACCCAGAGATAATTCATTACGACAGCTTTGGAGAAATAAATGTCGCACCAGATTCTTTTTCAACTCTATTTACTTCCCTCTTTTTTTTTCCCCCAGGTCCCACTTTACGACCCTTTCGTTCTCATCGCAGGCATGTGTCGAAGAGCATTATGAAAAAATCTGTAACAGAAAAATGTTTTCCTCAGAGTCAATTAATGGTTTTAATGGTTTTTTAAAGGAGAATTTTAAATGAGTATTGAGGGAGTTGTAAATGAGTGGATTTATGTTTTGGGAATTTTTTTTTTCTTTCAGCTCTGGTGTTTCTTTGTCTCCGCTACTTTGATCGGTTGGAAAAAAAGCCACGATGATGGGACAAAGAGGGACATTCACGCTAGCAGCCATTACGCATCATTACTGAGATTACGATCAGTGAGTTGGGTAGAGTGAACGAAATTGAAAGAGTAGAAAGAGCATGAGGCCAGTGGAAGTTGTGGGTGAGGAAGACCAGGGCGTGGATACACGTGTATATACAAGTGCTTGGGTGTTAGTACTCGGTTGGGGTTCGGACCCACTCTCACTTGAAGATGTTATACACAGTAAGCCAAAAAGGGCTGGCATAATGGAGTACTCAAGTAACTGTTTATTTTCCTAGGTATGCACTAAATTTGAGGGAGAGAATTTTTTTTTTAAACGTTATCTCAATATTCTGGAGACCCCACGACGAAGCGAGGCAGATAATTCGCCGTTGTCCCAGCGTGATAAGCAATTGTCGACATATTCCGTGAGTCATATTTTTATCTCCTCGAATCAATGGGGATTACGAGAAAAAAAGAAAAAAAAAAAGAGCCAACAGTCCGAGCGAAGAAATAACGAATTGAGAAAAAAAAAATCCAAAGACCACTTTATTTCCCTGTTAATCACCAGACGAATTAAATCCACGGAATGAATTCTTTTTGAATAAAGACATAAACTGGTTTCAGCTTTCCTTCCTCTGCGTTAATTAACCTTTGAGTTAAACGAGCGGTACAAAATCTTATTAATTATTATTTTATTTTCCCCCTCGATTCCCGGGTTATTTAATGCCCCAGCGAATGGGCCATTAATAAATTCCCGAAAACGTCATTTTGCTTGATAATAATAACTCGAATCCGCATGGATTACAATACCGAAAAGACCACCTGGTGCGCTTTGGGCATTTACGATTTCCACGTTGGCTTGTTTCCGTTGTTTCTGTTGAACATAACATGGGATATAGGAGGTGGAGTCGTTGGCTCAGTGTCTACTCCAGGGGGAGTTCGGTGGAGAGGTATGAGGGGGATTTACAGGGTACTATACCCTCCCTCTTCGTCCCTCCTTTGCCCCCTCGCGACCCCATCATTTCTATCTCCCACTGGGGGTACATGGGATCTACGAGACACCAGCTAAAGCCCCCAGCATCAATAGTAATTCCTCGTCGCAAGGCACATAAACCGCAGAAATGTAAATACCAGTGCGGCCAATCAGCCTGATTGCTCCCATTCGGTCCCTGATGCCCATGAGGTCCGTTCTGGCTGCTCATCCTCTTCGTCATTCATTTTCCCACTCAGAATGACGATCCTTGTACCGTGGAATTCACTCGTATCCCCTCACTCCGAGACACTAATGAATCCATCCATTGTACCACAAAAAAAAAAACATGGAAAGAACTGATGGTGAGTGTAACAAGGAGTTTACCGATTCTATTTAACAGAGACATGTTACCATCACTTGATTTATTATTCATATCCTCATTTATTATTTATATAAAAAATTAGATCCATTGGTATATTTGACGCACAGGTAAACCGAACGTTGGTAAAGCGTAAAATCAAATAATTGCATCAATAATTATCATTATTTAATAGCGTTGATGATAATTCCTCAATTTTGTTGGTCGTTTTAATTTGATTTATTACACGTGTCAGCCATTAACTGAACTGACATCCAGCATCCTCCACCAATTACCGAAAAATATTTCAACGCACATTAAAATGCACAAGTGACTGCAGGTGCATTTATTTCTGCGTATTTCTCTCAATTTTCTTCGTTTACCATCTGTTCATTCTCGTTTGAAAAACGGCAAAACGTCGGGGAAGTAGAGGGAGTGAAGAGAAGAACGTTGTAACACCAACTAGAGGGTTTCACGAATAGGCGTTGCGGGTTTTTCTTGAAGAAATCCAGAGGAGCTCGCAAAGAGGGAAACGGTATATTTATTTTGCTCCTTTACCACACCACTTCCCGGCACAACAAACGAGATAGAGTTTTGGGGTTTATATTTAGATTAGTCCTCGTCACTCTTCTCATTGCTCTTGTCCGCCCACACCATATGAAACACCCACCCAACCCCCTTTACCCAACCCCATCGCTTTTAAAATCACCATCATCTCTGGAGTATCCACTTTTTAACTTCCTCTCCCTTGTATCTCTCCTTTATTTTTTCAACATTTAATTATTTACATTCGTGGGGTTTACATTCCCAGAAAATTTTTTTCTCATCCTCAGCCATCGGTCCTTTCCTCCCGCCTGTTTTACATCCCCCGAAAATAATAAACATACGGATGTATGAGATACGGCAGTTCTTTAGGTGCTTTTCTTCCAACTAAAATGATATATAGGTATATCACCATAATCCAATATCGTTTGTTAGCCCTTAGACTCGTGTATCAGTCTTCATAGGTATATAAAGCCGTTGGGGTGTGCGTTGTTCGAGAGAGAAAACTCGGACCCCAGGTTGCCATGTACTTCCATACCATGTATCGTTGTCTATGTATTTTTATTACGTCTACAGGGAAATCTAGCCCTCTCGTATGTGCATATACCATATACCATCTGGTAGCCAAAGCCGAGTTGTTTCGGTTTGCCTCGTAAATCGAGGTGATATTAAGCATACGGATTCCACCCCACGTATGTCTCCAATCTATCCGCGAATTAAATTGTATTCCATCTCAATTCTATTATCCCTCCACCACCATTCAGATAGATAAATATTCATTCAGTGTGTGTTTTTCTTCAGGTACATAAACACTGGATGCCAGACCGCCGAAAAAATAATAAGGAAGTGGTTTTTTTGTTCTGCGGGGAGGGAAAAATTCTAGAGTAGACTCTGCACCCTAGACTCTAGACTCAGACCCATCGACCCCTCGATGAAGGGGAGTCCAGAGCTCAAGTCCCAATCTCTTGCACCCCAGGCAAAAGGGCATTCATTGAAAGGAAGTCTTCGACTTGACGAGTGACTCATTGCAGGCAAGATCTCAGTATAGGTGGATGTCTACCTCGACAAAACCAACACCTACCGGATGTAACGTAGCAATCGTTTGTCGGATATGTTAACTCTCTGTCGTTGCTGTTTTTTCCACACACCTTCCCTCTTTTTTTAATCATTATTATTATTCCCTTTGTCTTCGGTTATCTCATCCACTGCTTCTCGGTATCCTCTTTTTTTTTATTTCCACCTCATAGCTCTAACCCTTTCATTCCTCTTGGCAAGTCATACGTGGATGAAAACGATACGTGTGTGCATTATATCGGTGGTGTCGCGATCTCTCATTCTCTCTCTGTCACTCGTCTCTGTCCCCCTGTTATCCTTTTTTTTTTTGTCCCCCCTAGGTGCCCATAGATTTCATCAACACATCCGCACGCAGGTCTCATGGCACGTGAGTCGCATATAGTTGAAAATGTGCACGGCTGATGGATAGGGGCATGGCGAAATTTAATTTATCATCTTGTATGCGAATGAGAGAGAGCCCTTTTATTTATTATCATCAGGTAAGATAAAATATGAACAGCCGACAGTTTTCGTGGGGTAGATTTTTTTTTTTCGCGTTTTACTCACTTTTATTTTTGTATACAATTTTTTCGCGTTGGACGACTGAAAAATTTATTCGATTTGAAACAGCGATACGTGCGCTTGCGCCAGCTCTCTTGGTTTATTAATTTTTATAATCTCGCTGTACATATTTGTCGTTATTAGCACGACAGCTATGGAGTATAGAACGAGGTATGCATATTCCATAGGAACTCTAGGATCAATTTTCCCTCTCTCTGGGTATTAAATATTTAATTAGCCATTATCACACGGGAAAATCCGGATATTTCTATTGAGAAATAATAAAGTTATCGCATCGATTGAATCGTACGATTTGATATGATACCAGGCGTGGAATTATCGGTGGATATTTTTTCCATTTGATTCTTTTCTCCAGTGAGATTTAGGGAGACGTATAATTTAGAGGGGGAGTTGGTCTATACATATATCGGTATTCAATACTGACCCAATGTTCGGAACAACCCCGCGCCTCTGGGGCTCAAGTCATCAACCTGGCACACGCGATATCGACCTGTTAGCAAGGCAGCCAGTATCAAGTCGATATTAGAAGGAAGACTGGCTGCTGCCAAGCAGTATTACCTCCACATCCCGGTTTTTCGCCTTCTCCCTTTATTCTATTTATTTTTCCCCTCCAGCTCTTATTCTCAACCTATAGAATATCCAGACGCCAGGGATTAAGGTAAAAGGCCTATGACCACTTTACATTCCTAATCACATTACATATTCTCAATCAAACCCCTGACACCTCTTTATTTTCACTCCATTCAAAACGAAAACCTAGAAATTGTTTAACCTATTTATATTTATTTATAATGATATTCAGGGCATTCATGGAATTAATGTATTTACCTTTTGAAATTATATTCCTAATGCGTATCATGGATAATCCTCTCACATCACAAAAACCCGGTGATCTCCAATTTTGACAGCACCATTGTACTCCATAAATTGAAAAAACCAGTTTGATCCTTTCATTCAGCATTCACCACCTGCTCCAGCAAACGGTTAACAAGACTGGAGGAAAAAATATATCGGATAATCACAGTCACAATCCCGTCACCGCTGGTAAATAGATTCATAAAAATTCGCACGAGAACCCCAGGACGAACAATTGCAAAAACATTCACAACATAAATTTTGGAGCATCATCGATTTCACGGGAATGAGCACTCACGCTGTCATCGGATGAATGAACGTCTCGATGTCTCGTTGATGAAAAATGGATGTAATGAAAAAAAAAAGTGAGTTAAAAATTTGGATATTTCAATACGTAATATCGATGTGTCGTGACCGCGGCGCGGCACAAACTGACAGGCATAGTGAATTCAGAGTATGGCCGAGACGCCTCGAAATCCATGATGGGGAAGGGTCACGGTAGTTCGATCGCCCTGCCTAGAAGTACCACCACCACTCTCCTTTCAAAACTGTTCAACTCTCAAACCTCAGTGCCACCTAGTACATATTTCGGAAAACTCATTGTTACAGTCGGTAGTTCCCCTCATCCCCTCATTGCTTCATCCCCTCGACTCCTCGATCCCTCGTTCCCTCGTTCCCTCGTTCCCTCATCACCTCATCCCCTCGTTGCTCACCCCAATTCACCCTCACCAATACTCTGCCAGAGACCACCGCCTCCCCCTCTTCCTGTTCCTCCTCTTCCTCATCATCCACCTCCACCACCATCACCACCAGTTCTGCTTCCATACCCTTTGTCCTACTGGTACCCCACACACTGAAAATTTAATATAATATGAATATCCAGAGATGCACGTGTATTGAATGCAGAGGGAGATGGCACACGTGTACAAAGACATTTGGAATGAGTTTGGGGATGGATTTGAGGGTGTTGTAGAGTCCTTGGGTCTCTCTGCCACCCTGTGACACGTACAATGGCATATTGTGCACCATACAAGTTGCCCCCCTCGGTACTCTTCACGTACCGACAGTTTAACGGAGCCAAGGCCGTGTATGAGGGCACAATGGGGGTTGAGGGGGCCAGGGGGAGATGGAGGGCCACTGAAGACCAAGGGGTCGACAGGGTGTAACAGGCCGACTCGTGCCAGAGGGGATTTCGTCGAAAATAGGTATGTTGTAGAAACGACGATGACGGGGAACGTATGTGGTTGGCCATTGACGCGAGATTTTATTGATTTTCCCTTTTGCCTTTTGAGGGGGGAGTTAAATTCACTGGGGGGACTTGACGCCATTCCGTACCTACCCCCGTGCTCGTCTCCTTCAATCGTATTCTCTCACTTTTATGGTGAACTTCTCTCTTCTCTCCGTTTTTCTCTTTTCCTTTTTGGGGATGATGTTGTTAATTATCGGCAAGGGTGGGGTCCTGATGAGATCGACCAGCCCTCGGGGCTCATTTTTTTTCCCTTCACGCGATATTACTTTTAATCTGTATCCTAGTGGGCTCCGAGGATGGGGGAGAGTTTCGTGGAAGGAATTCCACCGTTGAATTTCTCTTTTCTTCCTGGGGTGGGAGACGGTGGAAATAAAATTGGAGGAGAAAAAAAAGGGGCGAGTTGTTGACCTTGTCTGTTGATGCGGCTGCAGGAATGCTGTATTCATGGAGATTTTTTTTTCTCTCATTCCACTGGGAGTTTATAGTCGCTTCCATTGAATTATTGAGGATAGTTTGATGGAATCAATTTCAAGTTTCATGAATTGTTGAAACGCGTGCCGGGATCACTCCATTCATATTCTGGTGGATTTTGCGGGTTGGGTGAGTGGTAGTGAATGTCTGACAGTTATTGACTGCTACTGGTTACATATGTGTTGCGTATACTGGTTATGTACAGCTGTTGCCTTCTCAGATTGGCTGGAAGGGTATTTGCTGTGGTGGTGGACCAATCGTAACAGCTGATACAGTGGACGTGTATTTATTAATTGAATGAGGGGTGGATGCCTGACCCTCATTGGCTGTCGCCACTGGCAACCCGGAAAATCACCAGATCTGGTGAATATCCCTAAGACTTGTTACCGGTCGTTAACGTGGCAGTTAAACTAGCCTCAACATTGCAACGTCGATCGAATCATTATTCCCCAACTAATCAGTTATTAATAATTAGATAGAAATTACTGGGGTAATTAAAATGAAGTTGTTGTGTTTATTATTGTTCACGTGTTTTTTTTACGATGCAAGTGCATATTTTATTACCGTTGATGCACATGCAGAGGAGTGTTTCTTCGATAGGGTAGAGCAAGGAACAAAAATGGGTTTGTCATAACAATATTTATGCGCAGCAATTTTATTTCAGTGGATTAATTCGTGGATTGACTGTGTGAATTTTTAGGACTGACTTTTGAGATTGCTGAGGGTGGATTCTTGGACATTGATGTGAAGATCGTGGGTCCAGATGGAAAGGCTATTTATCAGGGCGAGCAAGAGGGCAATGGCAAGTACACGTTTGCTGCATACATGGCTGGCATTTACAATTACTGCTTCAGTAATCAGAAGAGCACGATGACACCGAAGGTCGTTATGTTCAATATGGATGTGACTGAACCACCCAAGGTCGGTCAGGATCACAAGCCTGAGGGTGACGAGGAGGAGGGCAGTCATGTCAAGCTTGATGATATGATCAAGGACTTGAGCACTAGTCTCTCTAGTGTGAAGAATGAACAGGAGTACATGCAGGTGAGTTTGAAATATTTTTTTAATATTTTTTTTTTTCGTGTGGGGGTTGAGTGGATTAATTTCGGTATTGACAATTTTTCAGGTACGAGACCGCAACCACAGAGCTATCAACGAGAGTACCAATTTCAGAGTTGTTCTGTGGTCTTTCTTCGAGGCAGTAGTATTGATTTCAATGACCGCCGGTCAAATATTTTATTTGAAGAGATTTTTCGAAGTGAGGAGAGTTGTGTGAATGCGGATTTTTTGTAGATTATTGTGCAAGCATCAAGTTTGGTTGATAAATTCTTTTTTAAGGTAAATATTTATATCAGGAGAGTCATTTATCTTTCACCTGTGACCTTTTTCGAAGCTGAAGACTCCAGGGAACTTGAAGAAAGAAAACAATTTTATATTAATAAAAATTTCGATTGATAAATTTATTTTCAACGCATATATCCGTATACATAACAAAAACAAAGAGTCTCAATATAATTTCACGTTTCTCTGCTACTGGAAGATTTAGACAGTCTTATAGTCAACTCCTTCATGCGCTCCTCCAGGAGATGCTGCACTCTTCTCTGATCATGCTGTATTAACGAGAAATCCAATAGAAAATAATGTGGTGAAATTTGAAATACGAAATGAAGTTTCACCTGTAAAATATAAACTCCCCTCTGCGTGAGGACGACTAATTCTTTCATCCCATCTCCAGTCAAGTCTAGATAACACATGGAGTGCACTGGAGCATCGAATTTTCGTTTATCCAACAGAATCCAAGAAGAATTGTGACTAGAGTATGAGAAAACAAAAATTTCTTGACTGTACGTCCCCAACAATATCTCATTGACACTATCCATATTAATATCAGCTACACAAGAGGATAAAGTGCAGTCCGACGTCTCCATCGAGGGGAGATTTATCTGGATCTTCATTCCAGTGCGCAAAACGTCCCTGGAATAAAAAATGAGTGTAAACAATTCAAAGGGAAAAATTCGATGAACTAATTTCGAGATTTCAATTAATATTTACATGAAAACTATTGCAGAATTAATTGCATTAACGACCAGAATATCGAGAGTAGGACTGTCCTCCTTTTCGCCATCCCCTTCTGTCTTGATAAAATCACACACCACGGAATTGTATCGAGAAAATATCTGAATACTCGATACCGGCCTGTCGTACCTCAGTACCCATTCTTTAATTATCCTCGAGCCCTCCACGTCCACCTGACTCACCTTGACAAGTCCGCATTCACAGGAAATGGCCGTTAATCTCCTAGATGTAACCAGATTAATTTAACCATCAAGATTATTAGGTAATAGACCTCATTGAAGCCAACGCACATCTTGTTACCGTGATAGTAATAAACACTAATTCCCAGAACCAGAGCCTGCAGATTAATTAATTCCGGGAAATACTTGTCGATTCGTGATTCCACGTAACCGTGTGTTTGCTTGTCCTCTCTAATCATGTGAATCTGATTGTCATTCCCAGATATGAGCCAAACGATCTTTAAAAAAAAATCTTCCCTCATTGTCTGAAAATTGTGATGCATAATTGATAATAATTACCTCTTCTCCGATTTCTTTATCACAAATGAGGGTGTGATAGAGGAGGTAGGGTGTGTAGGTGAGCTCCATGGAGAGACAATTCTGGGCGATCGTTTCAATTGATGTCTCTCCACTCTCACCATCACCAGCTGTTTCTGAATAAATATTGAGGTACCTCTCGACTGTTCCCTCTCCACTTGGTTTTATTATCGTGATACCGATGATGAACTCCTCGTCATGGGGTTGTTTATTAAATGCATCGATCGAGATTATCTCAGCTCCATCTGGCACAGGATAATTCCACGAATTTGTTATAATAAATAAAATAATTGTTTAAAAAGTTATTAATGTTATTGCATTAATACTTGGGATGTACGTGAAAAGCAACTCCTTGACGATGGGCCTCAGGATCTTGTCGTTACTCTGGTGATACTCGCAGGAATATATTCTACGTTTCAAGGAAGCCACGAGAATTCTGTTAACCCCACATGGTGAACACAATTTTGACATGGAGTAGACGTTGCCCTGAGAGGCGAGGGGAAACCAGTGAATATTTATTAACGAACCCAATTCACCTTTTTGGATTCGCGAACCCATTGTTGTTAGCTGGGTTTAACAATAAATGACGCCGACATTTTGTAAACAATATAGATCATCTGTTCACGTATTGGGGGATTATTTGGGGTTATTTGGGGATTTTCCCCTATAGAGGCGCTGCTGGGGAAAAATGAGCTCTTCAATGATTCTGTAATCCTGTTACAAACTTTCATTTAACTCGGATTTTAACGGAGTGAACTCCAATTCTCTCTAATTTTCTTCAATTCGTAACAGGATCACAGGAGAATAGAGGAGTTAAGTTGTCCATCCACCATTTGAATTCTTAAAGAGACGGTCGACAACATGACCGAAAGCATCGGGTAACTCCTCACATCTCCTGTGATCCTGTTACAAAACTTCGATTTGCTTGACATTTTGAGATGCATTGCAAGGGCATATCAATCGTAATAGGGGAAGAAGGCGAATAACTCCTCGGCTCTCCTATAATCCTGTTACAAAAGTTCCATTTGCTTGACATTTTCAAATGCATTCCAAGTGACTATCAATCATAATAGACGAGAAAGAAGAATACCTCCGTGGCTCTCATGTAATCCTGTTACAAAAGTTCCATTTGCTTGACATTTTCAGATGTTCTAAGGATCTATCAATAATACCATGGGTTAGGTCGAATAACTCCTCGGCCCTCCTGTGTTCCTCATCCGAAACTCCCGTTTGATTCAAATTTCAACGCATCGCGCCCCATTTTTTGTCGATTTTTTTCCAGCTTGTAACAGGAGAACATGAGAATGAAAGAGATATGATATTTTATCCCTAAATCGATAAATAGACAAAAACACATGATGTAAAAAGTATTCTTCTAAAAGTTTATTTAACAATAAGTACAATCTGACAAGTCGAGTAATAAAATGAACAAGTCAATCAGTGAAACTACGAAAAATATACAGTATCGTATTTACACGCAAGATAAAACTCCTCAACTATATAAAACGTCATGATCAGCATGTGGTTTGGAGCAATGTGCCCTGCGCTCGATGAAGGCCGCCATCCTGGAGGACGAAATAGTCGCCCCCTTGGCAATCTGTAAACAATAAAATTCTTTTGAAAACATCTGCAGGAGAAAATAAATAATAATGAAAAAATGACGGTACTCTAACCTTAAACCAGGGCGAGCTCAAGGAGGCCTCAGCACTACCTCTCTCCTCACCCCGGAGGATCAAAAGCCTTCCGAGAAGATCTTTAGCGTCATTGGAGATAAACTCAAAGTACTCATCGGGAAAGCAGTAATCGCATTTGAGTATATTAGCAGTTGTCTCTTCAACGGAATCGTCTAAAAACGGCGATAGCCCACTGAGAAGAACATAAATAAATACACCAGCAGCCCAGACATCTGTGTAACATCCAGTTGGCCTGCCAAGGACAAGCTCTGGTGCAGCAAATTCGAGATCAGCTGGTGGTACAACTTCGTCGACGGGCGTTCTGACAGCTTCACCGAGATCAATGAGCTTGACAACACCAGTGTCCTGATCAACCATTACATTCTCAGGTTTAACATCCAGATGAGATTTTGAACGCTGATGGAGCCATTGAAGTGCAGACAACAATTGATGAGCAAATTTACTAGCCATTGCCTCAGTGTAATCAGTCTTTTTGCTCAAGTAAGTGAATAAAGTTGGTCCTCTAACTAGCTCAAGGACAATTGTGTCGAGACCAGGTTGAGGGGCATTTTCAAATAATGCAAATGCACGAATAATGTTGGCATGATGAGTCGACGCCAAGAGATCGTATTCAGCTCGTGTCAGGGCTCTCGACTGTTTGTGCCTGAGTGTCTGCTTCAGGGCGACCTCTTGACCTGTACCACGATCACGAGCTCGTCTCACTAGGGCGTATCGACCTTTACCCAGTTCATCAAGCTCCAAATATCGACCTATAAATTGCTCGGCCTCCCAGTTAATGTTCTCATCGAGGGGAAGGGTCACCACGGGGGATGGAGAAGTGCCCACTGGATTTCTTCCGGTTTTGTCGATCACTCGAAACGAGTAAGAGGCACCTGCAAGGAGATCCAACAGCACTGGGGGATTCTTCACGTCGTCGAGTATTGCTATCCAAGTTGTTGAGGGTAGGGTTCGGTACTCAATCGTTCCTGTCTCTATGTCACGTTTCTCCCAGTCGACCTGGACCTTTGTCGTTCCAATTACACGAGCCCATGTAGCACTCGTTGAACCACCTGGGGATGACAAACGATTCATTTAATTCCTGAATATCTGCGTTATAAATTAAATTCACTCACCTGTAACACAGAGAGATATTTTTGCCGAGCAAGCTCCAGACTCCGAGCTGATGGTGCACTCGTAGACTCCAGCATCGTCGACCCGACATCTCACGATCTCCAGGTAGATGAGACCAGCGCCATGTCGGGTCTGATGTCTCTCATCGCTCCCTGTATTGATGACCTCGTCCCTGCCTTCTCTCCTCCAGGCAACACTTGCTCCCTCAGCGTTGGTTACCTCGAAGGAAAGCCTGGCGACTTCCCCCACGTTGACACGAACCGATGTAACACTCTGCACAAGAATCCTGGGGGGTTCAGTCCTCCTGTCGTGGCCCCTGACAGGACTTGACACCTGTCTGTCAGTCTCCGGCTTCCTCGGTCGAAAAGACCAGGCACGACTTATCGCTGAATTCGGTATGAGACTCGCTGGTATCCATAGCTCCTCCTTGGCATCCAGGGGTGACACCACCAGGCCTGGACCATCCAGGTGAGACACAACCAGCTCATCCCCGGCGTGGAGTTTACCCCAGTCCGCAGCCAGACGGACACGTGCCCCAGGTGCCACCTGATTATCGATAGCGTTTAATAATTCCTCTCAATGGGGTTTTGTTTATTTTAGAAGAGAGTTAGAGGAGGATGACAGCTCATGCTCACCCAGATGCACCTCTCAACTGTATCTCACCACCGATCACCATCACCAAACCATCAATATCCACCGAAATTATAAAAAATCTCATTGTCATTATTTATCTAGTTTTATTGGTACTAATCTAGACGCTATAATATCACTTATGTATTCACTATTGCTTCGGAAATAATCACACCTTTCGTTCTGTTCTGTCTTTGTACTTGGATTATTATTATTATTATTTATTGTCTTTATGTGATTTAAACTTGCTCTGGTTTTTTGCTTTTTAGTAAAAGTAGAATGTAGTCGCAATTACAGAAGGCAATGCAATAGAGAGCAGATAGCGACAGACATCAAGAGGAGGAGGAAGCAGAAGAGTCCCGAGGCTGGAAATGAATAATTAGTACCAGTGGTTTTTATGACTTATCGTGTCCCAGAAATATTAAATGCATGCACGGTAATTGAAATTTCGTTCATTCATTTATCGATTTTATCTCACCGGAATGGAGTTTGTACGGACTGGTGATCTTGCTCGCAGAGTATTTCTGAAGCCCTCGAGGAAGTTGAGTTTTGATTTGGTGGGTGATGGTGTACGAGATGAATCTGAATCCAGACCGCTTCCGGTCTGAGAGCGATGCACCAGCTGTCCTTTCTTGTGGCCCTTCTCCTTGGCTCTTGGTACAGTCAGGGTGGGTGTCACTGGTGCTGATCCACGTTTCGAAGACTCGGGTGTTGGTGAACGGCTGGATAGAGCAAGTGTCAGTGAAAAATTGGAAAAGAAGATTAATTGAAAACATTGAGACAGTAATGGTCACACAAAACGAGGAAATAATCACTAATTAATGGATTTAATTGGATACCTGGTGTAATCCTTAAACATCGAGACTTCTGGCAAGAGGCTTGGGGGTAACAATCGGTGGAGAGTTTAATTAATTAAACGATCGAGGATCGATGATTAGTCGGGGGGAGATTAGTGAGCAGGCGGTTAGTGATGGAGTCCATAGGTGCCCATAGTGATAAGAGAGGGGTTAATTGATAGGAATTACAGGACATTCAATAGTGCTGTTACAGAAAAGTTATTCATCAATTAATCATTTATTCTAAACAATGTTCCTTCCTCCGTCGCTTTGCGCTCATCAATTATTCTTTTGGTTATCATATCATTTGATTTTCCTTTCTCATTTCATCTCCTCAAGTATTAATACTTATTTATTTACATACACTGTTGCCTCATTCATCCCAGTGCGGTGAGTTACAAACGTTATTAAAATTACTATAAATATTTTATCGTACATTTTTCACTGCATTTTTGGGTTTATTTCGTCAGCTTTTGAAGTTATTGATACCCACACGCCCATTATCATGAAAATAATTGATAAATCAAGCTTCAACCCACCCACCCCCACCCGCTCGAGACAAGTTTAGGTAATTTTGCTGATCTTTCTTTAATGATTTCTCTTATCTAATGTATTAGACATTGCACATTGGACATTTGGAACGGATTAGCGAATATTATAGGCTCCGGGAGCATCAGCAAGTCGAATAAATATTATGAGTGAGTGAGTTTTGAATTACAAGAACAAGTTAAAGGTTTTTTTTTTTCATCATTTTTCGTACTTTTTCATCTTTATCATTTTGTTTCTCGTTAAAAGGCTTTTAAAGGCGTGGAAAGTAAGTTTGAGTTTAAGGTGGTTAATCAGGACGAGGAAAGATTTCTACGACTGTCCAACTACCATTTTTTTTGCTTTACGCATCTTCATATAAAATATACAAAAATATTGTTGGAACGAATATTCACAGGTTGTTCAAGTGAGTGGTTGGAGTGTCTCGTTTTTGTGTGAATAGTGTAGGTTATTTCGTGTTAATTATTAAATACCAGAAAAGGGGTTTAACGGTTTGTTTTGGTGGTTTCCGAGGGGAATCTTACAGTGGATCTTTGGTAAGTTCCTTTTGATAGGCGATTGGCGACTGTATTGCCTTGAGAAAATCCCGTTGTGTCTGGAGGATGGCGGTTATCGTGTCGAACCACTGCTGTCTACGTGGTGTATTCTCATCGGGTACTGGTGGTACTATGCACATAAATCCAAGACCCGGTTTTCGGGGGTCCGTTGAGCGTATTATAAATTTTTCCGGATCATCTGGAGAATCCTCGAGACTCATTTTGTTCACCTATTTCAAAATATCGATGATACATCACTCGATCAAATTAATTGATGGCGATAATCCAATTAATTTTATTTATCATTAATTGATTAATTGTCTTGGAAAATAAATAGTCATTTTTACCTGTATGTGAGCTTTGTATACATAGGCAGGACTGGTGAACTGTGTTTTCTTTCCAACAGCCTCGCTAAAAATAATATTCTGCTCAAACAGAAAAACTTGCCACTCACGTCCTCGAGCAGGTGGTCCTGACAGCTCCGACACTATGAGTGGCCCATGCAGCAAAAGCTTCCCCTGGGCTGTTATTTTCCCCTGCGATAACAATTTCCCCCACCGGAGTATTGTACAATTCAATCAAGAAAATCCCCTCGATGACTCGAGAATCAATTGTCAAAATGAACAATAAAGGGGAGAAAAATGAATAAAGGAAGAAAAAAAAATACTAACGTCAAAACCCTGAAGTCTCCCCACATCCATCATATCATTAGCTGCCTTGGGGATGATCTTCATGACGTAAACAGCCGCCCTGAAGCCCTCAATCTCCGACAATCTCTGTGTTTTCTCAGTCAATTCGAGTGCCTGCACCAGCAACAACTGATACTTCGTTATCCTCTGCACCGGTTTAATCAGTAGATCAGAGAGCTGAAGTCGTTGTCCAAGTTTTTGCCTCAATTCCTCAAAATATGTATCATTGTACTCGGAGACGATGTACTCAGACACGGGTTTATTCTGACAGTAAACGACATACATGTGCAACTTCCTCTCATACCTCTTGAAAAGAGGGCCAAGCTCCTCAGGACTATCGAGACAGCGTTCCAGGGCCTTGAGAAAAAAATCCCTGTGCCACTCATAGATAGCCTCAATATTACCAAATACCATTTTGTCTTTGCCACCCCTGAGATCCTCAGGAAGTGGAATATCACTGTCAGGGTCTCTCATGAGCGACATGTACCCCTCAACAATAGTCTTGAGATCATTAACATAATCTCTCTCAGTATCAACCAATTCTGTGATAACAAAATGCCTCTTGCCGATCGCAGCAGCTTCTGGATCAGACACCTCATCAGAGAGTCCAGTTGACCCAGAGTAACTGCCATCATCACCAGGTCTCACACCCCTCCCCATCAAGCTGTGTCTCTCCTGATTCCCCGTGTGTTGCTCCATCCTCTCCTTGACAAGCTGCTCAAGATCAGCAACGTCCGGTGCTTTTGCACCATCCAAACTCTTGATCGATCTCTCAGGTGTTATTTTACCAGGCAATTCATCAGGAATTGCTGATCCCGATTGACCATTACCCGTTGTCACAAGACTGGGCTTTGGCATTGGCTTCATCGGTGGTGGTAATTCAAAATCATCATCACCATCCTCACCACCATTCTGCTCGATATATTTATCGGTTGTCTCGCTATCATCGCACTCTACCTCTTCCTCATCCCCTTCCTCACCCTCAGACACCGTTCTACCCGATTTATCACCAGTTGGCAGCTTGAATCGCTTGTCAGAGCCTGTCTTCTTCAATGGTGGACGCTCTGATGACGAGGTCTTCTCGACTTTACCCTGACTGAGCTTGCGCAGTGGTGTTGGTAACCATTTCCGTCTGCATTAAGCACCCCAAAAATAATTAACTGTTAGTATTATTTAATGAACCCAGTGGAGATTGCTATGATGTCACTTACCCGCTGAAACCGCGCCTCTTATTTCCCGGTGAATTTGTACTGGTTGATCCATTACCCTCGGCACCGGTATCTGTGGATAATTAATCAGTTAATTAATCACCAGTGCATTGACACGCGTTATTCTCACGATTCGTAATACAAATGATTGAACACCTAGATTTTTCACCGCTAGCTTGTAATATTTAATTAAATTCAGGGCTGTTAATCCGTCTAGACACGTGTGATACATCTACGGAAGTATTAATAGGAGCCAATGAACGTGTGCCGTTTATTCACCAACTGGTATATGACCGTCGGTTTGAGTTTAGTTATGATCTAGCGACTCGTGTCCAGAAATTCTCGAAATAAACTATTTGTCGGTTTTACTGTTTTTATTTGTTTAAAAATTTTTTCTGTCACTTGATGAGTTTTATTGAATGGGACTCGTGACAATTTCAACCACCACTGGCCAATGATTGTTTTTCCTTGGTCTCGGTTGCTATTTGAGAGGCGGAAATAGTCATTTTTGGCTCTCGATTAGTCGAGAGAGGGGACACTCGTCTTGGTTCGATTCCAATTCTCTTCTTTTTTATTCCCGTTTTCTCTCACTCTCGTCGTATAGTTTATCGTCACGTATGTGCGACACCAGTTAAAGACTACTTTTGCCCCGCCATCAGACCGCCGGCTTTCTCGTTGATGCAGCCCTGACGTCAGATCTATAACGCACAATCCCCTTGTCTTTTTATTTTCATTTATTTTTAGACGATTTACCGATGATTTTCAAGTGTCGTGGGTTCGGACAACGCAAATTAATTATTACCCCTATTTTTTATTATCCCCTTTCCTCCCCCATCCGCTCCCACATTCACTCCCCTTTCCTCCCCCATCCACTCCCCCCTGCCGCCGAATTATTTCATGAATTTCAAATGCGCCATCTTGTCGGATATCGCAGTCGCAATTGAATTGAAACGAGAATAAAATACTTTGTCCTCGTAATTTAGTTAACTAGAGCGAAAAAAAATATAAAAATTGTAATCAATATTAACGAGTACCTGTCGCACGTGGCTCACCAGGTAGTTGTCACGAATTTGTACTCAGAATTAATGAAAAAAAAAATATATATGTGGACCCCTTGGGTAAACGGTGGCCTGTGGAGGCCAGTGGAAATCGATCGAACCCCTGAATACCGAAATTAAAATAAAAAACACACCCTAAACCGTGTTATTTAATATTGTTAAATTATCGTACTGTCTATCGATATATCTTGACGATGGAATGATGGCCTGCGTACTTGGATCGGCACCAGAAACTACAAACAAACTCTGTATCATAAACGATTCACTATCTCATCGATATTATCGTCGGTGAAATAATTATTCTCACGTTACCAATATTTTAGTCTCGACTCCCAACGGAAGATGATAACGACACGTCATTTCTGTCGGTGAGAAAAAATAAATAAAATGACAATGAGAATTTGCGTGATTGATAGACCCATTTTTGTTGTTGTCTCCCACATAATTTTTCTTTTTCGTTGGTATTTTCCCCGGACGCGCCTCCAGTGCGTGACCACGATATTCCCTCCGTCGGCATTCCCATTGTCCCAGGTACACCAATAATTTGAGATAATAATTAATATCCATCACCGGTGGACAATAAATTGACCCGAATCCCGGTGAATCTATGTAGAAGCGATTTGTCAAGCGATTTTCAATGCCATCGGTTCTAACTTTGCATTCCACCTCGTAAGGAGGTGCCAAGGTGTTCTCCATGTAGGGTGACACTCGATTAAGTCGTCGACAGGCGTTACCCATCGATTAATCTCGTTAAATAAAATGAACAACGATAAAAATCCAGAGGAAACGGTAACACAGAGAAAAATTAATTTAATTACATCCACGATCTCTCAAAGAATATTGAAAAAATAATAATAATCGAACCTCTCCGGGAAATTCCGAGCAGCGGAAGTGACCTAGTCCTCACAACGGTAATCAACCGCCTCCTGTCAGTCATCCTCATGTAACCAATAGCAATTTTAATAAATAAAATTGCTAAAAAGTGTCAACGCCAATTGTTAGGACAGAGTTTTTAGCGAGGTGCGCTCGAACGAGACTGACAAATACTCAGAGTTTTCCTGTCTGAAATTGAATGAGACCGAGTGGTGGTGAATGTCAGCTTATCTCCACACTCTCAAAGGAAGAAATAAAGTGTAAACCACGAAAATGTGTCTCGGTCGGTGTAAAATCATTTGGAATATCTCCCAGTATTATTAAAATGGGAAATGACGATGATTTAATGATTTTGTGACACGCAAAGATTTTTCCCGACAGTATCTGCTATTTTTCTCTCTTCAACTCGTCTTCGGTTGAATTTTCTCAAGTGAACCAGAGAGAAACAGGCGGAGTCTGCGAACTGGTCAAGGACACGCGCTGGTGCGTATTGATCGAGTGCGGACCTACGGCCTCATGTACTCCACTACATAAAATACCGCGTATGTACTATTTACTTGAATACATAATCAACGTGATTATGATTGTCTGTTCAATTAAGCTGTTGCACCGCAGTCTTTGGCGCACGTTTTACAAATTTTTTCTACATTTTGTCGTTAAGATTTAATGCACCTTGACAGAGTCTTTAAATCGGAGATTAAAGCCTTTTCGTTGGTTAATCGCGTGTTAGCCAGTGGCTAGTCCCCGACGTAGTGCTCATTACTTCAGGTTTATCACGATCAGATGAATTTATCATTGAACTGAATTTCTGTAGATTTATTTGAGCTTTCAGGATTTTTTAGGAATTTTTAGGAATTGAAATTCCATTGCAAAAAATAGTCTCAATGTCAATGAGATCAAGTGAGGATAAAGAGTCTAGTTTTATGCAGTGGAATGATAAATTTTCCTGGCCTCTCAAGCATGCACTTGTGATTCATTTTTGCCCCCTCTATTCCCTGAGAATTCATTCGACGTATAAACACTCATTCTTAGCATTCATTCGCGGGGAATAACATTAAACTTACCCGCATCCTCATTCGTGACTGACTGTTGAGCAATAGGAATTGTTGGTTGTGATGGTTGGCTTCCTGGTTTCCTGGACGGCGACGTTTTGCATGATGTTGTTGGTGGCTGTTTGAGGGCACTCGTTGGAACAAGACCCTCAGCTGGTGGATCGGACTGGCCTGGGCCCTGGGGAAGTCTCACCAGGGTCCAATCACCAGGTGTTGTCGTACTGGTACCACTTGAGCTGCCATTCTCCAGCACCTCCACCTGTTGTCCCTTGGTCACTGTCAATTCACGACTGCCAGGAGCTGCTGAATGATCAGCCACTACCCACGTCATCTCCACGACTCCAGTCTGCAATAAATCAAAATTATATAATTATTAAATCGAAAAATCAAAACGCCTCAGATGAGCGATAATATTATTGGATGGAAATTATTTAATTTATTTGTCTTGGATTGAAAATTAAAGATTATCGTTGACATCAATTAATCATTACCACCAGTAAGGAGAATATTATTGTGACTGATTTTATATTCTGGGAAATACATAACGCGTGACTCAAAATAGAAGATTTGAGGAAAAGTCGCGGTTTATGTTGAAGAGATCACGTGAACCGATCAGTGGATCGATGATTGTTAAAATACACGGGTTCTTTTGAATTTTCGGACCGACGGAGCGACTAATTCATTAGTCCTGCCTGAATTGACACGGATGTTGTCGAAAAATTTTGTAAATACGTATATCAAAGTGGAAATTCCAAGGAAAAATTACCATCGAGTGCGTACATCGGGAATAATCAAGTATTTCAATTATTCTTCGATCATTCTGTCTTGATGAGAATAAGGTGAGATATCTGCAATAATGAACGCGGTACGTTCAAGGACGGAAACTGCGCGGAAGCCTGATGACAGATAAAGCAATTCGATATCGTGGGTTGTTTTATTTTCAAACGAAAGAATAAATAAAGCGCAAGTTATTGTTAACACGTGTCTAACATTTAACCCCAATATTCAATAATCTAAATGCCAGATAATTGGGATAAATTATTGATGATAATATTGAATTATCGTGATTTAATAATTGCCCTGGGGCAATTAGTGGACATAAATCGACTAGCGATTTAATTGATTCGTCGCACGAGTGTCATCCCCTAGATTTTTTTTTTATTTCATCCCCTCAGGGTCTATTAATTCCACCGGCACCAGAGAGAATACGTGAAAACGAAAAGGGTTTGTCAATAATCGTTACATTATTCCTCCCCTCCCACTCTTCCTCATTCCCGGGAATTGAATTTGTCACGAGTTTTATCAAAGTTACACACGAGAGAACAAATCGCCTGCGGTCGCGGGCTAATGTCCCAGTATTCCTCATCCTGAGGTCAATTTCCACACACCCTACCCCAAACATATCCCAAAAATAGGTGTGACAGCCATTGAGAACTCAGTAAAAATAACAAAAAAAAAAAAAAATCACAGATACGCTATCAATGATTCTTATCACCGATGTGTCACAGAACAAATGTATCGACACTCGGAGCCAAAGAATAAATCGATCATTCGCATTTGCGCAAATCCCCTCGTCCCCTTCGGTATATTCTTCGCGGAATGAGAGAAAAAGTCTGATGGGAGAGAAATAGCCACAGGAATTTCACCGGTGGTAGAGAATTTTCGGTGGTTCAGTGGAGATGGGTGTGGGAGGTGTGAGAGGTGTGGGAATAACTTGGAAATAATCCGGGGAGCAAGTGGTGAAGGGAAAAATTGATGAAAGCGAGGATAAAGGAGGATTTAAAATGATTCTACCTGGGCCAGAGAGGGTTGTCGACGCAATTGTCGCGCCTGGAAAGATCCCGGGGTATCGATGGTATGTTGACGCGCCAGTGCAGGATGCGGTGGTGCTACCGAGCCCTGACGAAACCAAGGTAGTGATATCTTGCGTCTCGCCTTTTGGGCTATTGTCGCGGGTTTACCAGCTGGTGACGTCATCACTGCAGATATCACCGAGTGACAGATGAATGGGGATGACTAAAAGCCCCCGATTACACTGTTATCGAACAGCAGTATCACCTGGTTCACCTGGACACGCTAATTAACGCGAGATGACGACAGGTGCGTCGAGGTTGTGACCGACACCGAGGCGGTGGCTCCTCGATGATGATTCAACGTTAAAACGACAGCCATGATTCTTCTCAAATCTCACAGATACCACCCAGCACCCACCCACCCCCTCTCACCCACAAATTACTCTTGGTTTTTCTCCACCTGGAGGGGTAACTCCCGGTGATTCCCTCGTCGAGGAAAGAAAGAAAAAAGAATGAAGGGAAAATAAATGACAGGAAGAATCCAAGTCTTAATGATCTTATAACGAAAAAAAAAGATATTCCGTTGATGTTCAACGGAGTCCGGCCGACCCGAGAGTCGCGTCCGTACTGATTGGAACGTTCCTGGATTAAATGGTATATAGGAGTAACCGAAACGCCCGACGCTCGGTAGAGCTTTCCAACAGTTGGAGTGCGCCGGTTGAGGGTTGTAGGGTACATCCAGCCGATCAGGAGGGAAAAAGATAGATATGTCAGACCACCACTCCACCCTCTTAAACCAACCCTCCCTGGCCTCTCGGTTCTCCGAGGGTACCCATCCTCTATTCATCCAGCCTCCCAACTCTAAACCTTTTTTTTTTTTAAACCGAGGTGGGGGATAGAGGACAGGTGGAGGTGGCACTTTGCGCATTTACACATGCGCGGTGATAACGTTTTCCTTGATTTCCTTGATTTTCCTCAAGGCAATAATTGTATATGTTTTATATGTTTTCGATTGGTTTGTCTAATTTTTTTTTTCTCCTGTCGTTTGATGAATTATCGATTAATCGGAGGTGGGATTGATCGATGAGGGGATTTTATTTATTGAATTTTAATATGAAGATAGTACGAACCTTATCGGAGTCTGTGGTGTTGGTGGAGCCGAATGATGCGAGTGAATTTCTGTCTAGATTCTCAACACTGTCATCCAACGAAGCGCACTCCTCTAAATCTCTGCTCGATCTCTGGCTTGAGCTCTTTTTGGCTGGGCTCTTTGGCATACTGAGGCTGAAGTACGTCTCCTGTATGACTTCTCTGAGCCTCTTAACCCAGAGTTGTTTAGCCTCGAGTGAATTCGCCCTGAGGACAATTCTAGTGTCACTGGTTGGTGCACGTCCAGTCCAAACAGCAAATTTACACTCGTCACCCTCAATGTGCTCGGTAACACCGAGCTCAGATGTCATGAGGCGACTCTTGTAGAGGTATTTGGCTGCTTTGCCAGCCGAGTCCTTGACTTCTTTGCTGAAGAGTAGGTAAAGCTCGAAGAGAAAGACATGACGATCCTTGCCCTTTCGTATGAGTAGCTTGGGATCCCAGACGGTGAATGAGTCCTGGAGGACAACATCACCTAGAGTATCCAGACGCACATCGCAGCCCTCGAGTAGACTAAGGTGTAAGGCATCGTTAGCTTTTTTAGGCACATTGAGCATCACTTCAAGACCATCCTTTATCTCTCCCTGTCCCTCTTGACAGTGGGTCTGCAGGTCCTTCAGTAATAACTGATACTTGGTGATTCTTTGCACTGGTTTTATGAGGTATGCTGCTATTGGATGCTCAACCCGATGTTTCTTCTGCAAATCCTCGAACCATGGACTGCCATGATCGATCAATAATTGCTGGCTCTCGGGTTTATTTTTGCAATAAGTAACATACATATCGAATTTAACTGCCCACGTTACGAAACAGTGGCCAACGTCCTCAGGCATTGTCTCGTACTTCTCCAATTCACGTAAAAATGTGTCACTGTGAAACTGATATATCTCCTCCATATTGCTGAATATTATTGATTCCTTATTTTGCAGGCCAACTGGCACTTTTCCCTTTCCATTTCTCGTCTCCTCGAGAAAATAACGAATACAAGTTTCGAGATCCTTGACGTAAGTCCTCTCCGTCTGCAACAGCTCAGCCATAATGAATTCCTTGCGTCTAGCTGATCTTCTCTTCTCTTCGTTGAGCTCCTTCAGATCCTTGCCCTTTATCTTGTCCTCGAGGAGAGGATCGGAATTTCTGTCGATGGACAACTCCTTCTGGCCCTCGTCAGACTGAATCCCGAGATCGTCCTCGATCTGGCTCTTGTAGCAGTCCATCCGCATGCTGAATTCCTTGTATCTCTGATCAACTTCACCCACTGATTGTTTAATCTCCGATGCATGGGCATGTCCCTTCTCCATGAGATTATCAGCTAGTTGTATCAGTAATTTAACCCTCTCTCGCATCTCCTTAGCAGCACCCTTGAACTCATTGTGCTCTTGCAGCAACTGCTCATTCTCAATTCTATTTTTTCCAACATTGGTGTGACTAGCCAAGTAGGATTCCCCAGTCTCATGAATCCACTCAAGTGCCTGCTTAGCACTTCGCTCGTACAACACATACTGATGACACTGATCCAATCTCTTCTTCCTCTGCGTCCAGTACTCAAGTACCTTATTCTCCTTGCTCAATAACTCCTCGAGAATACTCTTGACTTTGTTCTCAGATCCAGCAGTGCCAGGCTGATAACTGTAAAACTGTAGACTACGATTTGTATACTTGAGGAATGTCTCGGCTGTTCTGCGAACGAGAGTGCACGCCTTCAAAAACGCCTCTTTCTGCTCCTGATGTTTACCAACAAGCGTTGGTACTTGTCCACCCTTGTCACCACCAGAGCACCAGTCCTCATCCCTCCTGTACTCCCTCTCCAAACTATCGAGCACAGATCTCACCTGTTCAGCTGTTTTATAAAAATTAATACTAGCTGTCACGAGTTTATGCCTCTCCTCAGCACACGTGACCAGTTGCTGCCACCGTTTTGTCACATCCTCAGCGACATCCCTGATGCTCTTTGGATCGTAATGATTGGCGCTCACAAGTGCGTCAGCTCTGTGCTTCACCTGGACAGCTGATGTGTGGGTTTTCTCGATGGCAACCTGAAATTGCTCGTGCTCAAGGCGCAATTGTTCGGCGTCGGTGAGATTTTCAGGTACTCTCAGGGATGCCAGGAGCATGGCTTCACCGTTTCTGATCCAATTAGCAACGTGTTGAGCGTCATTCTGCAGTTGAACCAGTTGAGCTGCTTGCTCCAGTCGAATTCTACGAATCTCGGCGAGATCCTCAGCGTCCATTTCCCTCTCGTTGAGAAATTCTAGGAGTACCTGGACACGAGCACTAGCTGTGTGCTGTCCATCCGCCATGATGCACACTCCAGCCTGCTCGAGAACCTGAGCGAGTTCCTGTCCCTGCTGAAGTACCTGATAAGCAATATTCTGCATGTGAGCGACACCATCGTTGTGAACACGCAGCAATTGCTCTGGGGATCCCTCCCTGGGTGCAGCTCTCAACTCCTGGGCCCACATCTCCAGCTGGCCACTCGTCTCCAGTGCATCTCTCTCGAATATCCTCAGACGAAGGCACAATTCCAGGCGCAGCTTTCGAGTCGCCCAGAGCTCCTCCAGCTCGTGACGAACCACTGCGAGTCGATCCAGTGCTGCCTCAACTGCACTCACTGAGCCTGTCGTGTCACCCTCTGGGCAGTCCTCACGCAGCTCCTCCAGGAGTACCTCACCCTCTTTTATCGTTTCTGAGCAGCCCTTGAGGCAACGACCTCGGTGCTGAGCGCACTTGTCTAGGAGGCCCTCAGCTGTCTCAAGATTCTCAGCCACTTCGTCCTGCTGGAGCTCCTGGCGTAACTCGTCCACCCACGAGCTCAAATTCTTCTCGTGATCGTAGAATGCCACTGCCAGGTCCAGCTTGCAACGACGCTGCTCCACTCGAGCTTTAAAACTCTCCACATGTGCCTGGAGCTCTCTAGCCACTGCGTATATCTCGTCTGGAGCGCATTCACCGGTTTGGGCTAATTCTTGAGCTGCTGTCAGAAGTTTTTCGGCGTTTGTGTACGTGTTCTGGGAAATGGAAACAATATTTCGAGGTGATAACAGACAAGAAACGGATTGATCTATTTAAGTCGTCAGCACCCTGATACAATTCTGAATAGACAGTGTCTATTCATTTAATAATTAAATTACAACTCAAGGTGACTTCCTGATCAATATCTCAATCCAACGGAAATAAACGTGGAGACGTATTCTGTCCGCCTCATCTGCACGCAAAGGGTTTCAATGGAAATAAATAGGTATTCAATTACCTGCGCAACATTTTCAAAGTGTTCGTGACTCTTCTGGTAAACCCTGGCCTTCTGCAAATTTCGTCCGACCCCAGTATTCTTTCGTATGAAAACTTCGCCATGATTTGTCAACCAATCCAGCACTTGCTTGACATCGTCTTGAAATAATCTGCACGCATAATTAAACAATTGTGACGAGACAAAAAATAATAATTGTGAGGAGAGATGAATGATGAGAACACAGAAGGCATTACGAATAATTAAAACCCATACCTCAAAGCCAACCGCTGGTGCAATTTAACTTTTCGGTTGAGCCAGCGGGCCTCGAGTGCTCGATGATGCCCTAAAATCTGATGTATGACAGCAAGCACGTGTGACGCACCCTCGCTGTAATCCGCAGCTGGATTTCCACTCATACCACCCCGATTATCCATTGTGTGCCCATCCTGCTGATTCTGACCGAATAGGCACACAATTCCAATCAATATAATTAATCAGTGAGATAAACAGTAGAGACGATAAATTACAGAAAAACGATGATATTTACATCCAATTACATTCAATTGTATCGATCGTCTACCATGCATTAATTGCGAGATTATATAAAAAAATTTCGAATAATCGAGTCTTTGGATTACCGATTAGGGTCATGCAGCGTGCAAACACAACTGAACGAAAAAAAAAAAGAGAAAAAAAAATATATACAATACAAATGAGGATAGACGTATGGACATACATGTTTTCTGTTGGAGTGGTCAATCCCCTGAGGTTGATTACAAACTTGAACAAGATGATCCAGTTGATAAAGAAGCTTCTTACTGGTACTGTGTACCTAAACATCGATACAAGCCAAAAAGCGTAAACGTGAGAATAACCTTCACCCGAATTAATCTGAATGAAGAATATATGAATGTTATAACGAATAATGTAACAACGAGAAATATCACCAGGTGAATTAACCCTGTAAAATAAATAATTGTTAATGTCTCCAAAAGTACCCAGACCCCCAAGCCAGTAGTACCTGCTAGAAAGAATTGGGGGAATATAAAAAAAAAAACAAAAAAAAAACCAAGATATCGTACATAATCGAGTCCTTCACTGGCACCGGTGACACTAGAGCTGTGACAGACCTGGAGCATCTTTCCCAGTCCGCTCAATAATGCTTGATAGGCGTTGTAAACCTGCCAAATATTTCGTCACTGAACTCTGTCTGACAGATCAATACATCGCACAACATTGCCAATAACATAAATTTATAGAAATATAGGATAGAGTGAAATTCAATGGAATTACCTCGGTGTACATTCTGCACATGAGATCGTAGAGGTCCTGATGCTTCTTGCTGTGTTGCTCGAGCATTTGTATATCATTCGGTAGATTTGACTCAAATGCCTGACTCCATCCATGCACACTGTCCACATACTGCTCGGCTTTGTGATGAAATTGGACACTGAGCTTGAGAACACTTGTTCTCTCCCTGAGTGCGGCATCAAACTCAAGCCATGCACGCTCGAGGCGGCTAGCAACGACCCGAATGTGAGCAGCTGCATAATGCTCCCTCAGTTGTTCAGCCATAGCACCAATTGTCTGGATATTCTTAGCATAAACACTTCTCGAGGTTGAATCAAAGTGTTTGTGCTGCTCTTGGAGCTCCTCAGCGAGCTGATAAGATCTGCCAATCTCCACGTAGTTCCCCAGGAAACCCTGACGACTGTGCCAAATCCAGTCGAACATTTTCTCGCAATCCTGCTCGAATAATCTCAACTGAAAGCACTGATCCAGCTTCTCGCGTTTAATGTGCCAGTGCTGCAGGAGTTTCTGCTGCATCGCGTCGAGGAGATCGACTCGACTGATCACCAATTGTGCTAGAGATCTGCCATCGGGATCAGCACCTCCAGATGCACCAGACTCGATGCTTCCACCCTCACTGGAGCTCGATGTCATGGAATTACTGTAACGCTGGAGGAGCCTCTGGCCCTCAGCTCTCATTCCCTCAACTGGCACCTCCATTATCTTCTTTCGAATCTTGTTGTGGAGCTCGAGACCGTGTCTTGCACCTGCCACATCGTCAGCAAAATCATTTCTCCCCAAGTCCTCCTGCAGCTCCTCGAGACGATCCAATAATTCAGTGGCTTGCCACGTAAAATGCTCAACTGCACATCTGGTTTTAATCCACTTGCCGTGATCATACTGCAGCGATCCATCCAAGTCCACCGTCAACTGCGATGGATCGATCACCTTTGACAGAGCCTCCAGGCTTATTGTATTTATCTGAAATGCATCGAGAGGTATTGGATGATTAAAGGCCATTCAGGCGCGCCTGCACTAGTTATTTTCAGATTGAAAGTTTCAGGGAATACATTGTGGAAAAAATAACATCCCCAAGTTGAGCTTTGGAATATTTTTCAGTGCAGGGTATGATGGTGGGTTAAAAATGTGGAGATGTGCTTTTTTTTTTCTCTCCTCTCCGTGGTATAGGCACATTGTTGGATGCAATTGTGTAGAATAGAGTACTTGTGCCAAAGTAGGACAGTGTCGACTTGCGCCAAGTATCTTCTATTCACTGATACACAAACACAGGAGCACGTATCTGCATTCAAGCTGGGCTATTCCCTATTGATTGCTCCCATTTAGAAAAAAAAGAAAATGTTATAGAACAAGAACTACAAACAACTTACCTCGAAGTTGCACTTTTTTGGTATTGACAGTGATATTCTCTGTTTCTGCCAGAAATTCTCTGGTTTGATGATGAATGCAACGTAGATGGAACGGTGAAAGTGCTCCTGAAGGACCTTCAGTATCTGATGAACAGAATCACACGTGGCACCACGCATATCAATAATCACAGTGAATCTCAGACTTCGTGTCTCGTCATTGGGTACTGCAAGCAGATATTGAAGTAATTTGCAGTAATCCTCAGATTTAGCTCGTTCACGTCTAGCTGTCGTTGGAAATATCAGTACAGGTCCACCACGACGATCACGACCACCAGGCAAAATAGCCAGACGTTCCTCCAGCAGTGGCTGGAGCTCCTTGGCGCCAGTCCCATCCATTTCAATTTACCTCTAAACAATCAAACTAACTGCAACCATAAATATCATAAAATCAATTCCAAATCGTTAATTACTTCCAACTACTAACTCAAACAGTCGGTGCATTGTTGGGATATCGCATGCCCTCATCTTGCAAATCAATCTCTGACCGTGAAAAGAGGGAGAGAAGAGGGAAAAAAAAAAGAGGAACGAGAAGCTGAGGTATATAACGTCGAGGCCACGCTTTAGTGGCTCTCACACACACGTCAAATTGGAGTAAACGAAAGTGGTGATGAGGAAAAAAAAAAAGATGGGAATTCCTTTCTTTACTGGGCCTCTGGGAAGTGTTTGAAGGACAATTGATAAATTGTCAAAATTGCCCCTCCCCCACGCGTCAATCCATCGGCGATACCCCACATACACCAGACTCTTGCCATTTACTTTGGGCTGGGGGGGTATACATAATATACATTGGTAAAATGTAACTGCGTGGGACGAGTAATCAAACCGGCTTACCTCAATTACACCCTCGATTGATATCGTAATAATCTCATGTTTCAATTTTAATCGGTCTAAGAGTACTTGTATAACGCTGTACACTGCACATATTGTTTGGACCATTGGACGAGCCAAAAGTCATTGGTGTAAACCGTGAATATTTTCTTCTGCCATCTTTTCTCTTGTGAGGGCTCAATGGTACTGTTAGCCAATGGCCCCTTAACCACCCGCTTTAGTTACGCCCCGTGTGAATGCAACGCAAAGTACATCCTTGGAAAATAAGAGATCTCTTTTACCGGGCTGAGGTACTCCCCAAACATTAAAAAATCCCTAAATTCAATTAAAAATAATAAATCAAATAATTATATTTATTAATAATGCCCCAATCATGGAGTGAAATTGGAATTGGCGACTCCTGGAGGAGGCGTTTCCGTGGATTCGTCATTTCTGCATTTCATGTGAATTTCTATTTTTCATTCTTCACTATTTTAGTTTCACTTTCTCACATTCTCTCTGATTCACTCATCCTCATACACAAATCATTTTGCGAGCCGGTGCAAATCGCGAATTCTTCACCTGTCAATTCAGTTTAATAAATTTTATTTGTTGTTGTTTATGAGGGAAAATGACGAGTTCTGTCAGTACCAATCCGTCGACACTTTTACCTCTTGGTGAGTTTGAATATGTGGAATTGTTGGGAATTCTTGAGAGTTAACCTGGAAATTGTGGATTGTGTTTATGTTGGGTTTTCAGAGCTCGTTGATAAGTGCATCGGGTCGAGGATTCATATTATCATGAAGAATGATAAGGAGATCGTCGGGACTTTGCTGGGATTTGATGATTTTGTGAATATGCTCCTGGAAGACGTCACCGAGAGTGAAGCCACCCCCGAGGGCAGAAGGGTTACAAAACTAGATCAGATTCTACTAAATGGAAATAATATAACAATGGTAATTCGTCTTTTATTCAATTTTTAATAATTCAATAAAAACTGTAATCCTTTTCGGCTCAAGGATGAGTTTCAATTAATTAATGTCTCTTGTTCCAGCTGGTTCCTGGTGGGGACATGCCGGATACGTAAGCCATCGAGAATTCCATTATTTAAGGCTCGAGTAAGAAAACACGTGAGGCGATAATGAATCCATTATTATTGTACCAAAATTGATAACCTTGGCCTTTTCAATTATATTATTTTTCAAGTACTTAACATTGCGTTCAGACGATCAATTGTAACTCCCAGTGAGGGACGACGTTTAGGTAATTGTGACCACAGCTCTCGGTACAGATTTTTGTAGTCACCCTTGCACTCGTCGTCGAGATTCTCGTCAGTGGGGCGAGATCCTTTTCCAGTTAGGTAGAGAATTGTGTGCGGATGGTAAAGGGAGAAGGGAGATTCTCGGGACAGCAGCTGCCAGGCGAGAATTCCCAGGGAATAAATGTCTGAACTGGGGCTGGGGGGATTACCTTTCGTTATTTCTGGAGCTAGATATCCTGGAGTTCCCTGAGAAATTATTATCTTGCCTCATTACTTCAGGATTCGGTAAAAAATTTGACGAAATAAAACATTTCGAATTTTATATTTCCCTCAATTATCGATTTATCTCGAAAACTACAGGCTTCAGAGGAAAATGCCAAAGAACTTTTTCGTGGGCAACTAAATTCCCTACAAAAATGCTCACTTGGTGTTTTCTCGTAAATCCAGCAGTTTTGGGACATTGGGGCAGTTTTATCGCGTGCGATACTCACTCGTAACATTGCCAATGGATATTCCTCGCCGATAACGACAGAATTACCAAAATCCGCTAGTTTCGGTTGTCCATCCGCAGCAATCAATACATTTTTTGGCTTAACATCCGCATGAACAATACCTGCACTGTGACAAAACTCAAGGGCACGCGATACAGCGAGCCAAGTATTGATTCTCTCAGTTCTATCGAGTGCTGTCTCATCCAATTTATCCTGCAGTGATGTGCCACACAACTCCATGGTCACCAACGACCAGATCCCTCCCTCCTCAACCCCAAACACTCGAACAATATTAGAGTGAGCTAAAGAGGCTGCATTTCTCTCTGCCCTCACAGTTTGATCCGAATTTCTCCTGCGCTTGACAATTTTAGCCGCCACTTCACTCCCTGTTAAAATAAAATTCAAGCCAATCTTGTGAATTCTCACAATCCCCTCAGGATTTTCAATTCACCTTTGTAAGAAGCTCTGTAAACCGTGCCAAATGCTCCACAACCGATGATGCTATTCTCCTCGACCTTCGGTGGTCCATTCTCAACGATTCTCAATCGATTCGGAGTATCGATACTCAATAAACACCTGGCTTTTCCCTTTGGTGGAGTTTTAGGGCTCAATGTCTGTCTGAATTAATTTATCTATGAGATCAGAATATTAAATAAAGTATTCAAGTCTCACCTGACACTGAGAAAATTCTTGGACGGCTTCGGAGATAAAATTCGTTGTGTAACTGTTGAAACAACGATCCTCGGGGAAGAGGCCATTATGACAGAACTATATTCACGTTTATTTCGCAATTACTCATTACCTCAGCGATAATAAGAAATTCTGTATTTCTGTTCGATCCCACTTACATTTCAAATTCATTTGATCACAACAGAAAATGCGAGGAAATGGAAATGGAAAAACACAAGACAGATAGAGGACAAAATTAAAATATGATTTATTCATTACTCGTAATACTGTACGTTAACTCGATTATTTACATAATACTATATTAACGAATCTCTGAATTATTATCTATTATATCATCTGCAGTGGCAATAGTGTACGTGATAACGTGTCGATAGAATCGAATTATTCAAATGTTTTAATTTTCCTCGATATTTAATTACATATTACCAATAGTCTATGAGTCTATCACAATAACGTAACTATGGGGCTAAATTCAATCTCTCAAGATTGTCTCTCAAGATCAATCAAAAATACAATATATCTCTCGTTCTGTTTTTATTTTCGTGTTAAAGCTCGACTGTTCTCTCGAAATATCTGGAATTACATTATCATACCGACAACTCTGAATTCAACACGTGTAAACCTATTCACCCAACACGTTACAAAATATATTTATCTCTCTCTAATACCCTCGCAATTGAAAATGTCACCAAACTGTTTTTATTTCTGTAATTTTTGATTAAATAAAATTGAAAATACGGATGGGATATTTCTGTCGATTCAGATTCAACACTTTGTGCTTAGCTCCATAATCATATAATCAACCATTCAGGTACATTTTTCAAATATAATAAACTCTTATGGCATTCGTCTTATTGTCCAACTCGAAACCCTTGCATTTTTTGATTGTATCTTATCATGAAAAATAGGGATCTCACAAGTTATTTCGAGGAGGTTTACAAGCCTTGAATTATCATTCACTTGTCGCACCATTTGTTCGATAGTATTTTCTACTCATAAGTACATTACACCTTAAACCTTGGCAAACAGCACCACTAATCGTACACATCCCTTGATCCAACGGATTAAAAATCCCTCCAAAATCATCAATCAGGTATTGCTGAGGTAGCATCAACTCCCAACGAGTTACAATTTCAAATGTTCCAAGATAAATCATATGGAATAAATAACTGTTAGCACCAATGATCAATGTATTCATCTAATAAATCTGTCGATATAACTTGTCTGTGAAACGTAAAACTGAGCGGTGTATCACTACGTTAAAATCGTAATTATCTATATACACTACTGATATCTCAAATATTTCTCAGTGCTGATGCCACAAGATCACACGACACCGAGAAAAATTCGAATCCCTCCCCACTACTCCCCTAAACGCCAAAAAATCCTCAACTACGCGCTCTATAAATTATTAATTGACAATTATTCACCTAACAAAAATAAGCCCACCTACAATGTCATAAGTACTCACAAAATCATGTGAACAAGGGGATAAAAATTCCCCTCAAACTTGTCCCTCAATTAGTCGACCCTTAAAATGCAAATTTTGAGCCAATGATTAACGACAATCTCCACAACTGATCAATGTGGCAAAGTGGAATAATTGTTAGGAAGAATAAAATAGTCAGGGGGTGGGATGGAATAAGGCACAAACTGTTCTAACCAGGTAATGGGGCCTCCTCGTAGAAATCAGGCTCATCCTCAACAGTCTCATGATCAGGTTCTTTAGTATCGAGTGCTCGTAGTTCAGCTGGTGTGAAGAATCTAGTCATCTGAGCTCTGAGTGGTATCATGAGAATAAGGAAGAATGGTAGTGCCAGGGCAGCTGTTGTGCTCTTAACAATCCACAGGACGGTCAAGCAGAATATCTGAATAAGTGTGAAAATGTGCATTTTGTACGTTTGTACGCGTCTAACGTAATTGGCACCACCGTGATGCTTGACTGGCATGAAGAAGAGTTTGACACGATCGAATAATTGTACACCATTGGTCGATGATATTCCCATGTAAAGGAAGACACCGAGGAGTACAGCCATGGGTACGCGTCGCAGTAGTGGAGCCATCAGGACAGATACACCAACAAGAATGGAAACAAGAAGTGCTGATACCCTCTGCTCCTTCACCTCGACGATGTGGGGCTTGTCACCAGGTGCATGAGTCCTTGACATCACTGTAACAGCTGACACGTGGGTCAGTGATCTCACTGAGGCTGCTGAACACCAGGGTGCACCCATCAGTCCACATCCCACATTCATCAGACACACTACAACAATATCCATGTGATAACCGCACCCCTTTCTCAATTTTCTCTCCTTCTTATCAATTATCAACTCCGATATCTGAGTCTCCATGAACACAAGGATATAAACTAATAACGCTGGTACCACACAGGCAAATGCCATCCACACAGGCACTGCATTCTCACCACCAGTGGGTGATACCAGCCAACTCCTCCCTCTTATCGATGGGGTCAACCCCTCTGGGACCAGCAATTTCTCGGTCTTGACGTCCGCCAAAAAATCAATCAGAACGAATGTTATTATACTGAGGGGTACACCAAAGTCCCCGAAGGCCCTCCGAGCACTGCGACCCAGGTAATGACTGTTTCTGAATATTCTCAGGTAATAAGCACCCAGGAACGTCCCCAGGCACAGAATAGTGCACATCAGTGCAGTATTGGGTTGATTGATGAGTATCATAGAAGGGTTGTACCTGGGTAAGGTGCCATTTGAGCAGAAATCATAATTCAACGTCTCATTCATCTCACCCTGACCCGTTGAGTTGAGAAAAGTGCTGTTGTCATTTTCGCAGGCAAAGCAGTACTCATGGAGCAATGGATTTCTCTGGAAATAATTAACGAGCTTGACGAATGTCTCCACGATGTAGAGTAGAGATATCAAACCCGTGAAAATTTCTTCAGTGAATCTCGTGAATAGTCGCACGAGAACTGATCCCTCGGCGCAGGCCACCGTCAGGGCAATAATTCCCATCCATCCCCCCACGTAGACCCTCATCGTGAGGAAATCGAGAGCATTCTGATTGCAAAAGTTGTAGAGACTCTCGTCGAAGAGTAAAAGTGGTCCAGTGGTGCCAATGATCACCAGGGGTTGAGTGGAAAACAACGCCATGATGACTCCTGTCCAGCAGCAGGAGACGAGAGTCTCTGATATTCCAATGATATTGTGAGTTTTGTCACTGATGAGACCCCCGAAGGTGATGGCAGCGCAGAGGGCTGCGAAGTACATGAAAATGGCAGCAGCTAGACAAGAAGAATTCAGTCCATCCGTGAAATCTGACAGATAGAATGGATATCGTCGTTTTATGTCGTTGACGAGACCTCCAAAGGGCCGCCGAGTCCTCCTCAGGGGATCACTGTCATCCGGAGGCTTTCCCTCCTCCCCAGCCAGCAGAGCTTTCTTCAGGGCTGACTCATTGGCTTTCTCCACTTTGGCAGCTTTAGCCAGTGCCTTGGCCTTTCGATTTCTTATCGCCTCGCTTTTGGATTTCAACTCGTCAAAGGGCAATAGTGCCTGACGCTCCCAGTCCCCAGGTGGTAAGACTATCGAGTCATCCAGGAACTCGTTTATTGCAGAGAGCAACTCTCGACGCTCTGTTGCTTTGTAAGCGACCTTGTGGAAGGATGTATTTGCCATCAATGTTGAAATTGATCGACCAATCTCGTGGTAGTCCAGGTCGGCGTTGCGAGGTCCCAAGAGGGTGAACATAAATCTCACTGGGATATTCACTTCTGTTATTGTAGGGAGAAGAACACCCTCCGCGAGTCGAACGAATGCTATCGTCGGTTGATCGAGAAAATCAACAGCACCCACGAGAACAACTGTAGCTTCTGCACCGGCTGGTATTCTCTTCAGGATGTACTCGTTACGATTTTTCTTCAGGTCCTCACTACTGCTGCTTGTGTACGTCATCTCTTCTTTCATGTCGATGGTCGTGTGATGATTGTCTGGGAGCTGGGGCGAGAGGATCTTCGGTTTAGCGTCCTGCAGATTCTGGGGAAAAAAAGGGGCTCGTGTTAGTGGTATGAAGACATCGTTGCGATATTCTTTGGCTGACGGGGAGGATGACTCTGTTTTGGATGATAAACACAGAGTGATTTACACCTAGAGATAAAGTTGTGACTGGCGCTAGAGTGTGGGGAGATGAACGGTTGTTCGGTTGGACAGGGTGATGATGGACTCACAGGACAACTGCCTCAACTATCTCCACTAAATTAATGATTGTCGGATTAATTATCGAGGGGAGAATTGATTTCTACCTGTAGGTCCATTCGGGTTATTTAAAACTCAACTAATGAACGATTAAAATGATTTTTTTTGCGAGAGTGTGGAACAACGAGAGATTTAACGATTAAGTTACATGGTTTTCTGTGTTCTCCCGCGCAGTATCTTCCTCTTCCAGCCAGATAGACTGCGGAAATAATACAACAGCACCGTCAGTAATTTTTTCTAATTAAGAGACTCCGATGAAAAAAATGGTGAAAAAAATTGGAGGAGTTATCGGGGTTTATCATATCCAGGGAATCTATAGGAATATTTAAAGTATTTTCCATTTGTTTAATTATAAAGATTCACTTCTAAAATCAGTAATGAAATGTTTAAAGTAATTAAAGTAATGAGAGTAATCGATTAATGATGAATTACCTGAAGGGAAGTGTAGCTTGCGTAATTCCTCTTCCCCCCGAACCTGAAGCCCCTCTCGTGCTCATGAACATGTCGATGTCTGAGCAAGAGTGCCCTCATGACGACAGGTCGATCCTCGGGGAGAATGAGCTCCTCGATGACCATCTGCTCGACTACCCTGTACGCCAGCCCAGGCACGTCCTTCTCCTCGAGGTCCAGCAGGACAACTCCAGTCTCAAGACATCGCCGAAGATTGAGGAGTGAGTGAAAGCTGAGAGATGCCACGTGAGGTCTACCCCATCTGTCTGCACCCTCTTCGACGTCCTCCTCGTATTTTATCCACCTGGCAGTCTCCCTCCACTCCCTCTCCTCACCCACCCCGTGGAGTTCATCGAGCTGGACGAATACCTCGTGGGGCGAGTGATCGTACATCTTCTTGAAGGTCTCGTGGGGTATTCCGCCCTCTTTTTTCCTCCCAATTTGCACCGTCGAGTGCGCGGCCTTGTGCCGACGCATACCGCGGGGATCATCGCTCCGGTGGGACTCCAGGTCGTCGATGTCCAGCTCCTGGAGGGTGGATGCCTCCTCCGGCTGGACCGATACTCGTCTTCCCATCGGTCCAGCCACATCCGGTAGACCAGCGCCCGATCTCTTCCTCCATTGGGGATCCTCTTGGAGGGAGTACTTCCGGGACTTGTGGTGATGCCTTCTGTCAATAATTTGGGGGCTCGTTACGTGATGTTTATAAATATGGCTCGGCAGGCACTCGGCACGTGCCAAATATCACTGCAGCCTCGACATTTCGTCGAGTTGTTAATTAACGAGACTTTATTATTTATGCGATTTGTTTGATCCATTTAATACATGATTGCATTAAATTTGTTTACTTTAACATTCATTATTTTTTAAAATATTTCTCCTGTTTTTAAGGGATTAATTATCATTTGGGAGATGATTATGTCAAATGATTCATTAATTGTTGAAAAAATTTGATTTTGCGACAAAAATCGTGGATCGAGCCCCAGGGGGTGGGAGGTGAGGTGCAACTTTTTTTTTCATTCCGATATTTCATAAAAGTAATTTTTTTTTAATCCCACATCAGGCCCCGATTTTTCTCAAACGTGCAAATCCAAAAATAAAATAAATAATGGTCCGGAAAATCACACGATAAAATCAGCAACGATCAAGACCATAAATTAAATGGATTTAACAGTGAGGATTAATACGCGTATAATGAAAATAAATGTTTATCACCTAAAATCACAGAGTGAAATGTGATTGAATGACGAGATGGATAATAAACGGATAAGGGATGTACCGTCTGATATCACCGATGCGGTCGTGAGATCGATCGTGGATGACAGGCATGTCAACGATAGATGAGCGTCTACTGAGGGGCCCAACTACAATTATTGACATTCTGACAGTTGTACTTGTATACTTGTCAGGCGCATGAACAAAACTCAAATGAAAAGTCCCACCCAGAATGCCTGGCTGATGGCCATGGCACAAGGCAGTACGCGGCCTGTCTACGGGCAAAAATAAACTTGCCACTGTATTTTGACAATTGTAGTTATCCGTAATTGTCGAGAGGCACGCGAGGATACCGCACTCACGAGGATTGTTTATCATTTATTTATTTTTTCAACCGACTTACTTGTGCTCGTGCTTGTGCCGGCGTTTTCGGTCCTCCTCGGTGAGGGCCTCTTCGTTCTGAGGGGACTGGTCATCCTCTTCCTGGATTTTCTCGAATTGAACACGTGGTGCACCCGGGAGAGGCGATTCAGTGTATCCCAGTGCTGCACGCTCGGATAAGGGCGCTTCGGACTCACTGCTCAGGGTATTCTCCTGGTCATCCGGGGAGATTGTCCCATCACCTGCTGATGGCGCGTCCAGGGTGTCACTGTGAGCTGTGTCACCGTTTCTCGTTGTTACGCTGTCCTCGTCTGGCTCTTGATCCGTTGAACCCTCACTTCTCACGAAATCATCATTTGTCAGTTTCGATAAGAATATTTTGTAGTAATAATGGGGGAAAATTATTTATAGTCAAACTCACGTTGACAAATGCCTTCTCATTGATCTCGAGTGTAAACTCTTCAGTGGCATGTGAGGATGGGGATAACTTCGTTTTCGGTGTTCTGAAATAATCGAGGAGACATTGAAATAACGATGACCGATTAAATAATAACAGAACAACATCATGAGTAGGAACAATAGGGGAAGCCCCGCAGTTTGTCACTCAGAAAATAAATATCAATTCAATTCTTTTCATGGAGTGCATGATGCATGCGACTTGTCCCTGAATATTGTTCTCCGGGAAGTGGCTATTTGTCAGAGATAAAGTAATGGCTGCAACTGACGTTCAATGAAATTGAACATTTTTCCATCACCCGTTTATCTCGACATCTGTGGATTTGAGAGAAAAATGATATGGAACTTTTTTGTAGCTCATGAAATTCCCGACGAAAAAGATGTCTTGGTGATTTATCCTGGGACCAGTAGTTGTTGAAATAAATTCATATTTCAATTCATTTAAAATTCCCTTCACTCTCCTATCAATGAAATTGAACATTTCTCCTAATCACGCGTTTATCTCGGAAGCTGTGGATTTGAGAGAGAAATGATATGGGACTTTTTTGTAGCTCATGGAATTCTCGACGAAAAAGATGTCTTGGTGATTTCTCCTGGGATGCGTAGTTGTTGAAATAAATTGATATTTTTGGTAATACTTACGATTGAGCACCTGATCGCCATACCGTGGAGGTGGTCCACGATCTCTATCGCGATCAGATCCAGCTGATTCCGAGGGTGATCCCAATCTAGCTACGTCGAATTTCTCACCAGAGTCCATGGCGAAGACCTTCTCCATCTCCTCGTCCAACTCCGGCACCGTTTCCGCGCCATTTCCGTCGGTCTAAACATCATTTTCCCATTGGATAAAGATCACTCGAGCTACCGTAATTAACTCCTAATTCTATTACACCGTAATCTATTCGACAAATGGATTATCACTTGACTAATTGAATCAACAAACCCGATGAGATTTTTCCGATATCAATTGCCCGACTCTCCAGGATTAAATTCAATTCACTAGTGACAAAATCGTGACAAATTCGTGATAAATTCTTGATAAATTCGTGATGAAGTGACTGCTGACATTGACTCGTCCACCCGAGGAATTCATTCCCCCAAAAATACTTTGAATTTCGCACTCAACACACCTACTTATCCCCTCCCCCATCGCGAATTGCAGTCTCATCACGTTTAATTAAAAAAAAAACAATCTGATTGTCGAAGGTAATGAACAATAATTCACTGATTGTCGTCCAATTGAATTGATTAATTGGAGAATAAAAATTGATTGTTGGAGAACATTTGGAGAACTCTCGGAGAACAATTTTTTTTTAATGAAATTCACCTGGTGTGCAGTCAGGAGTGAACGTCGCAGCCAACGGAGAACCTTTCCCCGCGCTTTCTGGAGGAATGACTTCCCGGAGGAGCTGGCACTTGCCTCGGGCATGGCATCCCGGGCACGATTGAAGCGGATATACAGCGGTTTCGCGCAGGCTGACAAGTGCTCTCTGCGTTACCACCCCCTGAGGGCCCACCCACCGGGTCGATACGCAACTTTACGATTAAATTCACTCTAATACGTGGACAACAGTCTCCCCAGGGTATCAGGACAGCCCTCTCACTCGGATTATACGTTATTTATTATTTTATAATCATCGGCAACCCTTCGTCGGGGGATAGGGTGTGGAGTCACTGGATCATTATGATATATCCCGTGATATTTTAGATTTGTCGATTATTCTGGGGGCGGGCAGCTTGCATACCTGGGGCATACCTGGAGCAACAAGTGACATTTGCTCGGGGTTCTACCTGGAAAAGGTCTCGGTCGTCGTGGACATTTTTTTTTTACATCCTGGAGGATATAATTTATTGCGAATCTTCCATCCGCGTTTTTGGGGGGACGATCCTTTCGTACATTGTCCTGGGGAATTAGAACTCTCGGGGATAATTTTTTATCGGGGAAGATGAATGGGGGAGTTCCGGAGATCAATCATCCGGGAGAATTTCGTCGCAGTTCCTTCCGGAGGAATTTCTCGTTGAAATCCCACGAAAATATCGGAAATACTTTCAGGAGTTGCGAAAAATCCAATTATCCTTTTTATCTGAATGATAATTGAATGGATAATTGGAATTTCTGCGTGATCATTAAGTTGTTTAAATGATTTTTCAAATTATTTTCAGGTAAGTGAGTGCATATGATGGATTTATCGACCATCCTTGGGTGTCCGGAGAGCGACGGCGCGGTTTTTCCACAAGTTGCTACCACCCACTCCACCCAACATCGACCGCCCCCTCCTAGACCCAATCCTATCTATAGAATACAATAGCCCATCTAGCTGTGGCAGTGACCTTGAACCTCAAAAACCGACACGTTTTCATTTAATCTCCACGACGCCTCGTCACGAGCTCCAGGAAGTAAAATTCAAGAAAAAAAAAAAATGAAAACTCGAATTATTCATTGACAATTATAATTACGTCATTCTGCGATTGCTATTGTTATTGTTATTCTTCTATATTGTTTAATAAATATAGGAGTCCAGATGGTGCAGCAGGGCAGAGCGATTTTTTGTGGTGATAAAATAAAATAAAGAAATAGGAATTTTGCAATTTGAAAATTAATTTGGTAATGGGGTAATGTTATTGCGTGGAGATAGAGAGATAATGACATTGGGGTGATTGACAATGATCTCGGGTTATATGTTTCTTAATCTAATCTACGGCTTCTGATCGGTGTTACATAACGAAGAAATTCTCGCAACTGCAATCGTTTGAGAGGAAACGATAAATCCATTGTTTTTTTCTCGTGATAATAGCTTTTTTGCGATGGGAAAAACGTCTCCGAGGGGCGGATCTCGTGGGCACCAGGTCAAAATATTTACAGTAAAATCGAGTTTGACGTGTCCATTTAAATCCAGTGACTCGAAATATTCATGGGATGACGTATTGAATTTTTCGACTCATCTCCTCCTGTCACCGTCGATCCCCAACGAGGAAAAACAAAATAAGAATGATTGATTGATCGTACCTAATGACTTCTTCGTCGGTAAAAAATTCTGGCAAAAGAACTCGGAGGAAAAACTAAAACTCAAAGAAAAACTCGAATTTCCCGGGAGCATCCGACATAATTCCGTCTAATTATATTCAAGTCTAATTGGTGTAATTAATTAACGCGATTTATCATGGGCACCTCTGAATCCTTATAATTTCTCGAATAAAATAAAATCCCCATTGATCTGTTATTTCCTCGTGATTCCCTCGACGATTTTCCCTCGATGATTTTCAAAATCACATTTTCCAACAGCTTCTCTGACGTCACGATTTTCCGCGATTTTTCTCGTGATGACTGCCTCCCGAAACCGCTAGATCCCGAAAAAAAGCTGGGATAATACGGAAATGGGCGATCACGTCAGAGTTGGGGAAAAAATAAATAAAAAAAAGAGGCACGACGAAGCGGGACGACCTCGCAAACTTATTGGCCTGATTGTTGACGGTCACAAGTCAATAACCATTTAGCGTCTCGAACAGCTATGGTGTTTAAAATCTGTAAATGCCCAGAAATTCCTCATCACAAATGAAATCGTCAAGTAAATAATAACGCCAGCGAAATGAGAATTTAACGCATACCAGAGGTGTCAGGATGGGCGTCGAATTACAATGTCACAGCGTTAATGAACCGTGCAAATTAAAATCCAAATTGATAACGAATCGAGGGGTAACATCGATATCAGATTAATCATCGATAAATTACGCGGATTTTTATCGATAGGTCATTGATAATCGGATTGATTTTGAATTTTACTCACCGAGGGCCGTTTGCCAAAGCCGAGGAAGGATAATTTTCTTTTAGTACTCAGTGAAGATTTGCGATCCATTATTTGCGTTATCGGTGGATCCCGTTGACCGAGATGTGTGTTACTTTCTAATGTCCTTTTTCCTCGGTGCTCGACCAATCCTCAGCCGAGACGGAGATGTCCACATGTAGAGGTGTCGGGGTAATGCAGGCACCGTGCTGTTAACTTCTGGAAAAATCCAAATGATTAAATATCACGAATAATCCTGTTGAGTAATTAACGAACAATTATCAATCGCACTCGTCACTATCGAACCGATCACCAGAGCAACGCACCACTGACTGACTTGCTCGTCCAACAGACCAGGACAATAATGACACTCGATGATGGAAGCCAACTGCAAACGATTTTTCATCGTGGAAAAAATACTCACGAATTTACCAGCGATGTGAATAAACCGTTCAACTCCATTTTTCGATTAATCGATTAATATCTCAGTAATGGAGGGTGATACCGAAATTTTCGTGGAGACCTTTTTTGTTGGGCTAATTACGAGCTAGAAAAAAGGTGATTACGAGAATTTTTGTATTTCCAGCGGATTTTGAAATATTTGGGGATGGAGTTGGAGAAAAAAATTAGGTGGTGAATTTCGTGGGTGTGGGTTACTCTGGGGGTTGCACCGGGTGTTTTTCTCGCGGATGCGGGGTTTGAGTGATGATTGCCGATCGATTTTTATTGTGAAGTGGAAATAATGTTGCGATGTTGGGAATTTAATAGATCGGCCTTGCTGCAGACAGTGGGAGAATCATCGATCTGTATCGGATGTTTTCTTTTAATGCACTTGACGAGTTCCAGGGGTGTTGCTGTTTTAGTGGAATTATTAGCATATCAATTGGTTTTCTTAAATGATATTGAGACAAGAGATCACGACAAAGCATTTATTCACGCGGCAACAGTTGTGCCTCGATAGGAAGTCGTTAATTAATTGAAAATTGTTTCTGAATCGTAGTTTTTAACGAGGGGAGATTATTCTGGCGACCTTCCAGATGCTGTCGACTTGGAAAACAGATCCTCTGAAAAATTGTTTCGCTGGTATTTTATTTTTTACTCGCGTAAATGGTCCGCTTCTTTGCAACCTTGTGCTGGAAATGAACCAATGCCTCTCGATGCCGCTGGCAGTCACGGGTGCTATTCACCAGGTGAATTATTTTATTTTTATTCCAGTAATTCATTATTTTAGGGATCAATTGTCATTAATTCTGATTAATTCTGATTAGTCGCGTGATAGTTCAGATAAGATTGAGAGGAGGAAAGTCACGAGACAAACTGCTGGTTTACACATTCAATCATGTATCAATTGGATGCAATTAGCGGAGGGTGACGAAACGTTTGAATTATCAGGGTAATTAGTCTTTCGTGTTGATTAATGTGAGAATTAGGGTTTCAAGTGGCCTGAAACTCCAAACGCTTGTGGAGTTAAAGAAAATAAAAAGGCCACGCATTAAACAATTAATAGAGTAAACAATGAAGTTGAATAAATAATTCGTAATGTATCTTATGAATTTTCTCAGCCCAGGGGATTCTATTTTCAGTGGGAATTGGCGTGGATGACTACAGGAAGTATCAATTACACAAAATAATTCTCGATATATCTGATCAATTTTCATCGTGTGTATGAGTCACGCATATTGATCAGGACGATATTAGGGATTAGTACTCTGACGTTCAAGACGGATTACTCATTTATCCACTTGCAAATTAACTTACGGTAATACACATTGAGTATCGATCCGATTGCTATTTTTCCCCTCATTCAACTGACGAATCACGATTGGTGAAAGAGTGTCACGGTTGGGCCGGTGTTGCATAAAAATTCTAGGTATTTTTGCAATAATTATTAATTCCAGTGAACCGCCAGATGTTTATTAAGAAATTTATTTCATGAATTAATGGAATGTGATTGCATTAATTTGAGATATTAATTTTAATATTAATTATTAATATATATTAATATAATTATTAGTATTAATTTTAATGGTGTTATTATTTTTGAATACATCAGATTATGAATGAGATAATTTTTTTAAAAATCACCGGACGGCACTAAAAATACGAAAATGTGTCTGTCATTTAATTGGAAATATCCCGGGGATCTTGGAGCAGCTAGAGCCCTCGGCCACGTGGAATCACTCGAACTTGTATTTAAAAATATATATTTCTAGTTGTGAAAAAAAATGGGAAAGATCGCGTGACTGACAGGACAGACGGTACACGCAGTGCATTAAAAACGCCCTCGTATCGTTGAATTCGTCATCATTGATTATTAATTCCACAAAATCCAGCTGTTCAATTGCTGTCTATACTCCAGTGTCTATTTCTATACTCGAGTACTTATTTATTCATCTGTGAGAAATTGTCTCGCCGAAAATTTCGGTTGAACTCTTGGAAATTCCTAACGGGTGAATTTTCCACAATTTTTTTTAATTCAAAACCTGTGGCATCGGGGGAAGGTACGTGGGAACTAAAATCCCCAGAAAATTCTTGGGATTTCTAATCTCCACGAATTTTTTGGGAAGTCGATAATAAATATTCATCTGTCACAGGGTGACGTCTCCCTTTTTCGAGGAATAACTTTGAATGGAATGGGGATAGGCTAATTTTTGTTGGGACCTTTTTTGTAGAGTGGATTGAGAGCTACAAAAAAGTCTCTGCAACAATTTTGCTGTCTATCTTGAATTCTGAGATATTTCTCTAAAATCGACGCATCATTATTTGTCTTTTCGGTATCAAGACAAATATTTTTACCGGATGATTCAGTCAAGAATTTTTCGACGATGCGACAATTCTTGGAACCTCGGTAGCAATTTTTCATTAATTCATCAAATCTAAATATTTGTCTCTGCATCACCGAGAATTTTATGCGCCATTTGTAATTGTTTACATTCCCGCGATAAATCGTTGTAATGCGGTCTCGAATCGTCGGTTATATCGGGTGTTTAGACAGAGGAATTGAAACAGAATGTATTTACAAGATGTACGTCATTATTATCAGTGACAATCGATTCAGGGAAAACGATTCCTGATCGCAATAGAATTGTCACGCGGTCAGGGGCACTGACATTTCCACTCCACCCGGGGATTTCTCCATGGGGTTCAACTCCTCGAGCCCATCGTAAAAAAGTTGTCACGAGTGTTGAGATCACGTGAAAGGTTTTTATGAGAGACGCTGGAGGTTTTCTTTCTCTTCAAAAATCCATTGAATAATCATTTAATCCATCACCTAATTGATCAATTCTTCATTACCATAAGACAAGTCTTAAATAATAATTTGAGTTGAATGGATATTTTATTCGTATGTAATTTGACCCCAAAAATTTGTCTACTCGAACGAGACAATTTATTTATTCATCCAGGATTTACGGAGTGACTAAAAACCCTGGAATAGGAAAAACTCCACGATAAACTCGATAATTGTTGAATAGATAAAAAGAAATATTCTTTCATTCTAACTCGCCACCGGAGCATTCGAAAAAGTCACGTAACTGTCACTTGAATCCAGTAAATGATAAAAAAAAGAGTGCCAAGTCCCTCCCGGAAAAAAAAGAATATCCTTATCATCAAAAGGGTGTGGTGCTCACCTAATTCTCGAGGTGATGTCCACCGATGATTCCCAGGAGAAGTCGTCGGAGTCTCCGTAGTTGGAATGAGGTCCTGGAGACCTCACTAACGTACCCCCAGTTCAAATAAAAATACCCAGAAGAGGGAGAGAGATTGCCAGTTAAATCACCGAAGGTTTCTGCCCTTTCAACTCCTCTTGGAGGTCATTCTGCATTTCCAGGAATTCATGGAGTGTAAAATTGTGGTCGAGGGGTACGTCGACGAACTCCAGAACGTCAAATTGTCCTTTCACAAGTCCAGGATGTTTCAGGATGTTTCAGGATGTTTCAGAATGTTTCAGGATGTTCCAAGATGTTCCAGGATGTTCCAGGATATTCTAGAATGTCCCAGGATGTCCAGGAGAAAGGGCCAATCCCTCTGTAGCAATTGGCAAGGGCTTGTCTCGTTTTTTATGGTTGGTTTTATTGTCTTGACTCAAGTTGTGTTCAGAACGTTTGACGCAGAACAATATCAACACATACCCGTGTCCACTGGCAACGGCTGACTGTTCTCAACTGGCAGACCGGCACTTGGCCTGACGCTACTGTCTCCTTTATTTATTTTTTTTTTCTCTCTTTTTCCCCTACACCGAGGAGAACCGAAGTTTAAACTTGCGTCGACTCAACCCATTGGCGATGCTCCACTGGTGTTTCTCTCCTGATGACACATTCATCGGTTTTTTATTCCACACACAGGTATATTATTAGGGTGGCTATCAGGCTGGCCAATTTCACCAGGTCTTTTACTTTGACTTCCTTTTTTATCCTGACGAACTCACACACGTGTGTACCCCACCTCTACACCCTTTTGTTACCGGATCTCGACTCCATTTTGGCACTACTGGAGATAACTCCACGGAAACGGGTTTTGACACGTGCCATTCCCCAACACCCGTTATATTTTCTGCATTAATAAATAATTTTTAAATTTTAGTCACTCCTTGGCAGCGGGTGCGTAACTCGTCACAATTTGACATTTCTGGGGATTTTTTTAAGGAATTCAAAGCAATTGTCAATCAATCGATGATTGATCAATCACTAGTGGATCTAATCCTTTTTTTTTATTCATTTAATCATTTGATTTTTCTTATTTAATGCCTGTAATGTTAATTGTGGGAATTGTTTGAGGTATCGTAAATAAACAGAGAACATTTAAAAAATTTACATTACGTTTATTGATGATGACTTGCTCTGTGCAATTGTCCACGTAGATTACTGTATTTCTGAATATTACAAATTAAATAAAAAAAGAGGTACGTTTATAAACATTAATGAACGTACACTGGATTGAACTGGCATTTGTCGTCTCGTGAAAAATTTTATTCAACGCAATAATTCTTATTTTCCACATTTGCCACTTGTTGAATCGTTACAAAAAACTACAAAAATTGCTGCTAACCAGCAGTCGTGAAAAATCGTCATCAGCAAGTGCCAAAGCCTGGGGTATCTGATTTTAATCGAATCCTTCCATTTACTCCAGCTTTTATTTCTATTTTCGTTTTTTTTTTTATCGGAAACACAAATCTGGAGATTCGAACGCGACAAGTCGGGGATTACGTGTCCTAGTGACAATTATTGTTGCTTTTTAAGTATATATAATCAACGTACAAATTATAATGTCATTATACTAGGAAACGGGAGTTTATTGTTTATATGTACACATGCACATCACGCGGCTCCAGACTGCGGAGGGGGATGAATTATTGTGGGGGTGACGCAGCCGCGGGAAGATTAAAAAAAATGATAAGATAATGATTGAGGGGAAAATAGTCAATGAAAGTTACGGTACACCTTACGGGCAATTAATCTAATAAAAATGACAAGTATTCCACATTCTTACCAACTACTAGTATCAACATTTATACATAATATAAACGACATTTCTCACACACGCTATTATCACTCGCGATAAATTTTCATATATTCCTGATAACGCAGGTTGAATTGATTTTCATTATTCCTTTCGATTATGTTAATTGATTTAATTCATCAGCAAAGCAATAGATTAATCGGTTTATCTCCCAAACGGTTCAATGGAAATTTTCACTCGTTTATTTATTAATTTGCTATTGAATTATTGTGTTTAATGTAGTGATAATGAGAAGCTTGATCGGTAAATGAGACACTAGGCCAAGAAATAAGAGGATCCACATTAACTTATGGTGGATAAACTCGAGGTGGAGAAATTTATCGTGATTATTCTCATCGTCAACTCGAGGAATAAACAAATGATTATATTTATCCACTACTTCATTTAATTACTTAGTAAATTCGTTGCTGCTACTGTAATTGCTAATTCATTATGAAAAATTGAAAGATCAATGGAAATGAGATGAAGTACTTGATATTGGTCTGGGGATATCAATTATGGAGGTGAATGGAGATCAATGAGCATCGGTCTGTCACTTTAACCAGAAAATCAATTCATAATTGTTTTTTTTTTTTCAATCACAGGGGAATAATTTTTTTAGGACAAAAAGGGGAGGGATCCTTCGGGGAATATTTACAAATACGCGGATTGCACTAGTCTAGAGAGAAATAGAAAGAAATTAGAGAGAGAATAAACAGAAATATTTGTGGAGCCACATGTGTGCGATTACTTAGAGGCGATAAGTTTTAATTTATTCAAGAGAAAACGAAGGGGAGGGAATAACTTTACACCATTGTGACAAGACCACGTCCTGACCATTTTAAAAATAATAGAAAATAATACGGTAATTAATGGATTAAAAATTTGAGCTCAATTATCATTTCGATACAAAAGAAACCACAGTGAAAATAGGATAAAAATCATTGAGTCATTATCGGCAATAATCTTGATAAAATAACTGCCAACTGAAGTGTTATTTCGTACGCGATTGTCCTCATTACAGAAGGACATTCAATTGAATTTATGACCTTACATACTGTTTATTACCAGAGTTACAATTACGTAAAAATAATTGTATTTGGATCGACCGTTTTGGAGGAATAACTGAGTATTCAATCTTGAAATCGATCTAAAATGCACAATTTCACATATTCCTTTGGATAACTATTCCAATAATAATGAGCCTACTTTATTATTCTTCTCTTTAAACTCTTGTTTTTTTTTGCTACAGTCGATCGGTCAGTCTGCTCCAAACTGGAGCCTTGAGAAATAAATTATAATATACGAGAAAAAAAACATTTAGCTGCCCCACACAACCTCAGACATGTTAAAAACGTGTGAGAGCATTGTTTTGGCATCACCAGAGTTTAAAAAAACAACGAGACAATTACTCTACGTACGTAAACATCACAGTACGTATGTACCCAACGATTGATTAAATAAAAATTGTATAAAATTGTTCTGTCATGTTTATCGACATACGTTTCTGCAACTGTTAATATTATGTTGAGACAGTGTGCGATTTTTTTCATGTGTGCTCACATATTATACGCCACGTAGATCGGGTCCAATTGATCGGCCAAAAATCCATCTCTGAGGTGCATCCTCTGCTTTTCACCTCGTGAATTTATCGGTACAACACCGGGATCGACAACAACCACAACACCGACAACTAGATGATGCTCTTCGAGAACAGCACTTGTTACTAGAGCAACTAAATCCAGGGCCTCGCTCTCGCTCCCATTGAGCTCCACAACAACCACCAGTAAATTGGTCCACGTGAATACAGCACTGAAAATTGAAAATTCATTGATTAAAATTAATTTAATTTAACTTAAAAGGATAAGAGAAAGAGGGAGAAAATTGCATCAGGAGACCTGGGGAATAGTGAACGCGAGAATAGAATAGATAAGGAGTTCATGACTAGTTTTAGATATGGAGTTGTGTGATGAGTGTCATAACACTCGAGTGAATCATGGCCATGGCCGTTTAAACTCGTTTACAGGATTTATTGACTGAGATTATAGGTGTGCAAACACGTGTTCTTTGATCATTTGTAAGGTTTGAGTATTTTTAGAATGCGGAAACTGGGGAAATTGAGAAAATTGTATTTTTTCATCATTGATTTACTGATTTTCTCCATTGAGAATTCTGAAATAACTTATATCTTCGAAAATACAATTTTTCCTTTGAGTGCATTTTATCAATCAGATGTTCATTGATTCGTCTCACCTTGAATTTTATTATCATTCATCTGTCATTCTATTCATCAGTGATATTAATTTAATATCTCGAGGCAGATAATCTCTCATTGAAATCAGTAGTTAAGTGGTAAATTGCGATTGGTTAAGTGGAATTTAACATTTTTTCTTAATTACCGATTTATCTCTCTCACTATCAATGACAAGATGAAATGTTTTAGCGGACATGTGATTTTACCATTTGGCTACTGAAATAACGAGTACATTTGATTGAAATTGAAAAATAATAATTACCATTCAGCTATTTTCTTGTGACACCTCATGACACTGTTCTCGATGTCAATGGGATGATAACGCATTCCCCTGAGTAGAATAGCCTCGTCCAACGCCCCAACAACGAACACAGCGTCGTGCAGCTCAGCATCACCCGGTGCTGAAATATCTAGATCAGAGACTGACGTATCACTGGCAGCACCAGATACATCACCACCGACAGCCGACTGCTGAACACACTCAGTGCGCCTCAAAAATCCCAGATATCCAGTTCTAGCGTAAACCTCTCCAGTATTTCCAGTGACGAGACGAGCATTGAAATGATCAGCATAATCACTCTCATCCCCGTAGATGGTGAAATACCCACTGGCATTGTGCGCTGATTGCACCCAAATCTCCCCAAGATGAGAGTCACCACATTGTCCTTTTGTTTCTGGATTGGCAATAATTACTTTGACACCTGGTAGTAACTTGCCAGACTCCATGAGACACAGGGAGTGAGGACTGCCCCTTTCGACGAGTGAAACCCGATCGTTTCGAAGGGCTCGGAGGTCAACGTAAACTGTCGATGGCTCTGGACTCGATGCGCCCTTTAATAAGATCAATAAAAACGATAGGGTAAACAGATGGAGATAAATGTGGAATTAAAAATTAACCGACGATGTTCCTCACCTGTAAACAAATAGCAGTATTGACACGACACCCAAATGACGTCGAAACAGCCCGTGGACTGAGTCCCAGTGCTGAGAAAAGTTTACTAAAGCTCGTAGTGAGTGCAATACGAGGTCTCTCTTCAGCCACAACAACGCAAGTTCGAACACAAGCCAAACTAACACCACGAGCCTTTAAAGCGTGTACCGAAGAGCCCAACCCCTTAGTGCACAACTCCATAACACCGTACGAGCAGAATGTATCCCTGACCCTTGACTGGCTGACAGCTGATAGCCACAAGGCTGGATTAGCCTCGACTTCGGATGGTGGTATAAGAATGGAGTGATGGCCGCTGTAAATGCTGCTCAAACACCAGAGTGCAAAGCCAAGACCCGAGTAGGGATCGAGACAGAGGGCTATGTGACGAGAGGGATATAATTCACAGGCAAGTTTCATGGCACGACATAACGATGTAACAGCAGCATGAGACATCTTTATACCAGCTAGCATTCCAGTTGTTGATACACTGAAGTCGAGATAAGCCAGCATCTCAGCTGTTGGTGCACGATACATAACTGGCAATTTTTTCTTTGGCATATCGTCCATATCGAGGACTGTTGGCCAGCTCTTGATATCCACGACATTGTTTGCCTCCTTGCTCTTTAGTAATTTCACCATATTCTGATTTGTGAGAACGAGCACTGATTTGCTTACGTCAACGATCATTCTAACTGTTGGTAGAGTTGTCTGGAGATTTTGGGGATGGGGTGGTCTTATTGTCACTGGTACAGCACCGACGTAAAGACAACCGTAGAATGCACATATCAGGTCGGTACCTGGTGGAAATATTAGAGCTACATGATCACCAGTGTTTATTCTTCCCTTGTCTAGGAGCAAATTGCCTATTCTCTCGGCTTTCTTGTGGAGCTGGGAGCAGGAGAGGGAAGTGGCTACTGCTCCTTTTGCATTGAGCAATGTGAAGATCACGTGGTCTGATGTGCTGACGGCACGCCATCGGAGAATTTCGGAGATGAATTGGTACTGGAAGATTTTTTTTTTATCATTACTCTAGGTGTTATTGGATGAAAATTCAGGGGAGAGATTTTTATTACCTTTTTAGCATTATCACTCTCCTCATCCAGAATTCCAAGATCACGTCCCTGTGCTGATGCCAGACGATTTCCCTGGACTATATTACCCACCATCACACTAGCTGGACCAACGTCTGAAACAGAATCCCCCGCTACACGCCCCCGCACCATTTCGTTAGTAAAACAACGCAAACACTCAACCCAATTATGAAATAGCGTTTGTTCTATTCATTTGCCTTTATCATGATGCTGAGTCTAGGTTTCGCAAGCTTGCAGCTTTCGTAAAAAGCGTACGGCATTAAAAAAAAATGTAATTAAATAATTGGGTTTAATCTTATGTAGATAATTAAATGATAAAGGGGGTTGGGGTTTGGTGATACATAGAGATGAGGTAAATTGTGATTGAAAAATAAGAGAGGTGCTCGCTGATAAATCAAAATCCGCCGCACGCTTCCACACAAATTAAAACACTTTTTTTTATCAATGCAAGTGTCAATCATCACGTTGAGTCGAGTATCTGCGTTTCATGGATTTCGGATGATTCTCGGGTTACGTTATTTTGATATTAAGCGAGCACTGGAAGAACAGTGGGAGTATCTGGTGATGTTAGTTCGTGATGACTTACCCGAATGGACTTCACGTGGTTTTGGTAGATTTGTTACACAAGTGTGTGGACACAGGAGAACGTTGGCTGGATGGAGAGTGCCCTCTAAAAATCGTCGTTTTGTTTCCGAGAGGTGAATACCACCGAGGGGTGTTTTTGGAAGATAGTTGGGTGGCACCAGAGCCAGACAGTAGATACCAACAGCATGGATTGAGTCGACTGCTTGAAGAACTCGAGACATCCATTGAAAACTCTGATAATTCATGGATAAAAAATAAAAACGATTGAGAAAAAATCCTCAATGATTGAATAAACTGAAAATTACCTCCTCTTCGCTGCAATCAGGTCTCTGCTCAGCAACAACACATATCCTCTCATCCCTGAGTACTCTGACACTGAAAACAGCGATTCTCCCCCGATAAATGAATTTCATGGGTTCCACAGCGAGAACAGTAGCAATAATATCATCGGCATTGTGTTTTCTGCCAGTTACAGTCATTAGGCCATCCCTCGAGCCACAAACAAAAATGAGATTTCCCGGTCCAAGGAATCCGAGTAATCCAGACCTGACGTACTCCCCCTCAGCCCCACCCGAAATAGGTGTACCATCCATTTGCACAGGTGTAACCTTGAAATTATTATTAGTGAGCCCCTGTAGACCCCAGTACTGACTCCCAGTTGCACTACTCCTCAGACATATCTCGCCAACTTCATCTGTCTTACAGATAAACGCCTGTCCCTCCATTTTAACAACAACAGCAATACTCCCTGGCATAACTTGTCCACAATCCTGAAGTGTCAACGAGGTCAATGAATTCTCCTGATCGACGCGAACGACCCCGTAACTCAGCCCGGACATCGACAAGACACCACGCCCAGTGGCATTGACCCCAGCCCTCCCAGGACGCCTCACAGAGACAGTGAGAGCCTCGCTGGACGATGCACAAGGGCAAACGGCGTCAGGTCGAAGCCCCTTCGACTGAAATACGGACAGGAATTGATCACAAGAGGACAATGACCACGGATTAGCCCCATCAGCAACAAGTAGAAGCCTCAACGACGACAAGGATATGTCCTTGTGATCTTTGGTTGCCAAAAGCCCCCAGTGTAGATCCCTAGATTTAACAACAGCCACACTAGCCCGATGTTTCGTTATCATCTGCATCCAGCTAGCTGGATTGACCTTCATCAGAGCATAGGGTATGAAGATGACGTGCATACCATTGAGAATACTCGTCAATGTGCTGTGCCAGAGTCCAACTTCTCGTTTAAAATCGAGAACGCACACTGTATTCTCACCCTCAGTGTAGCCACAGGCCATCGTCAGGGCTCGACAGTGTGACAGCATCGCTGCTCTTGTCACTGTCACACCCATCACTGATCCATCCTTGTCAGTTGTGTACTCGATGTACGCTGGGGTTTCATCGGTGAGTCTCGGTGGTGGCAGCCAGTCCTTCGGTGTTTTTCCCAGATGTTCAGTTACAAACCAGTGGAGCTTTGGCCATCCCTTGAACGCAACAACTTCACCAGCTGTTGTCTTGGGTAGACCCTTGAGGCACGCCTCGCTTGTCAGTGCCACTTGAATTCCACAGCTACCCAGGAGAAATCCTATCTGCTGGGAACCAGCGTCACGACGTGTCAGTGGCACTTCTATTGGCACTGGAACTATTCCAGCTTGCAGACAACCGTAGAATGCACACATGAAGCTTATGGGATCGTTGTTTGGGTAGACTAGGGCTATTCTGTCGCCTGGCTTCAGGCAGACGTCGCCTGGATTACGGCTCAGGGCTTTGTTGAGGAGGGTGTACGCTATCTTGTGGGATCGGCTCTGGAGTTTGCCGTAGGTCAGGGTTATACAGAGCTTGCCATTTGGATCCAGAACTGTCGCAGCTGGGGCTTTGTACGTCGCTGAGCCATACCTAAAATTTTTTCAGGATTGAAGAAATATTTTCATTGAATTATCCAGTATAATCGTAAAATTAATATCCCTTGATTACCTCTGGATGGCTGCTTCCAAGGACCTCGGCAATCCCGAAGGCACAGATAGCTGTTCCCCGAGGGCAGGTGTCATGGTGCCACCCTCAGGCTTGGGTGCATTCGGATCCTTCGGATTGGCAGCGATTTCAAGCTCGATGTCATCGTCCTCGTAGAATTCCGGCAGTGGTCTGCGTTTTGGTCGCTTGAGGGTATTCAACAGCTGTTGAATCTTAGCCGACACCTTCCACCTTCCCGTGGTCCCCGTATTATTCTCATCCACAACGTGATAACGATTAACTCTATCCGCTCCTGGTCTCCTCGACTGCGTCGTCGTGTGCGTAACATCGGGCGGTTGAATATTGCAGTAAGCGTGTGGTGTGTATTCAGCAATATCAGTTATGTCAGCTGGTGGTGGTCTTCTCGCTGGTGGTCTTGGTGGTGGTGGTGTATCACGCGCTGATCCTGTACTACTTGTGTCAGATAAACCAGTGCCAGTTGGACCACCAGCACCTGGTGATTCCTCAGTTACAACGCTGTCCTCGTCGCTGCTTGATTCACCGCTGTCCCGACGATCACGATCGGGACTTCTCGCCATTACTGATGTTCTCTTCGAGGGCATTGGCAGCGAGGGCTTTGGCCTTCCCTGCATTGCCGCAAGCGCCTGCTGCACTGCCTCCTGTCGAACCTCTGCAAGAATTTTTTTTTTTCCTTGTCACGAAGAATCGAGGGCCTTGGGGCCACCACAGCGTTTCACTGGGGAAAGTGTCTCGATTTTTTTGACAAAAATTTTATGGAATTGTTCATTGATTCATATCTCTCTCAAATGTATGGGAATTAATTTTGTCAATGGATGTTAGCAAAAAAAAAAAATTTCTAAAGCACAATTTTTCGAAGTGAGACAGACCCACTGCATGTAAATCGCAGGGAATCCTCTCTTCAGTCATAAATGCGAAAATGAGAAAAGCTCTTGTTAATCTACTGTGATGTATGAAGGGCCACGCCATGCATGCCAGGCTCGCAATTAACTTACCTACTCAAACTAAATAAACCCTAAAAATTACTCTGAAATTAATAATAATTAATAAATAATAAAATGGCATTCGCTATGACTGGAGGAATAATGAACCCCTCGATTCCCTCGATTCCCTCGATCCCCGGCAATCCCGAGGCTATTGAATGATCCCCGATTCATCCATTCCACAAAAAAAAAAACAACAAAAAAAACCCGATCCGACAACAACAGAAAGAGTAGAAAACGATGAGAGGCTGTGGGATACTTACCGGAGTGGTAACGACTCTCATTTCGTGTGAGTCTTCGATTACCGCGTCGTGCAGCAGCAGCAGCAGCGGCTGCAGCAGTGGCATTGACTGTGGGGTTCCCCCCTGAGCCACCAGATCCCGAAGGACTGGCATTAGCCCCAGGTACTAGCCGGCCTCCTGCATGCAACATCAACATCAAACGCCACATAGACATGTATTCTCCGTACCTCACAATATTAATAATTAAAAAAAAAAAAAAAAATCCCTACCACCGTCCTCACCACCGACGAATCATGCCTGGGTCTTTAAACTATTTTATTAAATCCCCTCCGATCATAAATTTTAACGCTCGAACGTAATTAGCTGCTAGGTGATTGGCTAGAGGTGCGGGGAAGCAGATGAGTGCATGCAGAGATAATATACAGAGGAGTGCATGAGGTTAATGAAAAATCGTTAGTACATGAGCAGACAGAGATAAATAGAGAGAGGAAAAGCCCCCCAGTGCCCACCTGAGTGATAACGTTTTTCCGAGTGCGTGACGCGACGCTGGGTGCGTCTTGCACGGGGCTGAGGACGTCCTCCTGGTACCCCACCACCACCACTTCCATAATTTGTTTTTTCACCGCTACCACCGGTACCACCTCCACCACCTCCACCACCTCCACCACCTCCACCGCCATTCCCACCTGCTTTTTTCCACTCGTTTTAGCCTTTTTTTATTTTTTTTCCCCTTTTGTTATGTTTTTATTTATGTTTTTATTTATGTTTTTACTTCAACATGCGGTCGTTTGGAGAAATAGATCAAGTTTACTCTTGATTGTCGTTGTTGCGTTTCTTTTTCTTTTTTTTTTTATTCAGATAGACTAGAGTTTTTGTGGCTTTGTTAGTGGGTGTTAAGTAGAGAAAAAAATAGAGTTAAAAAAAGTGTCTGGAGAAGTTGCAACATTATTATTCTTTGTACTTGGCATGATTCGAGTTTTATTCGCTGTTGCATTGCAGGATTACGTACGGTCACGTTCTTTTACGCAAGTATGAGAGGATTTTTCCGAGGCGTTAGTCGCCTCGAGCCGACCCAGAACTCACTCGAGTGTAAAACGCATAAAATGCCACGCTTTAGACTTTAAGATAACTCCAGAGAGCAACTCCAGCCATTTATTGTAGTTATTTAATTATTATTCCATAATTGTATGATAAAATAGTGTTTAGGAGTAATTGTATGAAAATGGTCTCAGTGAATGAACTTACCCAACTGCTTGGAGGCATATTGTTGAAGCAGACGAGTTCGTTTCTTCTCGTATCCCTTTTGCGTAATGTCCCCTGTAACAATGAAATATGAAATATAATCAGCTGGGTAATTATTTATTGCACTCGTATTTTCCAACTTGTCTCGGTGCTTTCAGGGAGTTGAAGGAAATTGAAGGAAATTTGTGGGAATTAATAATAGCCAATAAATTTCACAATTTAATTCGTCGAGACAATTAATCTTACTGGCTCGTCGTCTCAATGAGGAGCACTTGCGGACGAGATATACAGGCTGTCGCTGATGGTACTGACACTGCTGTTGATACTTTCGTTTTGGTTGTGACCGTCTCTTCGGTAAATTACGTCTCTCTCTATCCGCGAATGACCGCTTATCACTGTTGTCAGTTGGTTTAATTAAACGACGCTTGTTAATGTCAACCCGAGAGCCATCGACTCTACGACAGTCTGATTCACTCTCGCTCGATGATAAACATCTGTAGTAATTAGTCGGTGAATTTTTTTCCTTGGGTTTAATGAAGTCTTTGAAGTAATTCGTTGAGAAGAAATTGTCGTCAGCGATTTGGGGGGCATTGGGCCGCCAGGTGGGCCTTTGGGCGAGAATTCCCCGTAATTTCTCCGAGAGTATCTTGTCCTCGTTGAAGTCACTGATCTTCGGGCCGTGGATTTCCGAGCCGATTGACGATTTTGAACAGGTCGACGAGCTTTTGTAAGAATTCAAAAAATCATCCGGTGTATGGCACTCGTGGAAGCCCCTGGACTCGTAGAGAAGTGGTGTCACTTCGAAACTCGACATTTCATCGGCTTCAATATCATCGAGACTATTTGAACAGTATCGTATCTCGTGCCAAATTCGAGGGACTCTCTTTGACGTGCGTTTCTCAGGTGGCACAAAGCCAAAAGTCTCGTGATCCCGAGTTAGTGCCATGTCACTGGTGATATACGATGAATTATTATTTCTACAAGTACCTGACGATCTTCTCGTGTGGATATTACCCTCCAGATCGCTTCCCGGGGTCTCACCACCTCCAGCCCCACCCGATTTACCCGAATTTTTACTGAAGAAACCATTCTTCTTCGATTTAAACTCCTTCATCTTGCTAATGGACATGGAAAAACTATTGAATGTACACCGATTGTTGGATTTTTTAACTGGCGCTGATACTGTTCTCGCAACCACAACTTGAGACGATTGTTTGCGATCTCTGAGAGCCGAGTCGAGGGATCGATGTGCCTTTGATGTTAAACTGCTTGCACTGCTGCACGTACTACTTGACTCTTTGATCTCGTGTTTAATTGACGATACCGATGATACCGATGGAAAGGGCATTATTACAGTGTCAAGCCAGACTCTACCGAGACTAACACTGACACTAGGTGGACCGCCCTCAGTCAAGGTCATGGAATCATCAGGTGTCGTGTCGATGGCATTGGAATAGCCTGACCTTGAGAATACCTCTGATACTGGTGAATCCAAATCCAGATGTAGTGCACCAAATTCATCAGCAATCGATGATTTAGTTCTATCGATTTTTTTATCACACCGGTAATCATCGTTGTGCAATTTTTCATTAGCACTCGTGCTGTTAACATCGTTGAGCCAGTCGTCGTAAGCTATGGTACGTCGAGCAGAAATTTTTGATTTATTCGTTGATGCAACACTCTTTGTTTCGTTATCCTCATTAAATTTTCTCGGTTCATCCACAATTATTTTAACATCATCGACAACCTGTGATGTCTGATTAGCTTGTACGTCATTGACTCTCTGAAGTGCCTTATTCCTCCTCTTCCCTCGATCAAGGTAGCTCTTCCTTATTGATATTCTCTTGAAGGACTCGCTACGTTTGAAGGATGGCTCGTTACGATCCTTCTTTCGTCCAACGAGCCTCCTCAGGTTCTCCAGGGATATCGGCCTCATGGGCCCACAGTTGGTCCACCCGTTAATTCATCACTCGTAAAAATATTTAAAATACATGAAGCAAATTTACCGAGGGATAAAGCAGAGTAACTGTTACCCCACACTTTTATAACACATGTTAAAATCCAAAGGAGACAGATTTCAGGCACGTTCCTGGCTTTTCCTATATAGCTTCACGGACGAAACTTTCTCTCCCCCTTTGCAATTGCTCTCCCTCTCGGTGCGATTATACCCACACGAGAACAACAAACTCCTCTCTCACGACCTTTTACCACTTGCACTCCAATGAAAAATAGATAAATCACCTAAAACATGTAATAAAAACAGAAGAAAAACCAATGAGTGGATTTATATCGATTGCCATTTGAGTTTCACTTTTAGCAATCAATGATCATTCGGATTATTAGCCCAGAGAAGAATATTAAAATCCAGTTAACTCTCGGATGACTACGTAACTGATGAATCAAGAGTTAACGAAAGCGAGTTTGATTTTCACCTAGTCGGTTTTATGGTATAGTCCAGTGCAGTCAAATGTTATCTTTCCACTTTGACTCGTCTGTGGGTGTGTGTGTACCCGAGGCACGAATCAAACCGGCTGGTTAATGGTAGTGTCGAGAGGATACCCTCCTTCACCAATGCCACATTCCACACTGTGGTAGATCCAATTTACACGTAACAGAGACCATCCAGATGCGTATAATCCTCATAATCTCGATTTACCCATTATTTTTCAGGATTCAGATGATTTCATTGGAGTTGAGATTAATACGGGATATACCAGAGATTCTGGTGCTCCTGTGAGTGCTCCTGCGAGTCCTCCTGTAACCGCTCCTCCGAGCTGGTGATAATCCGCGTTATTTGGGGACCAATTGGTACCAATCGCGTTAATTTCACCGATTTTATGATAGATCGGATGCTGGGCCACGCTGGCAACGCAAGCATCCTTGTTGAGGTCCAACAGAGACTGGTGCAATGCTCGAAGGAGGCGAGCATAGGTATAGGTATAATAAGAGGGGCAGAAGGAGGAAAAGGTATCCGAGAGATGTTAAGGTGGTGGTGGTAGGCATGCGGTTCGGCCACTCTCTAACAGCAATATTGTGTGCGCCTTGTGCTCGGGTGGGATTCATATCTTTCAGTGTTTTTAGTTGGGACTCTTGTCCCGGGGACCAGCCGGGGGACAGTGCCAGGGCAATTTGATAATTTGATTATTAGGAGAGGAACACGCGACGGCTGGAGAACCCATCGCACCCATCCCACCCATCCACCCATCCCACCCATCCACTCATCCACCCATCCACCCCCTCGGGGAGTATATATGATTTTTTTTTTAAATCCTGGAATATCCTCGGTGTTTTATCCTTTTGCTACGTCGTACTCGTCAGGGTGGGAGAATCGTCATGCGCTACATGTGTTCAAGGTACCACTGTTCGATAACTTCAACCTAACGGTTGCTCATACATTAGTGTACATTAAATGCTTATGAGCATGACAATTAGGAAATTATTTCTCGTCTGTAGGTGGATTTTTTATTGTCCAATGGTATTATTCATGAGGGAATACTGCTACGGGAATTAGTGTTAATTGGAGGGCAGTCATTAGAGGATTCTTTCAACTCTCTATTCGTGGATTTTAAATTCACTTGATATTCAGCTGATTCTGGTGATTTGAAATTGAGGTTTTATAGACGTTGTTTCATCGGTGTGATGTGTCTCGGTATTTAAATATAGGACTTGACGTAATCCGACAATTTTCCACTGTTTAATGTGTTGTTGAACGAGTGAATAGAGGACGGGGGAATTGAATAAATGGGCTGATGTTGTTTAGGGGAATTGTTCGGGGTTTTTGTAGTGCCAGGCATTATGAGAGGCTTTTGTTTTTTTTTTTATTTTACAGTCTCCGGGGGCTTCAAAGCACACATTGATTATGGGCTTTTCAAGAGGTGCGGTCGTTATGTATTGGAAGAGGACTGAAAATTGTAACCTATATAGCCAACATCCGTACCACGTATGTGGTTATTCGTTGGATAAAGGGTATCGCTTTTTTTTTTCATCCTTTTCTCTTAATTTTTTTTCTCGATTGAGTCCTCTCTTTATTTTAACTGGCAGATTATTGAGTGGTTACGCTGCTCCGTGTCCGGAAATGAGGACGAGGAATTTGGAAATCGTGTGACAATACCTGAGAGACACTAATCGATAAATGGAAAGATGGAGAAACCAAATAATGGGGGGTAGAGCACCCATGTGATTTCTTTGATTGATGAGGGGTGGAGGAGCTTTTTGAAAATTTTTTTTTGGGGGGTAATTATATCGATTATCTGGTGTGGGTGAATGAGAGTGACGGAGGGGTGAGTCATGGGGGTTTTAACTGGGGAAAGGGACAATTGTTTGATATGTAAGTAATTTTCGGTTGAATTTACCTTCGGATAGTTCCAACTCCAACTCGGCTAATTTCTCCCTCACGTCCTCTGGGAGTTTACCGATGTCGATGTTGAATTCGGCCATTGCTAGGCCATCAGAGTTACGCAAAAATCACTAATTTTACGGCCAGACATTCCACACTGAACCCGTCACCACTGCTCGTCGGCCATCTTTTAATTCTCTGGCTCCTCCGGTTTTCCTGTCGTGTGTCTGTGTGTAGGTACCATGTTTCCATCGTCCGCGAGGGGCTTCCACTTAATGACAGCTGGGGCGCCACTTTATTGAGAGATTTAAACAATTTTGAATCCCGGTAATGCAGTCTCCCTCCCTTAAAATAAATTAAATTTAAATGGTTATTTAAAGGGTTGAAAACCGATATCTTTTCATTTTTTGGTTTTTCGACGAGTCTATTTTAAAAAATTTTGAATGGAATTTTTGGGATTTTTGCAAAAATTGAATATTTGAATCCGCGAACTCGAATATCGAAATCGGGAATTCTTCTGGCACGTACACTATCAACTCCTCAATTTTTATCAACACTTGTATTTGAACAGCCATACCCAGAAGCCAAATAATTGTTCTACGATAATTTTTCTATTTCTGGAAAAACCTATCGCGTCTACTTCATTCATTATTTCGTCATACAAAAAAATGGAAGGCATTTTAGTTTTCCATAAATCCCAAACATCGATCGGTCCGATTATTTCTCCAACGCGTATAATTAAATTATTGGAAAAATAAAAAAAGATTAGACAAATCACGGACGGGCAATTATCTCACTGCCCTAATTTGCGAGATCATTCATGTAAACCATTTAATCATCCCCTTTCCGATGATCGATCCTCCCGATATCATCGATCTTCGCAAACATTTTATTCGATCACTCAACGCTATCTAATCGATGAATCCACAGATGATAAACCCTCAAACCGTCTTCAACAATGAGCTGATTGCCCCAGGGGGTGATAAAACTCAGCGTGCAACGTGGAAAATAATTGCGGCTGCCGTTCACCGAAAAGCTCACTGGAATTATAAATAAATCGAAAAGTGACGCATCCGAAATATGAATACGCACTGAAAATCACTAAAACAACCCGATGAAAATCACTCAGCAAACGAATAAAAAAAAACATCTTCCCAAACAGCCACAAAGAGTAATCGTAGCTTATCGGTGATGTTACTCTGTTGATGCTACCATTTAGAAACCAGTGGTAGGAATATCGTGTGTCCGTTGGATTAACAATCTTGAATCAGTCTCGCACAGAGACCGGTACCGATAACACCGGATTTTTTTTTCCTTTAATTCGTACAGTTCCTATAATTTTCCGCCACCACATTATTACATTACAAAAGCACTTTGCACCCATTATCTCCACCTTTTTGAGTAGAAAAATTAGTTCAAGTAACTGTGAGCTGTGTTGGAGGAAAAATGGCAGAGATGAAGCCGGAAAAGTCGGAGAAAAAGATCGAACTTAAGCGGGAACTTGGATTATTCAGCGCTATTAATTTCATTCTAGCTGTTATGATAGGTAAAAAGTGAAATTCATTCATTAATTAATAATAAATGTTTATAAACGCGGCGTATAAATTCCGTAATAATTCATTTGAAGCAACAATTTAAATTCATAGTTGCATTCTTGGGAAACTGTGAAAATTACACGATTGCACGTTCTACTGACGTAAATCCAGTGGTACAATTAATTCAATAAAAATTCAACGGCAATTAATATCATAAATAATTCAGGAAATTGAATTTTTATTAATTATTGATTAATTGGTAACTGAGGGCAACCGAGCCGTAAGAAAAATCTATTACTCAGCCTATCTCTAGTTTTCGGGTCTCCAATTAATCTCAATTTAATCCCAGAATACTCCCCGTATCTTCCCACGCGTTTTAACCGAAGATAATGACCCCTTATCTTGCCCAGTGACTTCCATCGTTCTCCTTGCCCTACTGATCGACGATTAACAGCCAACAAAAATTACCCAAAGGTTCTGGTATCTTCGTATCCCCGACGAGTGCTCTGGAGCGTTCAGGATCGGTGGGATTTTGCCTGATAGTCTGGGCATCCTGCGGTATCCTGTCACTTCTAGGTGCTCTGGCATTCGCAGAACTGAGTACAGTGGTTCCTAGATCTGGTGCAGAATACGCGTACTTCATCGAGGCATACGGTCCCCTGCACAAGTACTTCGGGAATCTCCCTGCATTCATCTGCTCATGGGTGTACGTCGTGATCCTGAGGCCAGCGGAAGTGGCCGTGATAATCCTGACATTCGCCGAGTACAGTATCCAGCCATTCCACGAGTTCCTGCCAAAAGGTATCACCCCGGAGACGATGGGAACGGTTAAGAAGCTGATAGCCCTCCTGGCCCTGGGTCTCATCACGTACATCAACCTGACGAGTGTCAAACTCTTCGTTAAAGTCCAAAATATCTTTGTAATTTGTAAAGTTGCTGCCTGCCTGATTGTTATCGGAGGTGGAATATACTGGCTGGCAATGGGAAATACGAAGCTCCTGAATAACCCCTTCGCAGGCACCACCAGATCTCCAGGAAACATCGCATTAGCCTTCTACAGCGGCCTCTGGGCCTACGACGGCTGGTCGTCAGCTGCAATCGTCACAGAGGAGATCAAGAGGCCAGAGGTGAATATCCTCAGGAGTATTGCCATCGCCGTTCCCATCATCACGATCCTCTATGTCTCTATGAATCTCGTGTACATGTCTGCCCTGTCCATCCCGGAGATGATAGCTGCACCTGCCGTGGCCCTCACCTGGGCCGAGAGGGTCTTACCCACGTGGCTGGGCATCAGTATTCCTCTGGGTGTCGCAATCTCCACTTTTGGATGCGCTTTGAGCCTCCAGTTTGGCGTATCCAGGCTCTGCTACGTGGCAGGACGCGAGGGACATGTCCCCAGGGTCTTCAGCTTTATTCACGTCACGAAAATGACTCCAGCTGCTGCTGTTGTATTCCAGGGATTTCTCGCGTGTGCATGCGTTCTCGCTGGTGATATCACGACACTCATCGAATTCGCCACTTTTTTGATCTGGATATTTTATGGACTTGCCATGGGTGCACTCCTCATCATGAGGAAGACCAAACCCCATGCTGACAGGCCCTACAGGGTACCCACTGCTGTCGTCTGGCTCGTTCTCCTGCTTGCTATATTTCTCTCCGTCATGCCTATCATTGCTGAGCCATCCTGGAAGTATCTCTTCGCTCTTGTCTTTATTCTTCTCGGAGTTGCTGTTTATCATTCTTATGTTTTCAAAAAGAGAACTAGTCGCATTATGCGTGAGTTTATTCTCTATCAAAATTCAAATTAATCTATTCGCCTTTTATAATGAGAATGAATCGATTAATTTTTTTTCCAGGGAAATTCACGCACATTACTCAGCTGATGTGCCTCGTCGTAGCACCAGAATCCGTGAACGAAGACTGATTTCAATTTTTAATATAGGAAAAATCAATTAGACTTACGTTTAAATAATTTTTTATAAAAATTACTCAACACCTTGTTTACAACGATAACGAAGATATGTATCAGATAATGTATTTTGTGTATATAGGTGAATGTAAATGCCTTTGACAGCTCGAAGTACGAATTGTTACGCTCGTATAAATATAATTGAGTCTTTTATAGATAATATAATTGTCATTTGTTGGGGGACTGGAGGAAGGTATCAGAGATTGTCCAAGGCACTGCATTTCGAGCACTGCTGCGTCTCACTGTGCAGAAAGACATTGAGGAAATTATTTCCTTATCTGATAATTAATAGAGGACGTCTGACGATCACTCACGTCATTATGCGATGAAGTTTGTGTCTAAGTTCATTAGAAATATTTCGTTCAGCTGTCAATTCGGCCTCCCTCTCCCTCAGTTGCTGTCTCACCTGATAAATTGTGTCCTCTAGAGCCTCGAAAATTGCCTGAAGTCATAATTCACCATTTAATTTAATTTAAATCAAGACGACAGATTAATTATTTCATGAATTCTTACACGTGCTTCTTCAGCGGTGTCAGACAGTGCTGGTGGTTCATCGAGACAGAAAAATTCTCGAGCACTTTTGTTGCCAACGAGCACTGGAGTCCCCAGGAGATTGTTAACGAACACCTGGAGTCCTCGAATTCTCTCCTCGAGGAAGCTAGGCGCAAAATTATCTCCAATCCATTTTTTTCTCGGTAGAGACAGATGAGTAATCGGCAGCTTCTGCCTTCGTAATTGAGATAACAATCGAACAAAGTCCGTGTATCTGCGGAAGACAAACCAGCAATCACCGTTTTTCAATTCAACTCGGAGTTTGTAGACCTGTAACACAAGAATTACGTAACATGACAGTTTTGCTGAGTGGAATAGACTCGTATTATCCTCTAGCCCCACTTGTTATTCATTTTATTATTGATTACCTGTCAATTAATTTGGCATTTTGATAACTCACTGTGAATCTAGCTCGTTCCTCCATAACTTCATACCCAACAATGGGTATGCGGAGGTCATCTGAGGTAATAGGAATCGAGGAACAATCCCCAAGGCTATGATTGTTACTCGGTGATCTATGATCCGTGTAATCATAACTCTGTACTGTGAAGGATTGCGATCTACCGGATTCATCGGAGTCTGGACTATCGAGCACTCTTCTGGCACTTGCCTGATGAGAACCCCTTGCTTTACTGATAGCTAGTGTAACCTCACTGATGCAACCCTCACCAGTATCAGAGTTTGACATTTTTCATGAAACAACTACCAAACAATCATGCGACAGTCTAAACAAAAAATAAAAAACGAGTCAATAAGTGACAGATGGACAATCCACATTGACAATGAATTCATCAACAATACTCACCTTTTGTTGGAGCTCAATTGTTCGCTCGGTGAATGGTACATTAATGAAGTTATTTTCATTCCAATTATCCACTTTAACACGAGGGAATCGAGACTGAGTGAAAAATAACGGTTTGATCGTGTTAATTGGGTCTTGAGAAATAATGGGACTGATGTGATGTTGACATGGGGATGACAGAAAACTATCACGTGGCGGAGGGGGGAGTTAACCACCAACTTCAAGTTCCTGTCAACTCAGTCCACCATTTTTTTTATTTCACGCACTTATAAATATTCTGTTTATAAACAAATAAAAAAGGCTCTTACTATAAATGATAATTATAAATTCTTGGCATAGGTGTTTCAATTTTAAATCAAAGACTAACATAAAAATGAGTAATTATTTATTTTCAGTTGTAAATAAGTGAAAATTGTAAGTTCAATTGTTGATTTAAAATAGAGATAAATTGATAGGGAATGGAGGAACGAATGAATATTTTAATGGTATTGTGATTTTTTTTGGTTATTTCCATTGGGGGGAGATGCGAAAGGAAGGAAAGGAAATAATGAAAGGGAATAAAAAAGAGAGGATTACGATTTGAAAGGATGAAGTGAAGGCGCTTCTGATGCGCGCGCAGTTCTCTGGATAATTCACCCTGAAGGTCTCCACAAACGATTGCGGAAGCGAGAGGGAGGAAAAACATGGCAGTATTGACTATCGATATTCCTTTTTTTCCACTGTCACCCAACGACAATATAAATACCCTCCAAACAATAATTGGCGCGTACCCCAAGCCCCCAAAAGCCCAATCAACTCCACCGAAACATGTGTGAAGAAATCTGAACTCAAGTGTTTCAAGGTAAACTAACGGTCAGATGACAATTAATCCGTTCACACTGGCACGAAAAAATTGAGAAAAAAAGAAGAAGGTGAAGCATTGTATAATGGTGTTGAATGGATCTGCGAGTGTGTCTGTACCAAGCATTTTCTGAACGAGTGTTGTCGACAGATCCATAAAAAAGTCATCAAAGAGAGTGGAGTCCGTGGTGATCAGTAAACATGAAGGGATTTCATTGAATCAAGACAAGAGTACACTAGCCAGTCGATGAATAAAAATGTGTCAGATACACAGACTATGTATAAATGATTTGTTTGGTTTGAGACTTATCTGGCTTGTGTGTGTGCATTGTTGTCAAACTATTAAAATCACTCAGTAATTACGGTCAAGTGTAGCAAGTTGAGTTACAATTAAAAACTCATTATAATTAATTTCTTTGTCGTGAATTATTCAGGGTTTTCTACATCGTAAGGACGAGCACTGTATTTTTATTCCAAGTCTTCTTCGTTCGTGATAAGTACGTGTCGTGTTGTTGTCAGGGAGTAATTCAATAAATGAAGAATGTATATACATATATATTGCGAATAATATTCACTCGATAACATGCAATCTTTCATTATTTTCCGTTATGTGCGTGAGGAATGCCTCTTTTATCAGTGTTTACTCCGATGAATTTAGGATTGAGGGGGAGTTATTAATTGTCGAAACGTAAGACTGATTACAAGATTTTGGGGCTCGCCCGTTGAATATCGATACGTATTTGTGCTCCAGTGGGATTTTTTTATTTATTTATTTGGGGATTTTTTATGAGGTGAGGGTCTAGAAAAATTGTTGGATAGCGCAGGAGTATTTGGATAATCGCAGAATGGTTATTCGGTGAGTACGAGATTAAAATTTCATGGGGGATGTGTTTATTTGAGCTCTTGGAATTTTTAGATCCGATGGTGATGGCACTGAAAGTCCAATCCTCGTGGAGCAGTCCTCTGATACAGTTGATCAGCCACACAGCCCCACCACGAAGCACAATCACAGTCGTCCTTATGTCAATCCATCTCACGGGAGCAATAGCCATCACAACGAGAAGTCCAAGAGTCTCACTAAATATGGAGAGCTCGTTATTTTAGGGTGAAATATATGACACATTATCTCATCCCATTTTGCCGTCGGGTTATTGAATTATTAATCCTTTTATGATCAATTGATTTATTTTTCATTTACCTTCATTCTAGGTACAATGGATTTCTTCCACCTGGTGATCGCGGTCGTCGTAGAAGTAAATTCGTATTATACAAAAGACCAACTCCAAATGGAGTGAAGAGGAGTAAACATTATGTTGTTAAAACTCCTCACAATTCACAGGCTGTTTTGAATGCCAAACAGCACTCTATATCGTATACATTATCGAGAACACAGGCTGTCATTGTTGAATACACTGAGGATGACACAACTGATATGTTTCAAGTGAGTTAATCACCTTCGATTTGAACGAGCCCCTGAGTTTATCGTATTTTTTTTTACAATATTTTTAATGACTCGATTGAATATTATTTATCGATTATTTCTGGCAGATTGGTCGATCATCGGAGCCTCCTATTGATTTTGTCGTCATGGACACTTATCCAGCCAGTGAGAATGGCCCTGGTAATGAGAGCCGCATGGCTCAAAGTACAATAAGTAGATTTGCTTGTCGTATACTGACTGATAGACATAATCCCAAGATTACGAGAATTTATGCTGCTGGTTTTGATAGCTCCAGAAATATTTTTTTAGGGGTAAGTCCTACTGCATTGAAATCAGATGAACTAGAGAGAATTTTAATCACTGTCTTCCAAAATTCTATTGACATTCGACGAGAATTGATTTATACCCTTTTTTAAGTTCTTTGTGTGTCTGATTGATAGGAGAAAGCAACAAAATGGCAAGAGAATAGAGAAATCGACGGTCTAACAACAAATGGAATTCTGATAATGCATCCACGAGGTCAATTCTGTGGTGGAGAGGCCCAGTGTGGCTCCTGGCGTGAGATAAGCGTTGGTGGAGGTGTATTCTCACTCAGAGAGAGTAGAAGTGCCCAGCAGAAGGGGAACGTCGTTGAGGAGGAGGACAATGTATTGCAAGATGGGACATTGATTGATTTATGTGGAGCCACTCTCCTCTGGCGATCTGCTGAGGGTCTAGCCAAGTCTCCAACGAAACACGATTTAGAGGAATTGGTTGATGCTATTAATGCAGGACGTCCTCAGTGCCCTGTTGGCCTGAATACTTTGGTAATACCGAGAAAACCAGTTTCAGACTCTGCCCAACAGCAGCCATACGTTTATCTCAAGTGTGGACATGTCCAGGGGTATCATGATTGGGGACAGGAGAAGGACAAGGCGACGAGACGATGTCCAATGTGTTTGGTAGCTGGACCAATTGTCAAACTGTGCATGGGGATTGAGCCTGCATTTTACGTGGATCGAGGACCTCCCACTTACGCCTTCAACCCTTGTGGTCACATGGCAACTGAAAAAACTGTCAAGTTTGTATTTTACTGTGAAATTTCCCTCGATCCAATGAATTTCTTTAAAAAATCCTTGATTTCCTAATTATTTTCGTAATTGTATTCCAGATATTGGGAAAAAGTTGCAATTCCTCATGGTACAAATGGCTACATAGCAATCTGCCCCTTCTGCGCAGTCCCCCTGGAAGGCACCCCAGGCTACGTCAGACTAATATTCCAAGATAACGTAGACTAATAAATTATAAATTTTTGCAAAAAACACTACCAGACTGCTGACGATACAAAAAAATATACAACAAAATCTGTATTGTAAACAATTTCTCACTCATTGTAATTTTTTTATACACTCCAATACGTATGGATTCCCAAATAAACCGAGAAGAAACATGTAACACCTTTCAATCGTGAAAGGACCAGAGCAAAGAAATAGAAAATTCATCTCAATTTACAAAAGTTCGTCATTCATTCGCTATTAAATCGACCTAGTATCAAATTTTTTGTCTTTGGGAAGATGATTGCATTTTTTTGAGTTTTTTCAAAGCACACTTGGCCGCAGTGCACTTGGCTATCCTGTAGTTCCTCCCGATGCCCTTGAAGGAGCCCTTCCCAAAAACGTCAACAGTGACCCGCACCCTGCGCCCATCAGCGAGCTTCTCCGGTTTACCAAATTTAGCAGTTTCAGGCTCCAGCTCGAGAAGTTCACGAATGGGAGATTTTGGGACGTTAGTACTGAACTGCTCAATCTCAGTCTTCATGATCCTGTAGTAGACACTCCAGACAGCATCCAGAGACATTCCACTGTCAAGATAAATAGCACCAGCGAGAGACTCGAAGACGTCACCAAGTGCCTTAGGCACCTCGACATCCTCAGCCTCTTCAGCTTCCTCATCACCGATTAAATAATACTCCTCACTGATAGAATGCCCATTTTCCTCCTGAATCCTGACGAACCTATCAATGACGACATTGAGACCTGGGGAGAGGTGTCTGAAGTACCTGTGGAAGCCACACCTGACAGCCAGTGAAGCGAAGATCGTGTTATTGACGAGGGCAGACCTTAAGTCAGTTAAAGCCCCAGGGGAATGCTGCCTCGTATCCTCATAGAGATGCCTGGTGATGAGATAATCCAGTACAGCATCCCCGAGGAACTCCAGACGTTGATAACAATCAGTTAATCTATTCGGCTGATACGAGGCATGGGTGAAGGCCTGAAGGAGATAACTGGCGTCCTTGAACTTATAGTGAATACTCTCCTCGAGTCTGTCATACCCATCGAGCAGAAGGGAGAGTTCCCCCTCAGGATCTGGAACATGCCTCAGCAGGGGATTCCTCGGCTCCTCGAGCTTTCCATACCGAATCTGTGACCAGGTTGTCCTCTCCGAGGACTCCAAACCCCTGATGTAGGGCGTGCTGCCTGGATAATGCTCCAGAGGCTCCTCCTCCTGCACCAGAGTAACCTCCAGGGTCGGCAGGACGTGGATCCCCAGCCAGGCCATGAAGAGCAGAGCTCCCCTCGGGCCACAGGCTATCAAGTAAGCTCCTATCAAAGCCTCCACACAGTCAGCTATACTCTTATCAGGGATACTGTGCTGGGTGATGAGATTGTAGGGGATCGAGCAGTGCTGGGGATCGGGTATCGACTCCTCGTGGAGACGATTATCATTTTTATCCAGCTCCATCCTCATCATTCCCAGCTTGTACTCTGTATCTCGAATGAGTTGTGTCATTTCGCTGATGTCAATCGTTGGCTGGAGGGAGTGAAGGTCTTGCACCTGATTCCAGAGACTGGAGGGTACGCCAGACTCAATGAACACCTGCTCCAATTCCCGGGGAACGTAATAACAAGGTGGCAGCCAATTATCATGAGGCTCGAACTTCGTAGCTATCATGCTCTCACCCAGCATTTTTCTACGCCCCAGGCGATACAAATTCAAATTGCTCACCTGTTTCGAACGCAGATGACTGAGTTTTCCCTCGTGGATGACTGGATAAGTGCAATACAAGTACGTAGTAATGGCGTACTTGAGGAATGAATCGCCAATGGTCTCGAGCCTCTCCAGATTAATTCCATCATTGGCATTGGACATTGTGAGTGCCTGGAGGATGAGACTGGGGCTGGGGCCAGGATGTCCCCTCAGTTCTGGCTGATAATCAAAACTAAAGTTCACCTCGACTGCGTCGTACAGCCCAGGGGTTGGAATGTTATTGCTATTGCATTGAGTCTTAACGTAAAACGAATCACACGATAATTTATCCTTCTCTATCTCTTTGGTCACTTCTTCAGCGACTCTCCTCACATAATCACAGTGCTCCAATAAGCCATCAAATCCTGATGCCTCAGTAACAACAGCCTTTACACTCTTCTGACTATGATTAAATACTATTTTTTTATCACTTTCTATGAATGAACCCTCGAGGATTATCTCGGATTCACGTTGCTTAGCGTAATCGAAGTGGAGTCTCTTGTGCTCAGCAAAAAGAGACTCATCACAGCCGTCGTGCTCCCCTGATTTAAATAAAAATCTCGAATTATGGAGTTTCTTCTCGGAGTCCTTGAACAGACCCATGATCTTCTTATTGATATTCATCTTCTTCAGTTTAGACTCGTCCTCAACGGCTTCTGCTGTATTCTCCCCGGTGTACGATATCTTGAGGCCACGATTTTCCTCGTCCTCACTCTCACCAGAGGAGCCGATGAAGCCATCGTCGCTGTAGGAGTCGTCAGAGTAATATCCACAGGTGTCTGAGTGATCGAATGTGGGTGAGCCACACCTAATTCCATTTGCATGCCTCCAACTAAATTGCGGGGGAAGAACAGTGACATTATTTGAGATTGAAGAGAAATCCATGCACATCGACTCCATTGCCATGTCGTTGGACCAAGTGCCGATCTCGAGCTTGTCAGAGTCGTCGTCCTCGTCGAGGAGATCTGTGACGTTCTCGATGATCATTCCCATCCCCAGGCCCAGGGATTTCTTCATAATATCAGAGGTGGGGGACTCTCTTACATCATCCTCAGGCTCTACCTTCTTCGCCTCTTTCGACTTCCTCAGGACCTCAGCTAAACTCCAACCGAAGTTCAAAGGCGGCCACTCAAAGTCCTCAGAGAGATGCTGCAGTCCCAGGTTCATCATCTGCGCCACCTGACACCTGATTTGATTCGCCAGGAGAAGAGCGTTGATCCTGTACAGGATGCAGGGTAAACAGACGGCCTGTCTCCAGAGGGAAGCGGGAAAAGGATGAATGGCGCAGAGTTCAGCCACGAGGATCTGCTTCTGCTCGAGATTCTCACGTTTTGCTCTCTTGGTCTCTTCGCTGCTCGTCGGCAGGGCCACTCCCTTCCTGTTGACGTACCTGGGGGTCAGGAAATTCAATCTCGCTGACGTGTGGTCAACGTCCAGGAGAGGCTGAATCCTGTTCTGTATCTTGATGCCGTACTTCTTGCAGTAGTACTCCTCGAAGGTGCTGTAACCATCACCAGGGAATGACGACTGGGGACTCAAGTTCCTGCAGATCTCGGCGACGTAGAAGTACTGGGGCTGATCCTGGTTCCTGTACCAGGGCATTATCACAGCGTCGTTGTACCTCGCGGCGTCAAACTCGAATTTTTCTCTCTCCCCCTCCCCGATTTCCTTAGGAATTGCATTCCTGTTCTCGTAGATGAGCTGCAGAAAACTCCAGTCGACGTTCACGTCTGCTGCCCCATTGGATATACCTTTGACCACAGGAACTATCAGGTATGAATTCTCGGAGGCATTCGGATCGAAGATCATGAGATATTTCTGGAGTTTGAGAACATTTGTGAATGTATAATTGAGAAATGTCGAGACTCTCTCGATCTGCATCGAATCCAGGACGACAGTATTTTTACTCAGCACTAGATCCACCTGAACCTCTCCAGAACGAGTGTAAATAGGAAAGGGACATAGTTTAGGGATTTTCTTAAGAGTTAAAATCCCAAAACCGATGTGGGACTCCTCAGGGGGATATATCCGTCGACCCCTGGTGTTCTGCTCCTCAGGGAGGGGACAACTGAGATTCATCTTGATGTGATAGAGGTACGAGGGGACGCCGAGAGTTGGCCTGCAATCTGTGAGTGCCTCAGCAGTCTTTTTAAAATAGTACTGACGACGTTTTGTGGTGCCAGGTCGAGCCTCCGAGTAATCAGACTTTACTTCATCAGGAAGTGCCGGCACCTCCACGTCCTCTGGCCTCGCTTTAAAATTCTCTTTGCCAATTGGCAGAAGATTATCATCGATTTCATTCTCCTTGTGGAGCTTTATGCAGAGCTGGAGAGCTGCCAGTCTCCTGGCCATCGCCTTGTTGGGCATTGGGTGAGACGATATCACGTACTTCAGGGGTGAATTGATAGGCAATCTCAAGGAACACGTGTACATCGTCCCCTCGATTGATCTCACCTCCCGCATCGACCACTCTGGTGTCAGCCTCGTGAATGTGTCACTCGGCAGTTTAGCGCAATATCGATTTACCAGGGATATCGCAGAGTTGAAGGACACCAGGGGTCCATTATCAGCTCTCATAGGCTGATAAAAAGGTATCATCGAGGAGTATCTGTCAGCCTCTGTCTCGTCCTCGTCCTTTGGCTCCTCGTTCGTGCATTTCCCCAGGAGAATTTTCTCGATGTAGTGGTACTGCGCCAATTTCCAGATCGATTCCCTTGCACTGATATGTGACACTAGGAGAATATGAAGGGCATCGCTGGCTCTAGCTCGACTCTTGCACTGCACGTACGACCTGTACGTCCTGGGGAAGTCGTACCTCATCACCAAGTTGCATTTTGGAATCTCTATACCTTCCTCCAGGATGGCAGTCGCCACCAGGAGGTTGCACTCGTGAATTCTGAAACGTTTGAGGACCTCCTCTTGCTTTTTGTGCTCTGCCTCTGGATCTCGGGAGTATGTGGAGTCGTCTGTGTTTTTCTCGATGGTGTACAGGGGCGAGAGGAAGTTCAACTCCTCGTCGTGCTTGCAGACTTCGTTCAGGAGGTAGAATAGAATTTTTGCGGTGAAACTCGCGTCCACGAATATTACCCCGCACAGGACGTCAGGGTCTGTCATTCCTCTGTACGTTCTCTGATATCTTCCCCGTTTGGGGGGAATTGTGGGCTCGTCAATCTGGGAATTATTCAGTCCCTGGGGTCTGGTGGAGTCATAGGGACGAGTCCTGCGGGGTGTCGTCTTCTCCGGGGTCGATGATTTGTTGTAGAGTGGGGCGTATGTCTTGAGAACCTCCAGGAGACGATGGACTTTCGACGTTGAGTATTTGTAGACTCGAGTCTTCTCCGGGAGCGAGGAGAACTCCAGGTCGCAGAGGGCTCGAATTTTTATCATAACCGAGCCCACCAGGTTGAGGAGAAGGTAATGGCGCTCGTAGGGTGTTTTTATCTTGAGTTTCTCGGAGAGGGTGAGCAGGGATAGGGCTGCACGGTCTGCACACCAGGGACCGAGAGCCTCCAGGATTGTCAGGAAGTCCACCAGCATCTCTCGAGGTTTTTCTGTTGGGTCTGGAATTTTCTGGATGTCCTCGAGGAATTCGTCCTGGTAGATCTCGGTGGGATCGTATCTGTGATCGTCCAGGAAGTGAAGCGCCTCCAGGGCGACCATCTTCAGCGAATTTTGCAGGGGTCCTGTGTCTGACGTGAAGAATTCTACTAGGTACTCTTTTGGTCTTGGGCTGTATCTTAAAATTGATAAAATATCACTACTCGTTTCCACATCACATTGGAAAGTCCTCTCCAATCGATCAATCTCTAAACTCAGTCTTCCAGGTTCGTCTGTCAAATCCAGGAGAGGAATTGCTAGACCTATGACTCTCGGTCCCTCATCGTCCGAGGATTTTCTCAGGGTACTCAAGGACTCTCTGATCCCCTTGTCCTTAATTAACAGCTGGCACTGATCAAAAATTACTAGACTAATCTGCTCACCAGATATTTCTTTCGTCTCGACAAATTTGTAGAAAATTGCACTCGTCGTGACGACGACGTGTCCTGACGTAAAAATGTGCGCAAAATCATTATCCTGAGTTGTGGAATCTATCACCGATACTTTCAAGTCAGTCAATTGCTCGATATAACTAGATTTCAGTGAACAAGACTCTTCGCTATCTAGGAGGTATAGAATTCTCTGAGCGGAGACCAGGGGAATTCGATTCCCTGTCGCAAACTCCTGAATCAATTTTGTCACGATAAACGTTTGCTCTGTGTATTTTCCTAGACATATTATAATATCCCTCTGCTTTGCAGTGTAAAGTAATTCCACCTGAAACCAGAACACGAATTTTGGCTCATGGAGCGAATTTTCGGAGCGGGAAAAATAATTCAACAACTCCGAGATAAAATCCAACAATTTAACTTTGTTATCATGTCAAATGTCGGGGAATATCTCTCAATCTAACCGACCTACCAAAATATCTATGAGAACCTTTTTTGTACCTTTCATTTCACTCTACAAAAAAGGTCCCAACAAAAAATTCGTTATCCCTGTTAGATCCAGAGAATTTCGACTAATTACTCTTAATTAATCTCTCAATTTTTCAACTCCCGGTGATAAAATATTTACCTGGTACTCTCTAGGGGTGAAGGACTTGGTGTAGACTTGATCATTGAAGGGAAAGGCCATCTCAATGCCCTGAATTTATATTTTATTCCTCTGCTGAGAGCATGGAAGATCACAACAATTAATAACAATGATGATTATCCATTTCATTATGAGAGTTGAGAAGATTCTCTAATCATTATCGCACTGAATTTACGTCTAGTTAAAAACTTGTATTGTTGTTGCTCAGTGATATTATTTAACAACAATAATTAGTAATCGTAAAACTTCTTTACCGAGGGATTCGCCGATAGTGGCGCTGGGGGTCGCCTAGCTGCCTCACGTGATCTTCTTTTGTTCAGTAAAGCCTGTGGCATCTCGGGAGAAAGAACGCGGTAGTTCAAAATATTCGTTACAACCCGGTATCTCGGATTTCGCGATGTGAATTGATACAATTACAAGTGAAAACATCGATGGAAGTGTGACAAGTGAAGTGCAAGTGTATTCCCCAGCTCGTGAAGCTTCTGGAGATGAAAATGTCGACAATGGATACGCAGACAAAGGAAGGACACGGAAATAAACTGTTTTTCACCGGCTTTTTCCACGATTCCTCGTCTATCCACCGTAAAAATAATAATTCGAGGGGATTGAAAAGAAAAAGTTAATGGGAAGTGATGAAAATTTGGAATAATTAAAATGAAAGTGTGAAAAATGAAGTGGAGATGAAAACAAAGGGAGGACTGAAAAATCAGGCGTCTCGCCGGCTGCTTCCAGGAATCGTTGTCGTTCCGAGAATTATCGGACGGAATCGAATGAAAACTGTGAATTGTGCTGATGGAAATAGAAGTGGATGAGAATGGTGAAAGTGTTTTGGTGTTTTGTGATGTGATATGAGACAATTTTAAGTGAAAATAGTGATGAAAGTGGAAAAAGTGAAGTGTTTGGATATCTCGTAGCTTGTGGATTATTGGAGGTCGAGTTGGCGACAGCAGATTTGCAGACAAAGGTAGGACAAGAAAATCAATTTTTTTTCAGCGGCTTTTTCCAGGAATCATCGGTTATTCCTCGTAATAGGAATACTAGCGCGGGATTCTGCGAAAATCGTAGGGAATAGTTGACGAAAAAAGGGGGCGGAAAATGGCGCCATTTTTTGGCGGCATTTTTTTTCACCGCCTTTTTCTTGGCGGAAATGCGATGCGATGGACATGGGGGGGTTAATTCGATTTTTACATATTTACGGCGGCTTTTAGTGTTTTTTTTTTTAATTATTTTCCGGATAAATTTTGTAAAAAAATTTTTGCGTTAGGGCGGAAATAGTTGGTGTCCCGCCAAAAGCGTTCGAGAGTTTTACACTTCCGGTTTTGACGCGTCAGTGAAATGGCGCCAGAAATTTTTCATGCGGATAATACAGTCGGGGAATTATCCGGCGATTAATTCGATTTAAATAATTTTTAATTATATAAACGAATAAATAATGAATTTATCATTATTATTAGTTTAAATTATTTTCGGTGAATATACCGGAAATGAAATGTTGGGGGGGCAATAATTGGAATCCCGCCAAAAGCGTTCGAGAGTTTTACACTTCCGGTTTTGACACGTCAGTGAAATGGCGCCAGAAATTTTTCATATGAATGATACAATCGCGGAATTATCAGGCGATTAATTCGATTTGAATAATTATTAATTATACAAATGAATAAATGATGAATTCATCATTATTATTAGTTTAAATTATTTTCAGGGAATATACCAGAAATTAAACATTGGGGGGGGGGCAATAATTGAAATCCCGCGAAAACCGTTCGAAATTTTTATTCTTCTGGTTCTGATGATTTATTTATCATTTCCATTGCAATTACGTGTGGAATCAATAATTAATCAACGGAAAACTGCATTTTTGCAAAAAAGTCACTTTCTCCACCAAAAATCCTCGATAAGGCCCCTGGGACCGGAGTGAAAAAAAATATTTATTTTTTCATTTCCCGCGCGCTCACGGGTTTCCCGCGTTTTTTAATCATCCAGGAAGTGAATATTTGCGAAATCACCCATCGGTTGATGGAAAAATAATATTTTTGAAAAATTTCGATTTTTAAGGCCATGGGGATGGAGTAAATTTTTTTCAATTACAACAATTTATTGGTGTTTGAGGATTTTATTATTATCTTTATGAAACATTAGCTTTTGAACATGAGATTGATGTCTAGTTTTGCTTCTTGAGCTTCTTGGAGGATTCCTCCATGGACTCCATCCAGAGCCTGAGATCGGGATTAATTTCAGGTCGTTGGGCTGTTGGATCGATATTAGCAATAATTTCGGACACCGGGATCTTGAGTCCCGTGACTGTTTGTTTACTCAGTGCAACAGCACGAATGAAATTATCGGTGAGACTGATGAACTCGTGCTCCACGTAGAAATTCTTGCCTTCCCAGTAGATGAGCTGAAATAATTATGGAAAATTGCGCGTAAAATCAATATTCACCGCGAAAATAATTTCCATCCCGTGGAATTCATAATTACCTTGGTGGTGATTTTGTAGGGAGTCAGAATGCCAAGAGCTCGTCGATACCTCGTGAAAGAGGCACCCTGGACAACGCCAGCCCCATGCCTCATAAGTTCCCCATAGATCCCCGATAGATCGTAATAATGAAATCGAGCGAAGTCCAATTCCCTCAAGTATCTCGCGTTATTCATGTGCTTCAGGAACAGATCGATATCCTGAGTGGTGCAAATTCCTGAAACCACGATTAAAAAAATCGAGACTCTCCAAAAAATCCTCTCAAATTTCCTCCAAACTTCCTAGGAATTCGTCTCTCTAGAGCTACAAAAATTAAATTTATTCCACACAAGAATATTCACTCCAAAATCCACTAGAGATCCACTAAAAATTCTATAAAACTCCCCAGAGGAAGATTTTCAGTAAAATTGTCTGACACGAGTGAAATAGGCTGGAGAATTCATAGATACCGTAAATAGAGGTTGTGTCAAAGAGTTTCTTTTTCTTTTGGAAGAGTCTTCCCCACGCCAGGGTGAAGAATATCCTCAGGAAGTAGTTGACATCGAATAGAAAATACATAATGAGCAATATCGATACCCAACAGACCATTTTGATGGTTCTCTCTGTCTAATTCAACAAAAAGGGTTGACACGACGTCGTCAGCTGGTATACTGATACGAACTGAAATGATTTAACCGTTCCTGGAGGCACCGTAATATCCCCCACCATCTGAATCATTGTGTCTTCGTTCAACATTTAACAGACTAGAGAAACAGGTTTCAGTGTCGCGCAATATCATCGTCTCAGTCAAAATTGACATTCCAATGAATAACTCTTCTCCATTCAATTTCCCAATATATCTAATTCCAAAAAACCTCTCTCGTATCATCATTACGTAATGACGTAGAATTTTCTAATAAAACACGTGAATATTTATCTCAGGTGATGGACTTTGAAAGTCACGTGTTGTGTCGATGAAAAAAGAAATTGACCGTCGATGCGAATTAATCCAGTCCTCCGGGAGATTGACAATGCAGCTTCGATGATTAATCAGTCCCCAGGTCGCGAACTAAACTCATTAGGTATTCATTTGATTATGTATAGACAATTTATCGATTCAAAGTGAAGTAAATGATTGAGGGGTCAAGATTGGATTATAATTTTTCATTATTTGTTTTTTTCCAACACTTTCTTCAATTTTTCATCGATTAACAAACGTAGAAAATAATTCTACAGAAAAAAAAAATATGCTAATTGCCGTGAAATAATTGTCAAGTGATAGTTTATCATCTAATCAGGTCAAAACTGCAGAAATTCACTAGAATTACGTAATCGACGCACTCGATGGCATCATGAGTTCACGAGAAACTGTTGAAATAGTTTGAACGGCCACAGCCCACTTCCACTTCAATAATACTTTAATAATAACTCTAATTAATCAATATGTACACATTAATGAACATTGAAAATAATCGAACGACCTGAGTAGTCGTGCATCACTCGCGATAATTCAAATAACTCCACAACTCGTGTAGACGAGGGTAAACAATTGTTCATTCCCCTCAGTCGCTAAAAATCCCCTATAAAATAATATAATACAATCATAAATTTGCAAAAATAAATTTGCAAAGAGATCCTGAGTTGAAGAGAGTGTCGTGTCATCGTAATTGATCCCTAGGGACGATAATCTTCAGAAATTTGTCGTGACAACTGGTACATTGGCACCTCTTAGAGTGGCCGATGATATTTCATTGCTCTCGAGCCAAAGAGCCACTTCCGGTGGCAACTGGGGCCTCACATGTGTCACCTGTCAAATTAAAAAATTTTTAGTAATAAAATTAATGAGGATTTAAGGGAAACGAGATAGTGAGGACTCCATTATCGTTGAGGGAATGGATTTTTCACTGATTTTGTTATTATCAGGAGCACCTGTGTTACGTCTACGTCAACTGTCCCATTATTTTTTACTCCACGATCAAGTAGAGCTGCCATAATAGTCTCGGCATTGCAATCCAATACTCTCTGACGACAAATAGCAACGGCACATACAAAATCATCACGGGGTGTAATGAACTTGTGCTCCATGAAGATGGATTTGTCATCCCAATAAATAATCTGCAACGGATTTAATAAATCATTGGGATCGTCATTCGTTGGGTATTCAATCGGGAAATGGGATTATTTGCTGATTTCAGGGAATTCCATCGTATCCAAGAAATAAAAAAAAATGCATAAATCGCACAATTTCAAACGTACACGTTAATTAAAAGTCTGCAGTGAACACAAACACCTGCTCCAAGGACTCTCCATGCGTCTTTAGGAATTATTTAAAACAAAATTGCTGGGGTATTGGTGTGCGTTGATCCTACTTGAATCATAATGACCGATTCATGTTAATCAATTACCCGTTGGATACACGCGTTTGTGAGTTGCCTTGAGACGTCAGTTAAATAGCAACGCGTGTATGAGAAAAAAAAGGTGTTTTGAGTTGCGTGGGTTAGATAGAGAAATAGAAAGAGCTCATGTTATTTTAATGGAAAGATAAATATCGTTGGGGATAAGATAAAGGACTTGGGACATTGGATATTCGTGTATTTCCTGGTAAACTTTGCGCGAGTAAACGAGACCAACGAGTCATTGTTGATGATTGTATCCAGACAAAAAATTTCGCGATGAGATAATCGATGAGATCGTGATTTTTTTACTTGCCACTTGTTTTTTTTACCTTTGACTTGATCATGTAGATGGAGAATGGTTTGACGTATCTCCTGTATCTGATTGTTGCCGCTCCCTGGACAATTCCCTTTCCCTGGGAACATATCTCTCTGTAAAGGGACGTTCTCTCGTAGAAATCCGCCCTGGCGAAGTCCAGCTCTCGTAGATATCTCGCGTTGTTCATGTGGTAGAGGAGAGTGTCGACATCCGTCATCGTGCACAATCCTAAAAAAATTCCGAATCTAGTTACAAATTTTCCTGGATATTGTCGAATGGCTCTTCAGTTCTTCTCAACCTCTCCTAATTATTCTGATAAAGAGGATAAACAATTCGCATTAAAAATCCATCTCTCGGGAATGCAAGCTTGAGGAAACGACGATTCAGCGGTAAATACCCATCGTAATTAATAATTGATAATTGTCTGACGAGTCATCCAGTTACCGGGGATAAACCCGAGTCGGAGTTATCAATTTCTCCAGGGGTTTGTGGAAAATCTAATTAACATTCAAATAGAGTGCGACTGGAACTATTGATCGTCCAGTTGATATTTCCAGTCTCCGGACAAGCGGGTTGGGTCAAGGCCTCCGTCGAGTCCGTCAACTAGTGCTAACGTAGGGATTCTCGATTTTCAAGAGGTAGTCTCTATTGATGCACCAGAGTATCCATAAATAGATGTTCACTGAAAGGAATGGAAAATGATATTTACCGTAGATAGCCGTTTCATCGAGAATGTGCGCTGGTTTTTTGCAGAATCTTGCGAGTAGAACAGTGAGGAACATCCTCAGGAAATAATGCACCTCCACTAGGACATACAAGATGACGACTGCCCCCAGGGCACAAGCCGGTAGCCAACACGTCAGCATTATTAATTATTATCTCTCAGTTATCTTTATTTACTAATCGAGATATCAGATGATATGCGTATCGATTTGCTCGTGATGCTCGTGATGATTACACGTGATGATTCAGTCCCTGGACCACCTGGAGATGCCGGCATCGTCGACAGCACCGATAATTGTTACTCCACTTCGCAATCCTGATGTACTTCCAGCAAATTAGGTATCAACGTTGATTCAACGAGTCATGGGTGGGGGACAATCGAATCCAAGGATTTGATTAAATTCCACGGAATCTGGGTAATTGAGGGCTGAGTAATTGAAACCAGTCTTGTTCTCAATTCCTTGCGTGAACGTGAAAGTGACTTGACAACAAATTCACAAAGGGGCAATCGAGACGCATTGCGCAGGGGCAACTGTCAAACCAGTATTGTTTATCCTCTGGAGATTTATTCTTTTTTAATTCCTCAAAGAGGATTCTGCGGACTCCACTTCCACTACAAGGCCGTCCTCGGTTATCGACTGCGAATTTTTTTTTCCCGATTTATAGCGGGGTAACACTTCACGGGGACGAGGGTCTTAGGGACTCCCGAGGTCACCTCTCTAGGGCCACTGGTCTTCGGTGCATTTTTCAATAAAAATAAGGACGAATTTTTCTTCTGGGTCGGGCAATCACTGGGTGACTGGATCGATTGGGATTCACCCGGGGGATGGGTGTCCGTGGATATTTTGAATTTAAATTTCGCGGGAGTGACTTCGGGATCCAACCGGCTGGACGTCGTTCAGCGGACTGAATGCTCTCGGTGGGAAACACCGTGGATAGACCCCTGTCTCTCGGCTCGACATCGGGATGGAGATTATCGTGTCCTCGGACCTGCGCGCACGTTGTCCGGGTTCAATAGCAATGTGTCGTTACTTCAGGTGAAGGGAAGCGAGGAAACGGAGGGGGTGGGCATGCAGCTTCACTTGGATGACATTGACAATTTATTTTTTTATCCGCGATTGAATTTTTCGTTGTTATTTTTCGTTATTATTTTTCGTTTTTCAATTGACGCCGCAGGTGTCTGGAATTTTTGTGCTGTTTGTCGTTTGCTCTCACGATTTTTCGACGGGGGGAGGTGGGAGGCGGTGGACACGAGCTGTGGACGTGATTTTTGATGAATCAGGCAGGAAAAGGAAAGTCGAGTTTTGGGTTGACAGGGATTCTTGGAAGGTTAATTATCGTTTTGATTTCTATTGGTCCTCTCAGTATTGAGGTCAGAGAAACTTGGAATTTCGGCTTTGCCGTCACTAGAAATTCGGATGGTACACTTTGAAGTTTTGGATTTGAAAGGCATTATAAAAGAGTGCGAGGTAGTGGGTGTAATATCTAATATATCGGAGAAATTTCTCCTCGTGGTTTTTTTTTTAATTCTGGAATTTATTTCACGTGGATTCTTCGAAACTTTTTTTCTCTGCTGGGACGAGGTTTTTTCAATTAATTATCACTAATTAGCGTCTGTCGAATTTCGACGGAGTATTAGTCCCATTTTGCTTGAATAAAAATTCCGAAGAGTTTCTCGGCTCGAGCGACTGAAAATAATTGAGTAAAAAAAATCATTGGGCTCTTAAAAAATAATCGAATGATAATGTGCCACCCGGAAGGTATCGAGAGGACGACTAACGTGCGTTATTGCGACAACTCGGTAATTGCTCGTTGTGCATTACGATCATTCACTTATCGGCCATTCGAAGGCAAGACACGCGCCGATGGATTGTGAATTATTTTCCTATTGTTTCCTCGATTTTATTTCAACTTCTTTATTATACCGAGGAAGTCGTTATTGAGACCCAATGATTTTCTGGAAAGCGAGTGCAAATTCATATTGGAATAAAAATAAAACTCGCATGACTCTCAAAAATACATTTCTATTGAACCAGTAATTACGAAAATATTTTAGAGATGATTTAACACTGATTTTAATCTCCCAATGGGGAGACATTGAGAGATGACTCATTTATGATAATCACCAGCGATAACGAATGAGTCTTCACTCGGTTGAGTGACTAGATATCCGGGGAAGAGTATAATCCATCCTTCAAGGACAGCATTTACTCGCTGAAGAAGTCCATTGTGAATATTTTGTCTTGAGGGCCATACGGGGTCAGTGGTACATCATAAGGCAGTGGAAATGGCGGTGTACCGGTCTCGTCGGGCTCACGAATAGGGAATGTCGTTGAATTAGTCTGAAACATCAAGTCTCAAAATATTATTCCAAAACCTCACGCAATAATCCTGCAATCTCAGAATAAATAATTACCACAAATTTCGGAAAAAATACAACTCCAGCCTCGTAACTGAGAATGGTATTAGTGGCCTTTCCACCCCATCCCCAAGCAGCTTTGCTCAGGTTTGCACTGGTGATGACGACCCAGGGAATTCTCTTGAAATCTGGTGATATCCTAGTGTAGGATTTAATATGTGGCATTGCTTGAGTCCTGCACTTATCCCCGGCCTTCCATTGGCTGCATATTTACCAGAAAATAAATATTTATTTATGGTGGATATCCAGAATGCCAGAGACTAAACAAATTCTGCGTTATTCTCGATATATTAAAAAGTCAAATGGGTTGAATAATAAAATACAGCTGCATTAGAGATGCCCGAGGTGATGACAGATGTTAATAAATATGAAAAAATTCTGCATAACTCACTGGGAATAGTTACTGAGCCACGTCTGCTTGGCATTGAGTTGATTGCTGTAGGGTAGACAACAGCTGCCAACTCTCATATCAAAGGACTGTTTATAGTTCTCGACAGTTGGATAAATGAACTGGAATTTCGGTGTAGATCTGAGGCCCTTGGTGGTTTCACTGGATAAAGTTGTGAGGACATCTTTACCTACCCAGGATTCAAAATTGGGACCAAGACTTCCAATACTCGAACATTGAGCAACAACTGACCACTTGGCACCATCAGCTGGCAATTGAGCATGAGAGGACAACAGAGCTGCTAGTCTTCTCAGACCCCATCGATCTCTGCTACCCTCTTTGTGATTACCAGGAACCGAGGCCAGGAAGAATACATCAATTGACGAGAAGTCGCACCTCTCGAGGACATCCAACCAGTGTTGGATCCTGTTGGGACCATAAAACGTCAGATAATTCAGGAAATCCGTCTTGAATCCGGTCTTCGAGTCTCCCTGGGCCTTAGAAGATCCTTCCGGGAGCTCTGGAAGGTGTGGGGATATCCAGAGTGCCTGTGTTCGATTATCCCAATCATCGTGGTAGAGATTAGCAGTGGAAACGATCACTCTGACTCCATTCGTGTACTTGAGGACAGATATTTTTGTGTGGTGGGTGCCGTACTTCGATGGAGGCTCGACCTTCACGACTTTTATTATATCTGGAAGGCTCTCAGTGTCACACCTCTGCCCCAGGAGCACCAACATCTTCGGGGATTGACAAGCAAGCAAATATTGCAGACACAACCATCCAACGTCAACCATAAAATTTATGTGGAGGCTCTCCTCGATCTCTCCGAGACTTACATCGAGAATTTCGGGGAATGTGACGGAGTAGGGCTGATTCCACGTCTCTGGGGAATTTTGCACGGCTGTCAGGAAGACGAAATAGGGAGAGGAGAGGGCGTACTTCATGTCGAATTCACCTTTTGAGCCGATGTAGGGGATTTCTTGGTTCTCTTGACGCATTCTGTTGACTGCTTTACTCCGAAAGTCTCGGCGTGCTTGTTGGGAGGTGCAGTTGACGTATTTTTGAATTATTGATAGGCCTGGGGATTCAGAAATTGTGGAACCCTGGGAAGAGACAGAGGATTGTGGAGGAGATTGAGATTTGGGGAGTTGTCTAGGTCTTTTGGGGGTTGCGGTGTCTGGAGAATTGATCTCTCGTTTTGTGGAGGGACCTGGGGAGGTCTGGAGGGTTGAGGATGGCGATGAGGAATTTTCGTGTTTCGTTGGCAGGTTGTGGAGATTTTGCGAGTGAGGGGCTCTCCCTGGGGATTGCGAGAACTGAGAGCATCTGCCATTCGACAGGGGAAGCAATCCTCTCTCTTTACGCATTAGCATCTGGACGATCCTCAGTTGGTCCAGAAGGAGGGACTTGTCTCTGCACTCGAAGGACAGAACCTCTGGGACCTCTACTGCGTCATCTAGGTCCTTTACGAGCTCCTCCACTAAAAAAATTTCTCGTGTAGATCGTGGAGAGTGGATTTAATGAAATTGCTTTTGGGTTGAAGTTTTTTATTTAAATTTATAGCTTACGATGGGGATGACTCATTTCACTGAAGTGCACTGGGTTCTTTCTGTAGCATTTCTCGCTGAATGGACAAATCTGTTTTGTTGATTGACTGTTGTATCCACCTGTAGAGAGAGGATTAACTTCGAGATATTAATTATCCATGGAATAACAGGGCAGTCGGTTATCACTTTTTTTACCTGATGGAGGAGAATTCATTTTGGAAGGTAAACACCGGTCTCTGGTTTTGCGTATCCTAGGGCCCGGTTGGAAGGATTTCTTTTCTGAGCGGCGATTTCACGACTTTTTACGATGCGGTAGAAAAAGAAAGCTCTGTTATCTCGGAATTCGTGTCGGTAATTCCGGGAATTATTGAAAATCAAGGAAAATCGATGTAAAAAGGAATTTTGGGACTATTACTATTTATTTTCTAAAAATTTCAATTTCTCTCGATGGAAAAATAATATCGAAAAGAAAAAAAATTGATAATTTGCCGGATACTTGTTAAAATGAGATCGTCGCGTCATCCATCACCTGGTGTTCGTACTACTATTCTTTACCCAGGATCACGTCAACTCCCAATTGGCGCCTCTATTTGAATCGAGCATGAAGAAGTGAAATGAGCATTGCGTTGCCCTCTCTCTCTTGGGGTGAGGTATTATAATGCCGGTGGAATCAGTCAAACCCAAAACTGAGCCTCTACTTCAGTCAATCCTCTTTACTCTCTTCAGTTACCTTGACGTTTTACCGGGTCTTAGGAATGTTATTGATTCACAAAACATGTTGTCGAAATACCCAACCAGCAAATCAAAAAACCAAACACTCCAGTCAGTACTACTCTAATACAGCGATGTTGATGTCCAGATGACGTATGGGTAAATCCCACATTTCATTCATACCAATTTTATTACTAGAAGCGCAATTATTCACCTCACGCACTTACAAGGAGGTCCATAGTCTTACTATTCCTCAGTTAATTATTATAGAATCGTGAAAATGGGGTTTGGAGAGTCAAAAGAAGTGATAAAATACTATAGGTAAGGGCAAATTGGAATACGATAGCTTATTGGTTGCATATGTAACCTGCCAAAATCATCGAGTATATTTTATGATCCATCGTTTGTTCTTCCTTCTTCATTTTCTCATTGCAAATTAATCCCTTCAATACTATTCGTTTAATTTCCATCGATTTCTTTCTGGAACCTTCCACTGTCAATCCACAGAATTCGATAATAATTATTTGAATTACAACCAAAAGATTGCTACCATTCGTCCGTATTCTTTTGTTTTATTATTTCTGGATTTGATGGGGCAGGTAATTATTATCGAAAATCCTTCTTCTTGAAGTAATAAATAATAAAAACGACAAGTTTCTGCGATATGTTCAAAAAGTCATCGATAAAATTTCGTGATTCATTGCAGAAATGATTGTGACGACCAGAGGTCATCAAATGTTGAGATGTACAAGAAAATCAAACCCCAAATAATCGACGAATTCCTAGCCCATATTATCCAATGGAGACCAGAATGGTTGACCAATCCGGAATACAATACAGAATCGCCACGAATCCTAGATCCCGTACCAGTGGTATCAACATCATTGTGTTACGAAAATTTTGATGATTATGTTGAAGCAATGTTTCCACTTCTGCTCCTGGAATTTTGGCATGTCCTCAAAAAAGATCTTGAGACCAGAAAAGTCGTGTCTGATGAGAAAGGAAACGTGAAGAGCAGAGATATAAAAGAAGAGGATAAAAAAACTTCTTCCATGGAACGAAGGGCATCAGTTGATCTTGTTACAATTTCTCATGATAATAAAGATCAGACTTCGATCCTGACATTGATTACGTGCAATGGACACAGTGACATTGATCCAATTCGAGGGGATCTCGTAAAATTCGAATGGAATCGAGAACAGGTATTTGGATATGTCGAGGAGGATGAGACGTTGCAAACATATGAGCATTTAGGTCTTTCAGGAAAGTTCAAAATAAAAACTAGGCGATTGAAACATTTCTCTCTAAAGAGAAATTTCCTGGTGACTACAGTTTTGTCAGTGTCGCCTTATCTGAGATTTGTTAAGGCAATGCAGGATCTGCCAAGGTCTTGTCTTTTTGACACAGTAATGAAGCCCAGGGTTGAGGATTACGAGATCGCCGATGCCCTTCGTACCAGTGTCTTTCCCTTGATCACAGGGCACGTGCTCAATCACAAGCAGATGGATATCGTTGCGAGAGTTGTCGCAACCGCCACTGAGCAAGCTCCGAAGATTTGCTTGATTCAGGGGCCTCCGGGGACTGGAAAATCCAAAGTCATTCTCAATATTATTTGCGAGATTCTGAACAAGAAGTCTACTAAAATTCTACTGTGTGCTCCATCCAATCGAGCTATTGATGAACTCGTGGGAAATTTTCTTACCGTCCAGAAGGCGAATAAAAATCTCAAGCATTTTTCGATTGTTCGAGTCGGATGTATCGATAAAATGGGGGATGAGGTCCAAGAAGTGACACTCCCACATCTCGCGCAGATGTCAGAATTAAAGTCCGAAAAAAGGAAATCTAAAGATGACATTCTGCGAACATCTGACGTAATTGCCACAACTTTGTCTTCGTCTTATTCATTCCAAATGGAAAGAATCTTTGAGAATGATGATATACCAGTGTGCATCGTGGACGAGGCAGCCCAATCAACAGAACTAGGAACTTTGATCCCTCTGATGCTTGGGGTACGCACTCTGATCCTCGTGGGGGATCCAAAGCAATTACCTCCCACAGTACTATCGCCGCAAGCCAAATTTCATGGCTTCGACAAGTCTCTGTTCTACCGGGCTAAGGAAAACTTCGACCTCCAACAAGGTAACCCAATCCTGATGCTTGATACCCAGTACAGAATGGTGGAAGATATTGTCAGCTGGCCCAACAATTTCTTCTACCAAGGCAGATTAAAGACTGGATCCAGCGTTCCTTCATTGCCATTTCACAACTATAAACTCCTCCATCACTCCTCCCACCAAAATCAGACAGATTTTAATCACGGAGAAGCTCAATTGGTTGTGAATTTAATAATGGGACTGTCAATGGAAATTGTCAAGAATCCTGCCAACGAGGATGTCAGTATTGGAATTATAACTCCGTATCGAAGGCAGAGGGAAGTGATTCTGAATTTATTGAAGTTTCGCTGTAAGAGGTATGCGCCTGCTATAAAGATTGTTACGATTCCTAAACCAAAAGATCTCGATAATAATTTTGATGGAAAGAAGGCCCCGAAAGAAGGAATAAATAATTCAAATACTGTTCAAATACCTGATGGGAGTGACTTCGAGGACTGGGAGGAGCTGCTCCTGGCAGAATCTCAGGAAGAGGAAGCTGGTGTGCAAAAAGAAGCGCTGAAGGGACGAAGGGGTAGGAAGTCTGAGCGCAAAATTGAGGAAAAAACGGGAAAAGAAAGAATAATTATCGAAGGAGAGGAAGAATTAAATTCTCTGTGCTCAGCACTGAAATCAGTGCAACTACAAGATACCCGGAAGAAGGATAAAAATGAAGAGGAATTGGAGAAACCAAATGACGGGAAATCTCATGAGAAAATTGAAGGACAAGAGGAAGAAGAGAGAATAGTGGTCCAAGGAGAAGACGAATTAAATTCTGTGTCCTCCAGACTAAAAGTACTATCAGTGCAACCTATCCCGAACAAGACACAGAAAGAGGCGTCGAAGAGACGAAATTTTCAAAAAACGAAAAGGATGGAAAAGGAAGCGGAAGTGATGGAATACATTACAATAGAAGTAATGGAAAAACCGAGTCCCTTGTACTTGAAATTAAAATCAATTCAAGTGAACACGGTGGACAGCTTCCAGGGCCAGGAACGTGATATCATTGTCATGTCCTGTGTCAGGAGCAAAGGCATTGGATTTGTTAATGATCCTAACAGACTTTGTGTGAGTCTGACGAGGGCAAAGCACACTATGCTGCTTTGTGGTAATTTTGGTACCTTTAAAAAGAATGCTATGTGGAAGGCACTTCTGAGAGATGCTACCTCTCGTAATGCTTCTGTCGAGATAAATGCCAATGCTAGTATTGCTAATATTATGAAGCATGTGATTGCTGAGAAGAGTCAGGACGACAAAGATATATTTTTATGGTGAAAATTCACTTTGCGGTTGATTTTCAAGGTTTACGTTTATGTTCGTTTCTACTTTTTCAAGGTAAGCATTTGCCTGATAATTGATATTCCTCATGATGATATTGATCTTTATTATTGATAATGACGTGATTATTACTGTGAACATTGTGATCAGATAAATAAAATTACTATTTTATCGTATTTGTTGGAATGATTTAATTCGTGAATTCGTGAATTGAGTCATTAATTAATTCATGATTTTTTTCGTTTTGGGGCTTGGGCTGGACTCTTGACATTTAACAGATTTTGGGAAACACATGGCTGTCAGGGGAAATACCAGGGCTTGAGAAAAATATTTACTATTTATTTCCACTTGACGATTTTTTTAACTTTTGTAAATAGACAGAGACGTTTTAACAGGCTGAATATTTTTTGAGGAACAATTTTTTTATTATCATAGGGAAATTAATTCCGGGGATGATTTATTATCATTAGGAAAATAATGGAATAGTGAGGATAATGTCGAGGGGATGAGGTTTAGTGAAGAGGTAGTCAAGGTAAAGGTAGGCGTGATCGCCAGTGGGCATGACGATGTTGAGATGCCCCTGTCTCTACAGAAACACTCGACAATGTGAAAGTACCTGGTCTCAGTGGTTCTCAGTTCAACGTAAACAAATTCATTTTTCATTCAAAAATTTTTGGGTGGAGGTTTTGAGAAAAAATTCGTGCACAGGGAAAAATAGATAATAAATCGATATTGAATATCCATTTCGACTTCTGCTTATTATTCAGATACGACCGGTGTATTTGATGATGGCAGTTGGTGAAGTGTGTCGGTGGTTTCGGTAAAAAAAAAAAATTCTCAAGGTGGTGAGAATCGGCGGTTCTTTGAAGAGCAAACGGATACACGTAGAGAAGAGGGAAGTGGTGGGGCTCGTCTCCATCGGTGAGTGGTTCGTATTTCCCAGGCAATTCAAGTCTCAGTTGTCACTGCGACGTTCCACCAGACTCGTGTTCCTTCGGCTAGTTCATTATTTATTGGGATAATTAATTAATTAGGTAATCATTCATTAATTAGGTACTGATTAATGCACTTAGATTTCTCATTAGTGATGCTCTTTACTTTTCAAAGACCACATTAATATTTTCATTCTCATCAGTCTTCAATTAATTTAATCATAAAAACCAATCAATTTTCAGTTTATTCATTTTATGGAATCAATTCCATTAACAAATCAGTGAAATTAATAAATTATCCGAAACCTATCTCACTTAGCAAATCCCTGTCTAAATTAGTACCTCTTCACTAATTAAGTACCCAGGAGATAAATAGTAACAAGTTAAATTGTTTCCTACTTTAGTTCTCGAAGATTTCCCCGGATTCTATAATAGATATGAAAATTTTTGTCTAAACCTCTTTTGGCGATTGAAATGAGATCTCCAAAAAAGATCTCTTCAAAAATTCAGTGATTTCCTTTCAATCCACACATATTCCTCGAAATCTAAATCCACTCTTCGCAACTGAATTCCCACCGCAAGTATTTCCATTTGATGATGAATGGTACAAAGTTTATTCTGGGAATACCTGAATACCCGTGGCATTTCTCCTGCACTCAAATGGCCATAAAAAGTTATCCGTTTATTTTCCCATTCAGCCATACCTTCGGTTTATCAATTAAAAAAAAAATTGTTGTTCTTTACTGCCATTGAGTTTAGTGAACCGCTCACGCATTGCGTTAAGTACCTACTGCATTTACTTTCACATAATTGACATTCACCCTCTCAAGTACATCGTACAGAGCTTGTGTCCTATTGCACATTAAATTGCGTAATAGGAATGAACGTACTTTACTGTTAATCCCACTAGTTTGCACAATGCAAATGTGTGACAATGTGACCTACCTATTTAAACACAGTGAGCCAGGGAAATGAGTCGTTACTCCTTCAATTACTCATTGCATTCATATCCTTTTCCATTCAAGCGTCTACTCCCACATTATTGAAATTATTCAACTAATCCCTTCATTCTTCACTTTTCAACTGCAATAAATATAATAATAATAATACTAATAACAATAGGATTGGAATTATTGTGGTTACAAAATTCAAATCCATTTCAAAAAACGTTCTGATACTTTAATTAATGGTAATTAATCCTGGTTAATACCATAAAATTAAATTTTTAATGGAATAAATTTTTATCAATGGAATGATAATCGAAAAATCGTAGAGGAAAAAAAAGCGAGTGGTGCATTGCTTTCAAGGCAACGATATAGATGCTGTTAAATTAAAGTGCGACCGGAAGTTTTAAATGCGGGAGGAGATGCGCGCGCATCCCGGTGACAGTTTGAATGGGTTTTCCCAGGTGCAACAGGACAATGATTCGCACTCCGGTCAGTGCAACGTCAGGAGTCGGCCTGTTAGCTTCTACGATAATTACAAGGTGATGTGATACCTGTTTTTACCTGGTATTCTGTTGGATATCGGTATTAATGAGAGACGGGAAAATTAGTTTTTTTTTTCTTTATTGAGAGAATTGTGTGACGCAGGACGTGTCAGCAATGCCACCGTGCGTGACGTCTGCTTCAAGTGTTGGTAACTTGAATCAGGTGCGAGAGAATGGGGCCACAACTACTAAAACTCCAGCCATGTTTCAACATACGTCGGATAATAACAATCGTGTCAGTGTGGCTTTCAGTGTTGGTAATGTGTCCAAGATACAAACTAATAATCGAGCAACAGGTGAGTGAGAATTTCGAAAATGCGGATTTTAATTTAAAAAATAATTCATATGAATTCTCAAATATTTAATAATTTCCCAAATAACATTTTCCAACATTTTTCTCATCTGTGGAACTACTAGAATTGCTATTATCGAGTTCTTGATGAGTTTCAATTTTTTCCATTCCAAAAATAATGAGATAATTAAGGTTTCGGTTAATTACATGTTGAGTCATTTCGTAGTCATGTGATTACTTGAAATATCTGGACGAATCAGAATAGAGAATATTATTCATGGAAATATTTGGGAAGTTAGTGATTATTTTTGGTTCGTCTTCAATTGAGATAATGAACTAGTAATTTTTTAACGACTTTATTGCAGAATTATTGAATAGGCTAATATTTTTAGGCGCGGTTTCAACAGGTCATATTGCTTGGATGGAGCCTGATAAAAGGGACAAGGATCTCGACAAAGCTCCGACAATGGCTAATTGTCTGTCGACGACAGTTCCTGTTAATCTGGCTTCATCGCAAATTGCTGGGAGACATACACCGACAAGAAGTTCACTGAGACACAGTCGGATGATCGTTATGCATCGCAATGGAAATGGTGAGACAATGCCTGAAAATTCCTAGCTATGTGAAGTTGGCATCGAAGTTTGAAAAATCTAACTTTTTTTTGTTGGTTTGGATTGTACTCATTGAGTACTTGAATGTACCCTGTGCACTTTTTTTTGTACCCTCTTACTTTAGCCCTGTAGCAGGGGGGCAAAATCGTGCAGAATCGGAGTTCAAGAAAAAATAAAAATAAACGTGGCAAT